TTACACACCCTCACCAAGGCTTGGTTGAGCACTCTTTCTGGCTGATGTCAAAGTTATCTGCCCCGGTACAAAGCTTGCTGTGTTTCTCGCAGTTAGAGCCCTCTGACTTCAATGCTTTGAGCGGATTATGAAATGCTCTATGGTACACTAGACTTCATTCTTTCCAGAGGCGACGGTGCATACTTACCTGAGTGTATGTAGAGTAATGTGGCACTGCATGCACTGTGACAGGCATGCAGGATGCACTGTGACAGGCATGCAGGATGCACTGTGACAGGCATGCAGGATGCACTGTGACAGGCATGCAGGATGCACTGTGCACTGCATGCAGGATGCACTGTGCACTGCATGCAGGATGCACTGTGCACTGCATGCAGGATGCACTGTGCACTGCATGCAGGATGCACTGTGACAGGCATTTTTAGGCCACACGGCCGGTCTCTTCTTACCAATAGACAGGGCACTAGGCTATTAGCTATTTTCCTATCTGTCCATTTAAATACTTATCGGCATTGGCGAGTTAGCAGCTAATGACAAGCAATACGAGTAGCAACAGCAGTGAGCAGCTAATGACAAGCAATACGAGTAGCAACAGCAGTGAGCAGCTAATGACAAGCAGTAGTATAGCAGTAGCAACAGCAGACTTCAGACTTACCTGAGACTTCTCAACAGATAAACTTGGAACTTTCAAAGATCTAACCAGGACAGTTTCGGAGGTGTTCTAAGGCAAGCACATGCACAACAAATACATGACATGAGACTTTACTGCAGAAGCAATCCAGTAAGTACTTCAAAGTATGTGCAGTTTACGGCAGTACATGTATGTATGATTACAGTATGAATGTGTGTGTGTGTGTGTGTGTGTGTGTGTGTGTGTGTGTGTGTGTGTGTGTGTGTGTGTGTGTGTGTGTGTTTCGTGTGTGTGTGTTTGTGAGTGTACCGTAAAGTACCGCCAGAGCGCCCCACCATCTCGTCCTTTCGTGGTCGTCTTGTGGAGGTGGTTCCTGCCTGTAGGTCATACGACACGGACCTTGTACACACATCGCAGTCAATCCGTATCCAGTTTACCTTCAAGCGGATGCGAGCTCCACATAAAAACATGCCAAGTGTGACCTTAGTACACGAAGGTTCTCACACCGTACAAACTTAGTAGCATTCTGCCATACGATTGTCTTCCCTTGGCTGTAAAATCAAGGTGGGGCGCTCTCGCGAGACGGGGCGCTCTGGCGGTACTTTACGGTATGTGTGTGTGTGTGTGTGTGTGTGTGTGTGTGTGTGTGTGTGTGTGTGTGTGTGTGTGTGTGTGTATGTGTGTGTGTGTGTATGTGTGTCCCATCAATCCTTTTTCTGCACCTTGTCCTCACCCACTTACTGAGGTGTGGTGAGCCCATAAGTGGGATCATTTTCAAGTCCACCCAGAGTTTTGGGGATTTCAGGGGGTGTCGGCCGTTGGGTGGTTCAATAGCCAATTGAGTCATCTTTCCAAGATTCCTTTTGACTCTCTCTCCCCTCTCCCGGGGAGACCCACGTGACCAGTTTTGGCAGTGAGCAACAAGCAACAAGTATGTGTGTGTGTGTGTGTGTGTGTGTGCGTGCGTGTGAGCGTGCGTGCGTGTATGTGTCTTCTTTAACAGAACTTGAGAACATAATTGGTACGACTATAGGCCAATAGGGAGAATGCAGTGAGTCACTCAGCCCAACACAAACAATAGCTATAGACGTATCATTGTAGAGTAAAAACCTGTAACTAAAGACTGGCACCGTGACTAGCGACCAGCCTGGTACTACCGACCACTTCGCCAGGCACGGACGGTCTCACATTCAAAATGCACTGCGACTAGCGACTACCTGCTGAACGCGACCAGCGACCGCCTTTTCTTGTCCCAAAGACGATTTTTGACCCGAAACTAGCGACCGCGATGTAGGAAATCAAATGTTGCTCGAAGCACCTTCTTGAAGTTTTGCTGATTTTCCATGGTCCTGAAAGGAATCTTTTGGTACTACAGCTGAACAAATGAACGTAGGCCATTTTTTGACTGTGGAGTCGGTGTGGACTGCACTACACCTGTCAGAATTTCAAGCGCTGTCAAGAACAAACATGATAGGAAACGTCTTGGAGAGCGCATCGAAAGCGCCCTCTGCTCGATGTTACTACTCAGAGGAGAAACGAAGACTAAGCGGCTCTGTCACCCCAGTCATACAAATGAATCGACAATGGCGTCAAGGAATCCAGAAACAAAGCAGCACCGCAAGGTCCTGATGCTGAAGGATCGCGTTCAAACAATCGAGAAGTCACAACAAGGATAGTCGGTACGATTGATCGCATGAACAAATTTGAAGCCCAGCGCAAAACGAAACTTCCACAGGGAACGTTTGACTCCTGGCTTCAGAAGTAGCAGCTGGATTTGATGTTTGCAAAAAAACTAATCTTCTCTCTCTCTTTTTGTCTCTCTCCATCTCTCCGTCTTTCTCTCCAAGTGTTGTTTGACCTGAAATAAGAATGGCATTGCGCAAGTCCTGGGGAATTGTATTAGCTGCATATATAATAATGGGATCCATATATGGTCGCACGGTGCAAACCTCTAACTAAATACCACCTGCTACTAAAGACCGCTTTTGCTGGCACCAAGGGGTGGTCGGTAGTCACAGGCTTTACTGTATACTGTAGTCTGTAACTTACATCAAGAAGCGGTGCCTTGTAGAAAGCATTTAGCATGGAAAATAGAAGTGTGTTTGGTGGCCATGCCCTGCTGTCACATGACTGCAACAGAAAGAAAAGAACAGAAAAAGCAAAAATGAAAAAGAAATAGACCAATGGTTTACAAGTGATCCGTAGTTCCCCAATACTAGTACTAATATAACCAAAGGTAATGGTGGTCTTGATTGTGTTCTTCCCCTCTCTGATGTTATTTCGTGACTTAGAACCTTCCAAGTTGGAGGGCGCATTCAAGATGTGACAGAGCTAAATGTCAGGTCCTTATGTTCCTGTTTCCCGTTGGCGTCTTCCCCTCAAACCAGTGAATATCCTTAAATGTTAATGCTACTTGTCAGGATTGTGCTGTTCCACGTTCTGACTCACCAATTATGGTTTTTTTCAGTAGTAAACACATAAGTGTGCGTGTGTGTGTGTGTGTCTGCATGTGTGTGTGTGTGTGTGTGGGGGGGGGGGGGGGGGGGGTATTTGGTAAGGTCTAACTGCGGATCAAGCCTTGAAGGTTTGATAATCCGAGGGCTGTTGAACAGTTGAATAGCCAGTTGAGTCAATCCAAGATCCTTTCTTTTCCTTTGTGATAGTTTGAGTGGAGGTAGAAACTGGGAATTTACTTCGGCTATGGGTACGCATATGCGCTCTACCACGAAAGACACATCTTGAAAACCGCTGCAACAACAAAAAAAACTAAAATCATGCCTTCCATATTTCAGCAGTTTTCCAATACACTGGCAGAAAAAGTCATGTGCATACTGAACGCTGAACTAGCATTGAGTTGCTCAAGGTGGTGATCGTGGGCGCGTTGGTGTTTTGCGCATGGAAACGATCTCTAGATTGACAAATTCTTCAACGTCTATTCTAGAGGAATCCCCGTTTCTTTGATTTCCAGCAGACATGGCATTCCTGGGAGAGTGGTGGGCAATAGGAATGCGGCGTGTATGAATAGATGTACAGTTGGACATGATTCCATCTAGAAATGTGCCGCTGAATGCACATTCTCATTAGCCGTGACTAGCAGGTGTGATCATGGGATTCATGTTACCATGGGAACTTACCTGTGGTCCAATACACTCCAGTGCATCAAGGTCAACATGCCACTCGAGAGCAACACGACGCTCCTGACCCGCCAAGCCACACCATACTTTCACCACAATAGCTGATGAAAGGATACGTACAACCACGGTCAAGGCCAGCACAAACCTCTTATAATCTCAAACAAACAATACAATACACAATGAAGCGGAAATTGCAAAAATCGTTGCTCATGTACAAGCAGATACCGGGTTAAAAACAATGATGGCTGGCTAGTCATAAAATAATCACTTCTCAATCCACTCTTCATTGGCTGCGTTCGATTATGCAGTTGAATCAATTTATGAATCCATTCGCATGCATTCAAGTCGTTCGATTTTCATGTCATGAGCCCTGGAATCGATTCGGAATCCATTCATCCTATTCACATGGGGTGATGTGAATAGCGCGAATCGATTCATGAATCGATTCGCGCGCATAATCGAATGCACTCAGTGGCTTCTATGGCATATGGTGGAAGGGCTAGTGGCAGCCGGTTGCAGTCACATACCGGCATGACTTTCTCTTTGTGTATCAGCAGTGCTCCTTCCCCGTGGGGCCCAGTTTAGTGACAACACCAACGCACGTGGCAGTTGCTCACACTGTTGTGAAGGAATTATATGGGCACATACATCTAGTGTGTCCATACAAACTAAAACCCAGATTCAAGTCATTAGTGGATTCAAAAGTCAGCGTGATCATGACTCTAACTGTGCTATGACCCAGTAGATTCAAGTGATGAATACAAGGAGTGTGTCACAAGAAGAATACCAGTTCAAATGCATCATCCATCCTTCAGGATTTAGAGCCTGTCGCACACTGCTATTGGCGTGCCAGGAAAGAGCAGCAACAGAGAGGATACAGTGACTGAATGGTTTGACGTCAAACGTATGCGGGTCAAATCCACTCCATTCAGGGTGCTACACACAGAACACACCACCAGCACACAGTTAAAAATAAAATTGTGCTCAAAGCGAACCATACAAGTATATCACAAGGCAGAACAACAGAGACCAAAAGCTTTTTTGTTACTCCGAGTTTGGTGTTCAAAAACACTCAGACGATAAAACATACAGTATTTCCGCAAATAGTAGGCCGGTCTACTATTTTTCAAACTCGTCCTAACCCGGCCTTATTATTGAGGACGGTCTTTTATTCTTTCAACCCAGTTTGACCCCGGTCTTCTATTTTTGGCAGAGCGTGATGGGGGAATCACAAGAAACCAGAAGATGTGCCACACATGTCACGTGTAGTTGCAGTTTTGTACAAAATGGCAGCTGTCGCACTGCGCATGCGCAGTCGTAAGACTCATTTAGTAGACCAGGTCTTCTAATCGGAGACGGTCTTGTATTTTTTCAATCGCCCCCTGCCCCGGCCTTGTATTCCAGGAAGGCGTTGTATACGAGGACGGTCTTTTATTTGCGGAAATACGGGCCCCAGGGAATTTTCTAGAACCGCCCCAACCGGTTTTCGACCGGTTGAAATTGTTGGCGACCGGTTGAAAAGTTACAAATCAGTTCCAACCGCCCGTACTTTTCTGTGGGTGAATGGAGCTGTGAATGGTCAAACGCTTTTTTCTGGACGGATACTTCCAGCGAAGCCGCGTGGGCTGGTACTAGGGTCACGAGTTTGTACAGTTTGTACGGTCGAACCGCGTCATCGAGCTGTAGCAACGGCGTTGCTACAGTCCAACAGCTCCGCGCGACATCGCTTTCACACCTTTTTAGCCGTCATCACACTTCCACAAGTAAGTTCCGGTACCGCGGTAAGTACATACAGTTGTGGCAAGTGAAATCCGACACTTGTCATAGGGGACAGCGCCACAAATGGACACCAATGATGTAATGCACCGCACCTAATTTGTACTGCAGAGCCGTATGCATCACAAACAGATCGAAAGCTCACAGAGTAGATACACACAGTTCACAAACATGGTACACATAAGGAGTATTGGTATCCAATCCCCATTCATTTTTGCCAGCACCTTTTGAACCTTGACTGTGATGAGTACGAGTTTTGTCATCAGACAGATAAAGTTGTATGCAACACATGTACTGTACGTATGCAGGGCTGCAGGGGCTGCAGACTACATGGTGCAGTCCCTTATGCCAAGTGTCGGATTTCACTTGCCACAACTGTACTTGGTTGGAGCTGGAGGTGAGTGTGGATCCATGAGTTCACACAACTGTCACGTTCTTGGGCGCGGAGTTTACAAACTTTTCGTTGCACCGGAAAAAGAATGCGCATGAATGTATGTCTACAGTACCGGTACTTCGGGTTGGAAGTACAACGTCGTAGACTGTTCGATGCTCTCGCTCCAAAAGTGCCCCTTTCTAGGTGATCTGCTTGCAATAAATAGTCTTCGACTTCTCAACGGCAGTTCAGTTCTTCTTCTCTAGAAGCTGTTTTTGATCATGGACTCGGAAGATCTTTCAGAAGAAGACAATTATTTCGAGGAAAGCAGTGAGGACGGTAGTACCCCAGAACGTGAAGTGGTCGACATCAGCGGCTCATCGGATGACGGAGCTCCTCCTGCTAAACGCTTGCGCCTTCAAGTTCCTCGCTGCGTGGAGCAGTGGCAAGGTACTTACGACTGGTTAGGTGTTGAGGAATCCAAAGGGATGATCGTCCTGTTTTGCAAGTTGTGCCGTCTGCATGGGAAAGTCGCGCGGGGAGGAAACAAAGTTGATGCTTGGATCGATGGGACCCGTCGGCATCGACTCTCCGGGGTGACAGACCACTTAAAATCGAAAATGCACGAGGCCAGCAAGTCATCGAGAAGACTGCCGTTGGTGTGAAGGAGAAGGGCGGAGGATCACTTCCAGCAATGCAGCAACGGGCATTGCTGAAAGCTACCAGCGCGAAGGACCAGGCAGTGCTCAAGCTCCTGAAAGCACTGTACTGGCTCTCGAAGGAGAACATCGCCATGGACAAATGGCATGGAATGACAAATGAACTATACGACGTTCTGGGAGTCGATGTGTCCGCAGCTAGAAGGGCCAGGAATGCCCTCTACACGTCCACTGTCGCCAGAGACGAATTCCTGGAGGCATTGCACGGAGTTCTCCTGCAGCGAGTGAAGGCCAAAGTCGCCCAGTGCACCTTCATGAGTGTAGTTGCTGACGAGTCAACAGACGTCAGCAATGTTTCCCAGCTTGTGCTGCACCTTCGGCTGGTGAAGGATGGCGATGTGGGCGTACTGTTCGGTGGCATTGTGCCGTTGCTGGAGGGCTGCAGTGCCAACAATCTTGTTACTGCGATCAAGAACTGGGCAAGGGAAGCTGGTGTGGACCTTGCTAAGTGCCACCTTGGTTCTGATGGGGCATCCACCTTTGCAGGAAGAATAAACGGCGTCGCTGCACAGCTTCAAAGGGAGTATCCCCTTATGAAGTGGATCCACTGTGTGGCACATAGGGAGGCTCTTGCTGCGTCAGACGCCATCAGTCAAGTGCCTTACCTGAAGACCGTTTTCGAACCCGCATTGGCAGGAGTCTACCGCTACTTTGACAACTCGCCGGTGAAGGAAGCTGGTCTGCATGCCATGCAACAGATTCTGAACGAGCCATCAATAAAGTTGAAGGAACCATCGTCTGTCCGCTGGCTGTCCCATGAAGGCTCAGTCCGGGCATTCCGGAAAAGCTTCAAATCTGTTGTGCGGGAGCTCAGAAGACAAGCAGATGAGAAGAACGATGCAGCCGCTGCAGGATGGCTGCGGAAGGTGAAGACGTTCCGGTTCGTAGCTTCCCTTCTACTCCTTGGAGATGTCTTTCCCATTCTTGCTACACTCAGCAAGACTTTCCAGCTGCGGAATCTCAATTTCGCAACACTGAAGCCAGCGCTGACCATTGCCGTCACCTCCCTCACGCAGCTAAAAAGGATGGAGAGCAGTTCGCTAAATGTGCAACTTGGTGTACTGAGCTTGAAACTGCAGGAGTATCGTTCACCCGGTCAGACCATGACATCCAGGTCTACAAGCGAACGGTGGGCACACCATACCTGGAGGCACTCGTATCAGCATTGGAGAAGAGATTTCCCTTGCTCCCCTGTTTGTCTGCCCTTGAGGTGTTCCAGCCCAGCCGTGTTCCTGTCGCTAATACCCATGACCTTGCTGAGCATCGTTGCCAGGAGCTGACAACGCTGCTGGATGCTGTCTCTGACGCAGACACGAAATTCGTGAATGCCGATGAAGCTTGCCAAGAATTTCGGCATCTGAAGTCAGCCATCAAAGTCTGTGACACTCTGCAAACCATCGACAATGCTGCGCAGTTCATGGCCACCATCCAAACCCCACGGTTCACTGAGCTGAGGAGTGAGATCCCCAACCTGCTTCGCCTTGCAGACTGGGGTCTGGCATTGCCACTGTCAAGTGTAGAGTGCGAGCGGGACTTCAGCCGGATGAAGCTCATCAAAACACCTCTTCGGAACCGCCTGAAGAACACCAACCTTTCCCGACTCATCCGGATCTCGGTTGACGGTCCGCCCATCAGCGAGTATCCGTTCGAAGAAGCTCTGCTGCTGTGGCACCAAGTCAAGCAACGCCGGCTACGAGGAGGACAAGCAGTGCAACAGGCTCTTTTGCCCAGTGCAACTGATGCCTCTGCAGCTCTTGGTGCTGACGGTGCGACTCCTGCTGTCGATACTCCTCCTGATGCCACTGATGATGATGCTACTGCTGATCCAGGATTTGCAGCCTCTCCAATTCCTGCTGCTGCTGATTCTTGTGTTGCCGTCGTTGATGGTGCTGTTGCTGATGCTGATTCACCTGCAGATGTTGTTGCTGACGATGATGCTCCTGCAGATGCTGTTCCTGAAGATGATGCTCCTGCTGATGCTGTTGCTGAAAAGGGCCCTTCTGTGGTTGCCACTGTGCAGTCTGCGGGTGCTGCCCCTGCTGCTGTATGTGCGCCTCAGGCACCGAGATCATTTCGGCAAGCCTCCATATCCTCCTTTTTCTCCAAGCCCGCTAAATGAGCGGCATACTTACCTGGTTACATCTGGCGTGGCCATACTGAATAAAAATTCTCTCTTGTGTGATAAGCTTATTTGAGTTCATTCATAGTTCACTTTGTAGACTTTGCTGACGTTGTAGTGCTCCAATATGCTTTCTAGTTTGGCATAATCACTTCTGTGATATCCCTAGCCTCAGGCTCTGTAAAGTCCATTTCCTCTGCTTATATCTTTGCTACACTCCAGCACCAAGAAATCTGTTAAATTGCTGTCGAGTGCCATATTTGGGTTGTATTTTGAAAACAATTTCGGGGGGACCCCCGGACCCCCCGACTCTTCATTGGACCGTAACCGGTTGGAAATTCGTCCTAGAATATAATACCCTGTACGGTATGTGCTATTCGCTGGTTATATAGGGTAATTGTAATGTAGGCTAAGACAGTGCTAGAACCATGATAGGAGATAACACCAACACTGGAATATATTGTGAGTGATATGAGTCATGGTTGAGGTATATTGCTATAACCAATTTTTTTTCACGGTTCACGTGAGACTCGGCTGGAAACCGAGTTTTCCGCATCCGTAGGAACGCCACCACCCTTCAAGGATCAAGGCGCAGATGCAGCTCCTAAAGCGGTGGGAGGTGACCAAGATGGGAGATAAATGTAGAACGGGCGCAGGAAGTAAGTTTCAGCGGGAATTGTGTCAGGCCGAAAGGTTGGGGAGTAAGTGTTACATAGCAGAAAGTATATCATGTACTTGAGAGGTGCTTTACAAGGCAACATTACACACACTCTGCCTGCACAGTGACAATACAATACTGTATATACTGCTTGCCTACATGGGCAGAGCAGTGTTGGAAAGCCTTTTCCAGTTCTTTGCATACAGACCAGTGTCATTTTGCGGAATTTTTAAGGGATTTGCAATTTTGCAAATACGATTTGGTGGTCCAAATATCCACAGAACACACCACCAGCACACAGTTAAAAATAAAATAAATAAACTGTGCTCAATGTGATGCATAACAGTAGTATATCATGCACTTGAGAGGTGCTCCACCTTCCCCCTCCTTATGTTATTTCTATAACTTAGAACCTTCCAAGCTGGAAGGCTGTTGGAGTGCGCATCCAAGATGTGCTAGAGCTGATTGCCAGTTAGGTGTAGAACGTCAGTACCGTTGGTCAGTGTCGTGCAATGCTACTGCATGAGCTGATTGTAAAGTAACTGGTGGTGTCAGTGGATAATTATAGCGTAACTTGTAGCTCTTTGGTCCTTTTTTCTTCTTATACATTTTTCATGGATTTGCAATTTTGCATTATGCGATTTGGTGGTCCAAATATCCAGGAATACAGTTGCAACTGTTGAAACATATTTCCAACTCGACTAAACTATAGCTTGTCCTGGAATACTCTGGAACATACATGTATGTTTTGCTCTCTGCGTAGGTGACAAACAGTGACATAAGCTTAGCTGCTAGTGGTCCTAACGAGGTTTGACTGTATACGAAAACAGTTCGCTGCAAAGATTCAATTCTGCATGGGTTTACACTTTACAGGGGCATGACCAATGGTACGCTATATCACGAAATTCGTTATCGGTGAATGGGCGAGTTCATTATAAGCGGAGTCGATTGTAGTTTCCGATGACTGCACATAACACACTCTCGATTTCTAGAACAATTCTTGATGAATAAAAGTGTCCAACACCATCACACACACACACACCCACACACACCCACGCACGCATGCACGCACACACACATATATGTCACCAGGCCTTACCAGTGAATTGTACACTGTTTCGCTAGTATAGATAGCTGAAAGCACAAGAGAAATACAGCACATACACGCGCGCACACACACACATGCACACATAGACTTGATTGGGATCGGTTTGGCCAGTCACTCTTAGCTCCGCTGTTGGAACCTAGCCAAGTCGAAACAGCTAGCTGTCCGGAGATCGGGTCCCGGATCACACATACATATGCACACGCATATAGTGCACACTTGTATATATGGCACACATGCATGGATGAGCGCGCACACACACACATGCACACATACACACACATGCATGGATGAGCGCGCACACACAAGCACACATACACACACATGCACACCCACGCAGTGATAGCAAGTACCTGTGTCCAATGTCGTCGACAAGTACAATGAGAAGTGGGAATCAAGCAGGGCATGGCCGCAACCATTAATGTTGAGGTTCCGTGCTGATATGTTGGTCAAATGACGCAGGCGCCGCTATTGAAAAGGCATATAACAAAGCAGATATAATGAAAAAAACTCTAGCAATGCATACCGTAAGTGAGTTTTCATTTCAAAAAAAGTAGAAGTGCACTTTTCTGCAAATTTTCAGCAAGGTCTTCCAGTACTAAACTTTTCTAAGGATCCACAAACCCAGCTACTATATTACTTTTCTCACTCCAAACATTCATATAATGGTCTCTCTGCTGCAAAGGCACTTCAGGTTCACCAAATGTTCAGGCATGGTCCATCATGAGGGTGAAGCAGTAAAAACTAAAGGCCAGCAAGCAAGGAATACAGTAGATATGTTGTGAGGTGCTGTAGGAAAGTGATAAGAAGAATGTGAAGAAACATGATGTGCTACCATGATTAGGTGTGTACTTGTGGAGAATAGCAGCGCTGGTGAAAGGTGTTGGGAGAAAGGGTGAGAGAGAGAAGTAGAGAGCTGTGCTTCTGTGTTAGTGCAACATAGAAATAGAATGATGTGTAGCTGGAGCCATACGTGTGAAGCCAAAGTTGAACACAAATATTTGCTAGGTACGGCACAACCAGCTAGCATACACATGCACCAAACAGTGTTGTGCCAGCATGTGCAACATCACAGTCTATCACAACACCAACATACAATGTGAAGTATGTTGCTGTTGTGATAGACTGTGATGTTGCATATAATGGCATAACACTGTTTGGTGTACATGTACAGTACATGTATGTGTATGCTAGCTGGTTGTGCCGTACCTGGCAAATATTCGTGTTCAACTTTGGCTTCACACGTATGACTCCAGCTACACATCATTCTATTTCTATGTTGCACTAACACAGAAACATGTTCGCACACGTACACAGCTCTCCACTTCTCTCTCACCCTTTCTCCCAACACCTTTCACCAGCGCTGCTATTCTCCACAAGTACACACCTAATGTAGCACATCAAGTTTCTTCACATTCTTCTTATCACTTTCCTACAGCACCTCACAACATATCTACTGTATTCCTTGGTTTCTGGCCTTTAGTTTTTACTGCTTCACCCTGATAATGTACCATGCCTGATAATAGGGTGAACCTGAAGTGCCTTTGCAGCGGAGAGACGATAACTTGAGTGTTCGAATTGATGTCAGGGGTTTTAAGCATGATCTTCCAGTATTCAGGGATTTTCAGCAAGGCCATTCAGTATTCAGGGATCTTTCGGCACCATCAAGCTGGTCTTCGCTTCACAGTTCTGTGCATATACCAAAAAAAGGGCTAGATATCAGGTATGTTCTAGAACCCTTACTAAGACTGTGTGTTTGACCTGATACAGCACGATACCTGTACTCTCGTACACGTACCTTGTCAATGTGCATCTGACCTGAAACAGGACAGTAGTTAGACACGACTGTACATAATTGTGCTCTGTATACCGGTAGTATCATGTGCAGTGGTAGCGTGCGTGGCACAGTTTTTTCCTTGGCGTTTAACGCCTGCCTGCGCACTACTCATGCGCCCACTGCCCAGCACCTTCAATGTGATAATGGCCAGGGTGCATGGCAACTAGTACTTATCAGCTTTCCAATAATGTATCACATGTCATGGTTGACTGATTCTATGATAAATTGTCTGGTCATGGTATTTTTCGTTTTCAAAGGGACTTTTCGGTATTTCGGCTATGGCGCTCCTCGAGGACCGTGCCACCCCACCACCGTGTTCAGCGGCCTCAAAGTAGTTTAGATGGGTTTACGGCAAGGTTCTTCTGCGTAGCCACTTCAGAGCTGTTTGAAGAATTAGCGCCCGATGCCTGAAGTCGACAATTGGAGTGCACTGTGTGAGGAGAGAGCTCTGCCGGTGACAAGCAAACCGATTTTTGGCTTGTGAATCCATGGCCTTTGATGTTGTTTATTTCAATACGGTGGACGTGCTTCAGCAGGAGCTGATTAGTTCAATCTGTCAAAGCACAACTCATCCTGACCGACACCCATGGCATGGTGGTCTCTCCGCCACTGATACTACGGAGGATTAGCATCGCATTCGTGTTCGCCCTCCAAGGAAAGTCGAACTCAGTGACGGAATTCGCGTTATGAGAAGGATTAGCAAACAGAATTTGCACATGGACGTTGACACGTCGTACATTGTGTACAGACAGTACAAAGTAGTAAATGTATGACTGCCCTGACACGAAACCGCGATTCGTGTGTCGACTACTTTTCCGAACGAAAAATGTGAAAGTTTGCAATCCAGTTCGCGAACCGAAAAATGTTCGCGAACACGAACGCGAATATCGTCTTGCTAATCCTCAGCAACACTTATTGTTCATACTTTCCCTGCGTATTCATGATTATTCGTGAGGTCAAAGAAACCCAGGTTTGCCATCCCTCCGCATGCAATTGCATACATGGCTTGAGATGATAGAATACCAACTTTGTGGCCTCGTAACACCGGTATGGGTAAAAGAAATTGAGATGAGTCGCAAGTTCTGGTTTACCGGGTATGTAAGTAAAGTTTGCACGTCCGCGTTACCACCGGCTATACAATTGCGTTGAGAAACACAACCAGCTTAGGAAGTTTCGCATGTGCCAGGCCACCACCATGCCTGTGCTACCAGGGTGGCAGATGCAGCGCCTAACGGCGAGGGTGAGGTGTTAAGTCTCACAACCAATGCCTGACAAGGGGGCTAACCTCGTTAGCTGCATCCATATATATATGTTTGTCTCTTTCCCTCAAACCCGTTAATATATATATATATATATGTATATAGTCTTGCTAATAGCAAGAGTCCATAAACACTTGCTAATAGTCATCAGCAAATCACGTGTTCACAATATTATGTATGTTTAGTAGTTTACCAAAATAGTATGTGGCAGTTTGTTGAATAAATAATTTGAGCAGAAAGCCACTCACGTTCCGCTACAACATATGATTGAAGTGGAATAAGAGATGTTCTTCTCGCTAATTCGCCTACTAGTAGTTGAAGCATGCACCAGAGATTTATACACAGCGATAGCACAAATGTATAAACAAAATAGAACACTGTTCGAAACAATTGCATCAATGTACCTGCTGAGTGGGCAGCTCGACATGGTGGACAGCCAAAGGCGGCGGAAAGCCACTTGACATGGCTGCATCTGGTCAGCATTGCAATTTACTGCATATTTGCAAGACACTTGGCCAAAAAGACAAAATAAAGTGACACGAACATGTTTTGCTATTTCGAATTTCTTTGGGCTTGCCATTGGTACATGTACCGGTAGACCTACGCAAACCACACTGTGACTGTGACACAGCATGATTCATCGATTGTCAAAGCTGCAAGAAAAAAGTCATAAAAAGGGAAAAAAGAACAAAAAGCCCGTAGTACGCGTATACGTAGATCTACCCGGGCCGCGCAGTACGAGTCGTAGTGCTGACCCGAATTTGCTAGCAATTCTTCTAGCAAAATATCGAAGAATTTTGAAAGGGAATTTGCTGGCAAAATGGAGCAAAATATCGGTGTGTTGGCAGGGAATTGGGAGATTTTACACATATACGGTGCACATGACTCATTTCGGCACAATTTTACCAACACGTGACTCACTTTTTCTCATTTTTGCCAACACGTAACCCACTTTCGGTCAGTTTTCTCACACGTGACACAAATTTTGGAGCAAAAAAGGAGCAAAATATCGAGTGGCCTAGCAAAATGAAAGCAAAATTTCGACGATGCACGAGCAAAATTATGCCGCAAAATATCGAGATTCAGCTGGCAAATTCGGGTCAGCACTACCGCGCAGTAGAATCTACCCCCCGTACCGATTTTTTTTAGTGACCCCGGCTATTTTCGTGACCGTGTTGATAATTCAATGTATTTTGTATCTTCAAGAGTTGAGCTCATGAGTCAAGGGAGAACAATTCACAATCAGAGACATTGTACTCGTAATGTGATTTTACAATACTAGTAGCAGTGCTAGTGATGTTGTGAGCTCTCCGTGTGCCAAGCTTGTTTGCCCTTCCAATTTGTCTCGCAGTCGTAGCAGGACATGCACTGCAGTTACTGTGCACTGTTTTTGTAGCACCCTCAATATTCTAGTAGTACATTTCTTCTGTTCTGTCTATCTCTGTATTCATTCTGTATTCAAGGCCTCGCCCTGGTCGGGAAGTTATGTGGTAAGGAATCTTCCAACTCTTGTCTCATATCAGGAGAAGTTGTCTCCTATCTTTTTTTAAAATATGCTTACCAGGTAGTAGCCCTAGAATTAAAAGGGGTACGGGTAATCACAGGTACAATGTAGATAAAAGATGAGAACCTGGTGACGAAATAGTGCTCTGTGGCAGTCGACAGTTTTGTAAAACATTGCGATAAGTGGGTCTATCTTTGTGTCATGTTTTATGCCTTGTTAGTTACTGTTTGTAAGCTAACAACCTTCGTGTAGTGTGAGAAGCCCAAGTAGAATATGTCTGCATCCAACACACTCAATTTCAATTAGACTTAACAGTGTTGTTTTCTACACAATACAGTGCTCAATAGTCAGCAGGTTGTTGTGACCAGGCCAGTAATATGGTGGTACTTCTATGCTCTGCTCTACGTTATGGGAACGCAACGTGAAGAATCCCGGGAACGCTTTTCATGTTCCCGTAACGTAAAGGAAACCTGTTCTGCTCTACGTTCACGAATATAAATCATGTGGAATGTGTAATTTCCCATTCCAAATTTGGCAGTTTTCTGCCTGATTTGAATGACACCCACCAGATCCGTATGCATTTTCTTTGCGTGTGCCACAATGTAGAGAACCTCATCTACGCGTAGAAATCTGGACCCAAAACACGCGAAGCCGTAGACTCTAACCCAGACACCTGTTCTCTACGTGATTGCTCTACGTTTCACGTACAGCACAACCTAACTACAGTGTTGGCCAAAGAAATCCAACTTCATGAATAAAGTAACGCCACGTTAGAGTGCACGGACCAGTGTGTGTACTACATGTTAGGGCTGCGTAGAGCCTGGTGCTTATTTCATTCATGAGGTTGGATTTCTTTGGCCAGCACTGTAGTATTGCACCAATACGACAGAGCAAAATACTTGATCAGCTGACAGTACTGTTTGTCCCATTATGTTGTTGGACTAATCAGTACGACTCACTGAAACATAGTACGCCCGATAGATCTAGAGTCTGGACCTACTCCTTGTACAGTAACTGGTAAAGCAGTGGGTTGCACACTTCACGAACTGCCCAGGTACTACACTACATGAGAGTTCTCTGCCGCTTTCACTGCTGGAGCGATGCACTCAATGTGTGGATAGCATTGGTTGTCTCTTGTAACACATATTTTAGTATGATGTTACTTGTCTATCCTGCGAACTGCCGTGGTAATTGTTCGATATCTGGTAGTTTCTGCAGCATATACTGAGCATTTCTCCATCAGACAGGGGTGTTTATTCATAGCTTCTGCATGGAATAAGCAACAACACCATCATAGTCTGCTATGATTGCAGCACAGCACATAGCAGACTGCTTTACTCTATCAGTTATTATTAGAATTCTCAGCGCGTACATGTACATGCACTCATACTGATCTAGCAGATATTAGCGTGAGAGACCTCATCAAATCGGTCAATGGCTTGTGTATTTGTGTGAGATTGCCTGCAGTGTTGATAAGGGACTTTGTCGATTCTTTATTTGCATTTCAGGTATTCCAACCAGCAGCAGCAGGCAACTGCCACTACCCCTACCACGGCATCGAGCACAGCGGCATCGGCAACTGCCTCCACAACAACAACGCTAGCCGCAACAGTTACCATAACGCCATATCCATATTCCTACGCACAAGCTGCTACAGGGTATGTATTTGTTGACCGAACACTTCCACTTCAACTGTAAAACAAGAAACTTAGCGAGAAAAGAGTTAAACGAATTCTGAAAAGTCCGTTGGCTGTTGGTACTTCAGCTTTTTCCTATGCCACAGATCCAATTTGGGGAAAGGGGCTTTGGACAAGGTTCAAAGGGTACAATTTATTATAGTTGGGCATGATTAGACATTTATAATCTATAACATGCAGAGATGGACGATAAGAGAATGTCTCTTCCAGGTGATGGATGAGAAGGTGCGGTTGGCTTCACTTATTCTCTGTGGTAGGTCTTCTTGTGTTACGACTCTGACGAGTCTTGACCCAAGGGTTTTGGTGCACTTCCTATTGCTTTTTTTTTTCTTGATGCTTCATAATCCAGTTTTATCGACCTTCAATCAGAGGTGATCTTCTGCGAAAGTGGACTCGCACTAGTATACATTATCTTGTAGAGTTGTGGAGTGGGCATTGGTAATGTGTACAGTTGTGTCATCAGCATATTGCGAGAATGGGAAAGCCTTGAAGGAAGCGCAAAGTTCGAAGGACACTGTTCGTCAATCTTCCTCGTGGCCCCTTTAGCATTCAAGTACATGGGGTCTCCCTGCTGTCGGTGCTGAAAGATCGGTTGAGATGCCTGTTCAGCTTCTAATAATGTATTGGAGGCTAAGGTATTTATGATGGAAGTGTCAATGCCAGCCTCAGCCATTCTGCTCGGTGCATTTTCTGGCACGATCATGTCGAAGGCACTGCTGAAATCTAGCAGGGCGCCAGAGTAGGACCGGTCCCTAAGCAGGGCTCATTCACACAGCGTGCTGATGATGAAGTCATTCACATAGCATGCTGATGATGAAGACTCCATCAGCTGTAGAATAGTCTGCCCGGAAATCAGCCTGAGACTGTCTAACGAATGACTGTGTGGTCAGAGTACACCAATCTTTAAGGATAGAGGGTAGCGCCTGTCGGACAACTGGTAGCAACATCACCGGCCTGTAGCTTTTGGGGACACCAGCAGACTTATTCAGCTTGAACAGAAGAACTACAATGCCACACTGTAAATCGTCAGGGCGGTGGCCGAGATGTTGAAGAATGCTGAAAGCCAACCGGCAAGTACTCCACCGCCATATTTCAATAGATCGACATTGATGCCGTCGATACCTACTGCTCCACCTGATCATGGTGTCTGGATGGCTTTGGAAACTTCAACAGGATAAAAACTGTTGACACGTACATTGCTAGAAGGGTGTGACGACAGAGACCCCAGTAGGTCGGGGCGGTAAAATATGGAAAAACAGTGTTCAGTGAATTTGAACTGACTCCAGTCCTTGTCAGAAATCATGTGCCTTTGTCATCTTTCAGATGATTAGGAGACATTGACCTATCTCTGTAGTAAGAACGAGGGTTGGACCTTAGAGAGTCGCCAGAGTTGGCTTCGTCTTGCCACAACTGGGCACCTTTTTGCCGTAGTATCGACCGGATGTGATGCAGTATCTCCGAGCTCTCTTTCCTGAGTTAAACCCGATCTCCTCTACAGGTTCAGCATGGATTCTGGAGTGCAGATCTTGTTTCTTTGAAATATCGGCAATAATCGGATTGGACCTACACAATGTGCGTGATGGTGTCTGTACAATCGGATGCAGAGCTATGCATAACTGCGGCGAAAATGAAAAATTCAGGCTCCGTAGAGCGGGGGGGGGGGGGGGGGGCTGACTCATAATGGTCTTGCTCCGAGGAGGCTACACTGTGTCCTTCATCAGATACTCCCTAAGTATCGAGCTTTTGCATGAGCATAAGACCGCATTGCAATGATAATGTAACGGAGCCCAACCAGACCACCCCACTTATTTTGAGTGCAACATGGCCGATTTTTATTTGCTTTATTTTGGAGTCGCTCGATTGGGGTACTATGTATTGCAGCCTCTTCAGATCAAGAGCATTCAAGTCAGTATCCAGAAGACTACGCCTTCTGAATTCTTTATTTATGCCATGATCCAGTTATACCGCTTCAAAAGGCCTGAAGTGTGTACAATTGCCATATGCAAATACTTCAGTACGAAGTATACATAGTCTTGTGGATCCAAGGGATTCCGGGAAACCGAAATATCATTATGACTCCAACCGGCTATGATGTAGCACTTTCAAACTCTATTTTTTGTTTGTGTTCTTCGATGGTCTGACTTGAAAAATTGGAGTTCATTTCCAAGAATACCTTTGTACATGCGTCTGGGTAGTGTCGTATTTTAATTGTGTGTTGTACTGTTTTCCCTGGATTGTTGTTCTTGCTAGATATGTTGCTCCTGCTCCGTATGGTCAGTATGCTGCCACCATGGGATATGGTACACACCAGCAAGCGCAGGCACAACAGGCAAGTGTTAGCCAGAGCAGATTGTTAGCCATATTCAAGACGCTTTTGCTGTATGGGACGTTTTGTCATGGGATTTTTTTCAGATGACGGTGCCCAGGAGCAATTACCATCAATTTCTGGCTGATGTTAAATTTTAACATGGAAAAATGTAGGCACAAGTTATGCGATCGAGCCCACCAACCAAACCAGATTACGTCTGACTGTTCAAAATCTGGTTTGGTTTGTGGACTCGATCGCATAACTTGTGCCCACATTTTTCCATGTTAGGCCACACCAAGTTAATTTTATGTTTCGCGTCGGACATTTTCTGGAAAAGCACGCGGGCGGGCGGGAAAAAAACTCCATTCTAAGCGTACTGAGCCATGTTGCACACAGAATGGCACTACTAAACTGTCGTTAATATTCAAAACGACAACAAGTCGCCACAGGACAGCTGGCAGACTGGGCTGGAGTGATACAATAACAAATTAACAAAATTAATTTCATGGATGGCTCCTTCTGCACTTTGTTTTTGACATGAGTCGAGTGGAATTCCGCTCCATCACGATCGTGGAAAATCTCAAAGTCCTTGACACCTGGAATCTCCGCTCGCTTGGCGAGCAGGCCCTACTGTACGGCTTGGAAAAATAGAAATTGTCATCGCTCGCACCTTCTATGACCACCGCCTGGAATGCAAGATTATGGAGAAGCTGATAACCTCTGATCTGCCATACTGGCTAGAGAATGTTCGCCAGAACAGCCATCGATTGACTTGTCTCGGTTCTTTTTTTTCTTGTCAAGGATTCGAAAAGGTACGCGCGCCGTAACGCGAAACATAGAAATAACTTGGTGTGGCCTTACAATTTTTTCCTTGGCTCGCCATCTGAGCTCTCTATGAGAAGTAGGGATTAAATGTGAGCATGATTCATGGCTATTTGAGGTGAAATTAATTGCTCCTGGGTTAATAATGGAAGAGAAGCCCCCCCCCCCCCCAAATGGAATTACTGTACAGATTCAGCCTAGCATGGACTTTGCCGATTGCCTAATGCGGATCGACGTTGAACAGCGCAGCAACTGCTACATTGCATGCTCTATGAAATGTATGAGATTTTCACAGCACGTCCTAGTTGTCACGAAAGCCTCTTTAAAACCGAACTGAAGGCAACGGAATACACTGAAACATGTGTTTAGAAATTAGACTATTCCTTTCTACATGAGCTTCCAAAAGCCCCTGATTACTAAATGCCAGTAAATGGGCTTCAGGGAAACCAAAATTGCAACCATGTAAGCAAAAGAAAAGTCGTTTGTCATCGACAAAATATGAACTTTGAGTAAGGATGCTGCTTTTCCATCTCTTCTTTCACACTGTCTGCCTCTGGGCACTGGGCAGTCCTTAGACAGTGGGACACCCACTGCCTGCTTTTTTTTCTTTGTAAACAGAAGTTACGGTTGTGTTGGCCGCTGCAAAGTCTAATAACGAATTTTTCTGTGTTGTGGTTGTGGTTGCTGTCTTGCCTGCCGTTGCTGACGTACGATTTCAGAGTACGTATGGCGTTCCTCCCCCTCCCGGCACAGAGACTGCTGCCGCTTCCATGCCCGCCTCTAACTATGCTATGATGTACGGCAGTCAAGTTCAGCCAGTGCCACAGCAGCAGCAGTCGCAGTTGCACCAGACTGGTATTGCTGCTTGGGGAGGACAGCAGCAACAGCCATGGGGTGGCTGGACCAGCGCCAGCTACTATGGGGCAGCTCAGCCGCAACAGCAACAACAACTACTACAACAACAGCAGCAGCAACAACAACAACACTCGCAAGCTCAGATGACCTCACAAGGTCAGCCGCAAGCCACCCAGCAAGCTAGGCCCCAGAAACAATCGCGCACTCAGCACTCGCTATTAAAACCCAGGGGGCCACACACCATAGGCCAGCAAGGATCAGCACTCCCAAGCCAGACTCAACTGTCACCGCCTCCACCGCCACCTAAGCCTGCAGTGCTACCGACTCCTGTGACGTCAAGTTCAGTAGCTAGTCAGAGTGGTGTGACTGGCGCTGAATGTACTCAGGAGACACGGAGTAAGTACTGTAGCAGTAGTAGTAGTTTGTATCGGCTTTATACCCATGTACTGAACCAGTAATAGCACTCCACTGTGTGTCCACTGGTTGCCAGTAAGGTTCATCTCTGCCTTTCTTTACTTGTACTGTAAAGAACTGTAAGTCAACAAATATTCGGCGCATATTTATTTTCGGCTATTTTCGGCCTGGTCATATTGGCCGAAAATTTGTTGCTGCCGAAATTTTTGTTTTGCAAGGTTCAGCGTGTCAGTGTATACAGGTGGCAGCAGTACAGGCCGAAAATTTGATGCGGCTCAAATGGGTTCTAGCCCTGGAACGCCGACAATTTGTCGACTTATAATACATGGGTGTTAGTGTACAGTCAACCTTGTGAATAACTACCTCGGATATAAACAACTCGCAAATAGCAGCAACATCGTCAGACCAAGGAGCCACTTAACCACATACGTTTAATTAACAGCAATACCGTATTTCCCCGTAAGTAAGTTCTCCCCAATGACTTAGTACCCCCCTATAAAAAATACACTTTCCACTGCCGAGGTTATCACCCCGAAAGATAGTAAGTTCGTACCCGTCCTACATGTACAGACACCGTACAGTACATACATCATATGCACGGACACTAGAGTTGCGCAGGCTTCCCACTGTGTGTCATTTACCCCCGATAAAAAGTACTCCCCGTATGATAGTACCACCCCCGAAAGTTAGTACTCATGTGGCTGCTAAGTTCGAAAGTTAGTACGTACTAACTTACGGGGAAATACGGTATCGTCAGACCAAGTAGCCACTTGACCACATACGTTTAACCTCGCGCATAACAACAAGTCGCGAATGGCAACACTTTTCTCGTGTCCGATAAAGGGTCGTTATTCGCAAGGTTGACTGCAGTTTACTATCCTGTATCCATGTGCTTAGCCCTTTGCTGTCCACAAATACCAGTAGACCAGTTGGGGAATATCAGTTCAACAATGCATTTTCAAATTGCCGTGACTCCATCAATTCAGGGTTTCTCCTTTCCTGTTAGCTGCTGCGGTCATGGGAGCACAAATTCCAGTGATAGACTGGGCTAATGGGACTCTGCAGAAAAGGTGAGCTCCATGCGAGCAAGGAGAGTGGAATGGCTAAAAAAAAAGATCGCCCCTCCCATTAGCCCATGGCTGGAGTGAGGTCGCTGGGCTTCAGTGCTGGTCTTATGGCAGTATAATGGCAACCTCCCCCCCCCCCCCCCCCCCCCTGACATCGAGTTTGGGCTCAATTTGTTCCTCTCATCATGAATTTTCCAGGATGCCCAAGATCATGGAAATTGCCCGAATAAAACCAAAGCTATTGGTTAGAGAAAGTAAAAGATTTAAAAATTCAAATTTACCTTGCAGTAAATGTATTGTATAGCAAAGGATTAACCACTTGAACGTGCTCTAAAACTAACCCCTGGATATACTCGTTTATGTCTCTGTTTCTTGCACTTGTTTTGTTCATACCAGCCGTGAATGCTCCGGCAGCAGGCAGCAATCCTGCTGCAATATCTTATGCAGCTGCTCTTGGACAAAGTAATCAGTCTGGATTGGCAAGTAACCGACAGCAGAAGAAGCGCAAGGGCGGCTTTGCTCCTCTCAAAGCTCGCAATCGCTGGGACACACCATCGAACAGAGTAGAGAATCGGCCAGGTGGTGGGCAGCTTGATGGCGTCGAGAATCCCGCTGCACTCTCTTCAACAGCAACCCAGTCAAGTACAGGCCAAAGGTATTCTTGAGCTTTTCCTTTGTTCTGATTCAGTTCAGATGATTTCAGTACCTGTGCAGTATGTGTTGTTGGCATTAATTTTGTTGCTCGCTCTATTGTAAATGTACTTACCCCTTTTTTATTACGCGCGCGCGCGCGCACACACACACACACACACACACACACACACACTCATGCGTGCAGGTTACACTGACCTGCAGTATGGTAAGGATGTGACTCAGTCCTCGCTGATCCGCTACATGTAGATAATGTGCTTTCCCTGACCCGCACTGTATTTGAGAAGTCCTACAGTGTCGAAATAATGGAGAAAAACTCAGACATTGCCATGGGGAAATGTGTATATATGATATACAAGTATTTTTAATGTTTTGTTCAGTAGATGAAGGATCCTGTAAGGCAGCGTGACTATGACTTGTGTACTATCATGCATTGCCTAGTCCTGGCTGATTTTCTGACTCCGTTTTTGTTTTGTGGGGCTACTACAGTCCTGCTCAATGAAATCCAGTCGCATCACTCCAGTTTGCGCCTTGCACCTTTTCGCAGCCCTGTGTTCGCAGGTCTCGGGCTGCGTAACGCCCGGTGCGTGATTGACGCGACTGGATTTCATTGAGCAGCACTGTAGTAATTGCAAGACTGTGCACTACATCTTTTTTGACGATACGTGTACTTTCTAAACGGTTGGATGGGTACTGTCTGGTTTCCCTTATCTTGTCTGAATTCGCATGTCTGGTTGTTCTTGTATTCTCTATCATCCAAAGTAGCAGTGCAAGCTCAGGGCCACCAGCGACTGCACTTGGTGCTGCTGGTTCTTCTCAGACTGCTGGCAGCTATGCTCATGCATCGTCTAATGGTGCACGGCCTGGTGCACAGCCTAATGCACAGCCTAGTGCACAGCCTAGTGCACAGCCTAATGCACAGCCTAGTGCACAGCCCGGTGGGCAGCCCGCGCATATCCCCAGTGCTGATGACGCCAACGACACCACAAAGTGGCCACCAGCCATGAAGTGAGTCCTGCTGCTGCTGCTTGTTATTTCTACATTGGTACAAGTCTCATTGTGTACCTATAACTTTCTGGATAATTACGAACGACTTCGCTCGCTCTGAGTTATTGGAGCCGATGGCTGAGACTCTCTGCTAACTAGTAGGTGTTCTTTTTAAAGTCAGGAGTTGTGGTTGATTAAGTGTATGCATGTATGCATCTCATGATCAGGCGTCAGATGCGGCTCCTAAACGGTGGGGGAGGATAGATCAGATCCACCAACCAGAGGCCAAAGGCCTAAATCCCATTTGCCACATCCATGTTTTTACTCATGCCATGCCACGAGTTCCCAATTAACTGTGGGTCGCAGCACGGTTGGAAAAAATCCTTCCGCTTCTGACGTCTGATCATGGGGTGGTGGCGTCCCACGGAAGCGGAAAGGTGGTTCTTGACCAGGGAGTTGTACGACTCCTTGTTCTTGACCTGCCCGGTACGTGAACCCGTCAATTTTTTTATTTTTTTTATTTTATTTTTTTATGTATGCATCTCCGCCAAGTGGTTAAACTTCTGTAATTGACTGTGCATGATTCGCAATGACTTGACATCGCCTTTGCTTTCTCTGGCCAATGTTTCTACTGTTCTTCAGGGAATACGTTCAGGATATCTTTCAAAGTTGCAAGACAGACGAAGAGAAGGATAAATGTGAGTCATACCTGCGGGATATGTTGCAGAAGTCATTCAGAGATGGCTGGGCGTGGACCACAGACTGGAAGGCGAAGCCTCGCTTTAGGTAAGCTGTGTGCAAAGTCATTGTGCAATCACCACCGCTGTGTATTGTGTGTGCGTGTGTGTATGTGTGTTTGTGTGCGTGTGTGTGTGTATGTGTCGTGTGGTGTAGACCAGGTGTGCATTGGTGGTCGATTCACATGGCTTCGCCAGTTGTGTGGATTAGACAGTTATCTGGCGCAAGTCTTCATCTGTCTCATTCAGACCTTGTTCGCTATCGTTGCTATAAGAGAAAATCTGGGGGTGCACATCCAGTGCATTTGCAGATTTGCGTGCTTCTCTTGCGACGGGCGTATACATGGTACATGGTGTGTGTATGTGTGTGGTGCATGTTTGTGTGTTTGACAGACAGACAGACATAGGGACAAACGGACAGACAGAGAAAGACACACAGAGGCAGAGACGGAGAGAAAGAGGGGGAAGCACAGCTAGAAAAACCGCTTTAGTTGATAGGAGCAAGTGAAATAGTGGATTGAGAATCTGGGGATTGATGATGTTGTGAATACAATTTGTTCGGACAATAAATGGCCAAGTCATTATGTATGACAATGTGTATATGTACACATGTGCGCTGTCCACCAAAGGTGGGATAAATACTGGTTTATAGCTGAAGAATTGTGCAACTTTTTGTACAGGTAATAAAAACTATACAGGTGAGAAATGATAGTAAATTCAGCAAGTGCAGTGTGACAATGGACATGCATGTGCAAGTGTGTGTGAGTGCGAATTTACTGGAATAGTGTGAGTGCAGTGACATTTTCTTTTTGTTTACAAAGATTTGGATCACGAATGCGAATGTAGACTGCTTCTAGAACTTTCAACTGCTTGAAACTACTTGCAGAACGAACAACACTGAACCAAGAATCATCATAACTTTCACGACACACTGGGTTGGACAACAAATGCAATTTAATTGCCGATGTATTCTTCTTCTTCTCACCGCCTCACTGGGTCTCTGACCGCCACCGTCTTTCACACCATCAGCACCATCATCGTCTCTTTGTACTTCGAAGTAAACAAAAAGAAAATGTCACTGCACTCACACTATTCCAGTAAATTCGCACTGACACACACACTTGCACATGCATGTCCATTGTCACACTGCACTTGCTGAATTTACTATCATTTCTCAATATAAATAATTATTATAATAATAAACACAGCTCGCATCTTCCCTGAACCTGTTAGACAGGAGCAGAGTCGACGCACCTGTCAACAGTGTCAAGCCAAGTTAGTCTATCTCCTGCAGCTTGGAGAGCGCTCTCCACGGAGAGATCCGCTGCCTTCAGGTCGTGCCGAATCGTATCTATCCACCGCAATGGTTGGACGGCCACGGGGTTTTTTTATGTCGTTTGTGTTGATTGATAGCTCCAGTGCTTGGAACGAGGCAGATTCTGGACCCTCTCGCACCACATGGCCAAACCACAGCAGCCTGCGTCGCCGGCATGTGGCACTAACTGGCTCAATAACTGTGCAAAAAATTCCCAAGTTTGTGCTAATTGTGCAATTGTTTATCTTATTTTTCTTTTACCTGTCCTTCTCTGTATTTCTACTTTAGTTCCGAGGATGTGCCCAGTCGCACACAACCTACCACTGGCAGTACACATGTGTCACGCTGGCAAACTGCTTCTGGTACAGGAGGGGTGACTGGGGCGACAAGCACCGGAAAGCGGGGTCGAGGACGGGGCCGAGGCCGTAATGTCTTCAGAGGCCAGTCCGACTCCTACCGCCGCCGCAGAAGTCGCAGCAGCAGCAGTAGCCGTAGCAGTCGTAGCTCATCCTATTCTGATTCGGATGATTCAGAGAGCAGTGGCGCAGGTCGGTCCACCACCTTTGCTCGCGGTCGGGGTAAAGACATCAAAAGCCGGCTTACTCAAGTAGCGGCTGGCAAGAAGAAGAAAAAGAAGCAAAAGTGAGTTTTGTCTGCTATGTTGTTACTGTGGCATAGTAAGACATGGCTACTGTTAGCACTGCATAGTGTCAGGCACTTTACATTGTCAGCCATGCCCTGGCCGCTGGGCGGTGTTACCACTTGTTGCCCAAACCTATTTGTTATGTGTATTTGTGGGTGGGTGGGTGTGGGTGGGTGTGGGGGTGTGTGTGCTTTGTCCAGTCCTGCTTGTTTCAGCTCATATTGTAGATTGTTTGAATATATTGCAGGTTATATGAATCCTGTCAAGATGTGAGTTACGAGCGTGCCTGCCTGCATGCAGGTACATGTGGTAGTTATGGTAGCTAAAGGGTTAACAATATCACTATTGCTTCTTCTCATTTTTGCTTCTCATTTTTACAGGAATTTGACTTTCAGCCATGAGATGGATGCTGGGAAGTTGAAAGTCAGGCAGAATCGATTTGTGCAGCAGCGCTCTATGCCGCAGTTTGAGCGCACGTCAATCATGGATCACATATTTAGAATGGTACAGTGTATGGTTGTGTGTGTGTGTGTGTGTGTGTGTGCGTGTGTGTGTGTGTGGGTAGGTGGGTGCACGTGTGTGTGTCCGTGTGTGTGTGGGTGCACGTGTGGGTATCTGTGTGTGTCCGTGTGTGTGTGTGTGTGTGTAGGTGTGTATGTGTGTGCATCACACGCACACAAACATGTGTGTATGTGTGAGTGTGTTGAGTAGTGTTGGTTCAAAGTGGCTGCTATGCTTGTCATGTATTCCCAATTGAGTTTGAGCAGTCCTTTGGGAGTGGAAGTGATAATAAACTTGCAAGTTTTTTTCATCTGTTACAAAATTTTGACGCCAATTTCTTTGGCCGGTTAGCATCGAGCGGCGCAATCAGAAAAATTATATTCAAGCACGAAAGCCATGTCTTTGCTGTCATTGAGAGCAGAGACACTGGGCTCTGAATTTGTGTGTGTGTGTGTATGTGTGTATGTGTGTGTGTGTTGACATGGTTTGTCATGGTTGTATCACTATGCTCTTCTCTGTGTTTTCGTTTTGTTTAGAACAACGACACAGGTGAGGACCGTGAATCAGCATCAGCCAAATTCACCGGCACTTGCAAAGATTTGGAGAAACCCTATCTTCGACTGACTTCTGTGAGTGGTATTTCTGTGCATTATTTCACCTTGTTGATAAGACGTGTCGAGGAAGTATAGGGTTCAAGATACTTCATATGCATTTTGACTTTATACTTTGTCTCTTAGGGTTGCTTCACATAAGCCAAATCGGCCAGCACAGTGCTCGTTGGGCCAGCTCTCGATCACCTTCGTTGCCCAAGGAGATTTTGTACATACAGTTCTAAGGAGATCAATCATGTGCATATGGTTCCAGAGACACTGTAATAGAACAAGTGGCCAAATATAATGACAGAATTTCCCATTGGAACATGAATTCTACGCTTCAGGACAGGACGAGGCTTTCGGTGATGGCCACTTGGTAATACCGTTTACTGCAGGCCATTACTTCTGCACCTTCTACACTGCTGTTCAGTCAGGGACGGTGTCGAAAGTTTGCATGTAAACTTCCAGACTCATTGCTAACGGAACACTCTTCCTGCGACTGGCTCCATGTCTTTGATACTAAATGTAGTGGTTAGCTTTACTGTTGTGGACATTACGACCCGGTGGAATGACCTGGACGGTTGCCCTTAGGACGTACATGCACTATAGTTCACGTGCACACTGCAATAATGGACTGGTAGTGTCCAGCACGTATTAGAGTCATATGAATGTGCAGCATGCGTAGTGACGGCTGCAAGGCCAGCGCCCAGTGGCCGCATGATTTCTCACCTGACTTCAATGTCCATAACAGTAGATTGTTATCTCCTTGTCGCCTTATTAAATAATCTTAAATAATTTGTGCCCTGGTACAAATAGCCAAGTGTCTCCCTTTGTGTTGTTCTCTTCTTTTTCCAGGCACCATTGCCGAACCAGGTGCGTCCTGAGTCAGTACTTCATAAGTCCTTGGAGCTGGTTAAGCAGCGCTGGAAAGCACAAGCGTGCAAGTACCTGACCGTCTGTGAACAGCTCAAGTCAATCCGACAGGATCTAACGGTACGTGAGTGTGTGCATGCGTGTATGTGTGTATGTGCATGTGTGTAGGGGGGGGGGGGGGGGGGCTGTGCCCAACCAGAGACTTTGCATGTTTAGTGTGCTCATTCACAGCTACAATTTGGCATGCATATTGGGTTCCAAGTGCCATTTTGAATAAGGTGCAGAAAAGACATACGATGTATGCGATGTATGTCTTGTATTTGAAGTAGTATGAAAGCTGGCCCTACCCAGGCAACACATATCTGCTTTTTTGAAGTTACAGATAATTAAGTGACACCCTGCAATGTAGAGATTTTATATTATCAATGTTGAACCATGGTATAGTTCCTTCACTAAAGACCGGAACTCTATTTGGCTACTTGGCTTGTGCAGATCCAGTGTATTCGAAATCCATTCGCCATCGAGGTGTACGAGACACATGCAAGGATTGCTTTGGAGAACGTAAGTGTCTGCTACATGTCATTTATTACGGGTTTTGGGATTAGTCGACAGGAGTGTTGCTGCTATCATATTTTTTGGGGGAGGGGGGGCGCTGACACATCGATGCGATGTCCCACCTGGACAGTTTCAACGACTTCAGTCTGCAGGTCAGCACTACAGTATGTTTCGGTCTGCAGCACTGCAGGATATATCTCTTGTGATTACTAGTAGTATAATCAAGAGTATAATAACCTCCCAAGAGTGTGCAACTCTGCATATGGGGTCTCCGACGGCGAAAACTCACATCACGTGTCTCAGTGTCTCGTACTACATACAAACGAAGGATAGCGTGCGCGCAATCCGAACATCATGCTGGGGATTTGCATACCGTACCCGCAGTGAGTTTCTGTCAAAGACTGCTTTTTTATTACTCCGCTGCTCGCTAAAAGCGGGCTGGAAACGTACAACTGCGACACTGCACCACGTGATGTGAGTTTTCGCCGTCGGCGTACCCCGTAGAAAGGGTATCAGGAGTTGCACACTCTTGGGGGGGGTTATAATAACTCTTGGTATAATATAGTAGACCATTGCACTCCTCCGTATACATTTAAAAACAAGACAAAATGACCACCAAAAAACAAGAATTAACCCTTTATGTACGGAAAAATGTACGCAGACTGAATTTGATCTCGATTCACTTCAAATTCCATAGTTCTCCGGGTCATATAAACTTTGGTCTCCTTTTGACGATTTTTTCAATCTTGGGCTTCCTGGAAAGCTCGTCGCAAGAGGAACACATTGAGTCCACACTTACCACCACGAAGGTCAAAACGCCAGCGCTACAACCCAGCGTCTTAGTTGCAACGCCAATATTCCGACAGAAATCGTCTTGTATCAGCCATTTCGCTCTCCTTGTTTGTAACAACTAAATTTTTACTTTCAAAAAATTCGCAAACTGCCATGAGTCCGTTTGCCATTTTGAACGTGTTTCTACGTCACTGCATGCCCAGAATGATGGGGAAATCCCTCATTCAAATTTGCGCCCGGGGCTATTGAGCGACAATTTCCGCGATTTGACTTTCGAGCTTTGTAACTCTGGAACCGCACATCGGAGTGCTTCCGTTATAGTTCCAATGGACAGATGGGAGTTTTCTCTTCGACTTACATATTTTAGTTTTTGGAAATAACCCAGAGATGACTGAGTTACGATCGATTGAAATTTTGAAAAGTTTCGATCCTCTGGAAGTTGTACAGTCCGTACACAAAGGGTTAACATTCATTGTTATAGAGAGGTATCAGAGCTCACACTCCCCATACGGTGTCAGAGTGTATTACATGCTCCCCGCTGCCTCAAACTCGGGGCCTCTTGATTCGCAAGTAAGCCCTTGATCACTTCGTCAAAGCGCTGGTAATCGCTGAGTTCCGATAGTTTTTTCAATGTGTGCCCATACCAGTGAAGCCCGCGCAAATTTGAGAGACTCAAATGTGCGTTTGTCAAGTTTCCATGCTCATGGCTCGACTTACATGTGATGTATCTTTGGTGCCACAGGTCACAGCACTCCTGGATTGGTTCTGCCGACAGCCAGAAGTTTCTCCTTGATCTGGATTTAGAGATCATTAATTTTGAGTGTGTGTTTCTTCCACGCACCACTCTACTGTAATGTTCGTGTTACTGTACATCATTTTCTTTTCTCATGCTGTCGAAATGTTCAGAGAGACCCTGAAGAATTCAACCAGTGCCAGACGCAGCTCAAGGAGCTCTATTTTGAAACAAATGAAGGCCATCAGGCAGAGTTTGCTGCTTACCGTATCTACTACAACATGTTTACCAAAAGCTATCAAGGTAAGTGGCAAAGAATTCATCTCTTCTGCTGCTGCTGCTTACTGTGTGAATGTTGAATGTTTGTTTCAGCTTGATGCTGGCTAGAATTAACAGTCAGATCTGTTTTAAATAGTTTTAGTAGTGATTCTCTGTGAATATCTAGTGCTGCTGCTGCTAAAGCCTCTTGTACGGTTCAGATGTACGAGTGCTGCTGCTACTGATGTGCCTCCCTACCCCCCCCCCCCCCCCCCCCCTTGGCTGGTACCCTGATACACCCATTCATACACAGTTGTATAACTTCAGCCGCGACTTGGTCTTGCGCACCACAGGCAGAAGCCAACCCTGATGGGATCCAGTTGGTGGGGCAGTCTCTTTGCAGTTTCGCTATATGTACCATGTGCTGTGTACTGTGTCTCATTGTGTGTGTACATGGTGTGTGTGTGTGTACGGGTGTGTGTGTGCGCGTGTGTCACTGTGTGTTGTGTTGCACAGGACTTGCACATGAGCTTCAGGGCCTATCAGATAGTTTGCTTTGTGAGCCATGTGTTATGCACGCACTGGCTGTAAGAGCAGCCTGGTCGGAAGCCAATTATGCCAGATTTTTCCACTTGTATGGCACTACTTTCCACATGGGAAGCTATCTGCTAGATTTGTTGTTGCCGCGTGAACGCTTAGCTGCAGTTAGGGCCATGGCAAAAACGTACGTATTATCTTCTGGTGATTGCTTTTGTGTTTTCTTCCATTGTGTTGTCGTCCGTGTTGAACTTGTCTCCTGTATTTCTGTAGTGGCTCTGTCTTGAGGGTAGGGACATGTTTGCGCATGAATGGTGCCGTATAAAACAAACAGCGCACCCGGACGACAGGATCTCGTCAAAAATCAAAATGGCGACTGAAAATGCTCGCGTTGCATGTGCTGTCAGTTGTCAGTGAATATTGAAAAAAAAATTTTTTTTTAAAGTACGCACTTAAAATAACCATACATTCAGGACAACAAGAACTTACGCAAGAGAGACAGAGACAGCGACAGAGGCAGAGAAAACTTTTCCACTAGTACTTTCATTGCCTCATACACATAGAAGACATGATGAAAAGGTGCAAGTGTGAAGAACACCCTACCCCCACCCCAAGCAAGCGTGCAATGTATTGCAACAATCGACAACCAATGGACAAAACTAACGAGTTGTTGCCGACCTACCAAACAGCTAACCAGGGCGCGCTTTTTTGGTTTCTTTACACTTGCACCTTAATTTTATTTCGTCTATGTGTATGTGTATGAGGTTATGCATGTTACCGTGTTGTTTCTGGCTACTCTCGCTTGTGCTGTTGCTATCACATCACTACTGTGTAGAATTCATTGGGCTTGGTCAGTTTCTTTTTGCCTGCATTCCACCTGATGACGAAGGCAGTGAACGTGCTAGTGCAAAAGCTTTGAAAATGTTGATTCTTCCTACTTGAGCGCCATTCATGCATGGTACATTTGCTTGCTTCGACCTAGATTAAGATTCACCAGAACATCAGGGTTGGTTGCTACTTCACCTGTTTGGGATCGGCCAGAACATATGCTTGCTCCGGCTTCAGGGCCAGAGCAGTTTTAATTTTTTCACAGTCAAACCTGGCGGGAACATCGACTTTGTCCGAAATGATCACGTGTTTACGTTTTGTGGGGCATTTGGCATGCCGTATTTTACCAGTTATAAGTCGAACTTTTACGTCCAAAATTCGAAGAAAAGAAGTGGGGATAAACTTACAACCAGGATTCAAGTTCTAACCGGTAACTCCTGGTAACTTGGCAGAAGTTGGAACTGTTCTAACACAAGACACATACATTTGACTACAGGCTTTTCGAGTACAGGTTTTCGTTAATGCTGGATGTACGTGCAGTGCGCCTGCATGTACTATGCACTGCGCATAGGTTTCCGAGAAACTCAAAGTGAAGTGTGTGTCGTAGGCGCAGCTTGTCGCAATTGTCGCATTGCGGAAAGTGATATTGTGAGTCATACTTTAGGGTTTCGAATCTGTTCATACAGGCACATGTGCTGGCAGTGTGTGTGTGTGTGTGTGTGCACTGGGTCTACCAGTGACAGTTTTGGGTTTTTACCAAGAGTACAGAACTCCCCAGGAGAGTGCAACTCCCGCATACCCTGCTGTCCCGACAGAATTTCATTATTTTTATGATGCAATGCTCCTTTGCAGCTTGCACCAGTGATTTACGACATTTGTACGAGGTGTCAACATATCACACGGTTTTTTTCCTTTGCACTACTTGTACAGGATCAAAATTAATGGGGCTTTGTCCACCACAGGTTCAGGGTACGTCTGATAATACGTGTACAGTGCGCATTGCATCATAGAAATTCTGTCGAGACAGCACCCATAATGGAGTTTTCACACTCTTGGGGGGTTATGTACTCTTGTTTGTTACTAATTGTTTGTGTTGGTTTTCCCGTGTACCTATACACTACTAGGTATCGGCCGTCGCTGCCAGTTGAGTTTGTTCAATCTCAGCTTGGTTTCACCACCGTAGAACAGTGTGTAGCGTTTTTATCTCTTCATCAGGCCAGCTTTGCCGATGCAGCATGCACTGTGCTGGACGGCAAGCTCACTGCAGGCTCTTTGTCCGCCTCTGTAGTGGCGCCTCCTGCTGAGAAGGAATCTTAGCTTGGCCAACCCACGCTGGTCTAGTGGGTATTTCATTTCCTCCTCCTTCTTTGTCTCTCTCTCTCTCTCTCTCTCTCTCTCTCTCTCTCTTGTTCCACTTGGTTGAAGGATTTTTAATGATATCCTCTCCTAGATCCTGGTCCCGCTTGATGGTTGTGTCCTCTCTTCTCTTCTGTTTAGTACAGGGTATTTTCTTTGTGCTGCGGCTGCTGCTGATAGTGCTGATAGTGATCATCATGATCATAAACATATGAACGTACGTCGAAGTAATGTTGCTTTACATGTTGAGTATGCCCTTATTGGTTTGCACTGCAGCACTGCCCAAAGCCATGTCACTCTGTTCTGGCTGCTAGTAGCAAATTGGCACTACTCTTCCAGTCTCCGCAGCTGCAAAGGGGTATTCATTCAGCTTTCCTTGTTATATTTTCTTCATCTTTCTCTGTACTTAATCTGCATACGTGAGTAATGTTTTGATATAATGTGAATGTTGAATATTGATGTATCACAGTACCTCCTATTGTAAATGTTTACATTCTAGACATGTTCATGCCTTGTTTGTGTATTATTCTATTGGGACTTTGTACATAGCTATGGTCTCACTGGGATTAGTCTAAGTTAATCAGTCTGTTGTACTGCCCATTGAGATCTTGTATCTTGTTTGTGCCTATTCAAGTTTGGAATTCACAGAGATGTTCAAAGTGAATGACCCAGGGCTCTCTTGAGTGGTGTGAGCTGCCAGTATTATGTGATGCAATTCGGATATTGATTGGTCGAGGAATGAGAAGTCCAACGTGCCAAATTAGTTAAAGTTACCTTTGAAAATTATCATGTTTAACTCACGGTCTTCATAATCATCATACTCGTCCAACCGATGTCACCCTCACCCTGCGAATAATCAGCTCATCTCTTCCGTAGCTCCACTTCTCCTCAAGTTCCATCATGACCGAACATCAATGCAGGGGCTGGACGGCGAGTTCCACTTCTCGGGCAGCGGAGGTGCGATGTACGCACTGCGCGCCGCCCGCGACTATGACATGCACCAGCAATCCTGCACACATGCACCCGTGCACCGCTGTAAAAGGAGAACCAGCTACGGCTATGCTGAGTACTGGCATTGTGCAGAAACGAACTACCGTATTATCTCTAATATAAGCACGGTCCTTTATTTTTTCAATGTACCTCCGCCCCGTGCTATTAATGGAGACGTTCCTTTATTGGAGACTGTTCCATTATTATTTCAACCTCATTTCAGAGGCATGTTGCCATGCCAAATTCATGTCAAACACACACATTTCAGGGTTTTTTCACCGGTACAGATAATTAATTTACACAGTGTGCTTATAATGGAGACTGAGCACTTTATTATTTGAACGCCGCCCCAAGGTGTTCTATTATTGGAGACGTGCTATTATTGGAGACTGTGCTTATATTAGAGATAATACGGTATACATCAATTTCGAGCAATATCCATAGCCTGCAGTCATATCATGGCTGCTAAAATCCAGACTACCAGAGGTCATGACTTCGTAACATGCATAATGTACAAATGTAATGTACATGTACACGGAGTTTTGCGGACTACCCGCCACTATCTCGTCCGCTACGGGATACCTGATGAAGGCTGATTCACTCGCATCTTCTGCTACATGTACTGTATCAGTGTGAGAAAGAACTTTGAAGAAGACGAGTTCGAGCATACAATACCGTGACTGTATTGCCATGATTTCTACCCTGCTTTTCATTGAAAACACTATCTGCATGACCTCCGAACCCTTTACCATGCAGACCGCCAGCACTGATCAGGTGCATTGTACACACTGATGATTGTATAGCCTACATACTAGAACTGTGGTATAATCGTGTAGTTATACTCCTACCTCCGAAAGGATGCCAAATTATGCTCCAAATTTTCAACCACCAAATTATGCCAATAACTATGCCGGCATAATCCGCCGGTGCCATGGCTAGGCATGGCTAGGCCTAAAAGCAACAACTACATGTAAAAGGATCCCAGATGGGTCAATGCTGAGAAACCCGTACCGAAAATGTATTTCTATTTTTATTTAAATTGATGGTAGTGGTGGTAGTGATGGCGGTGTGTGTGTGCGTGCGAGTGTGTGTGCACGCGGCCGCGCGTGTGCGTGGTCGATGCGCAACACGCTTTACTTATTGCGTTTTAAATAATTTGTACAAAGGATTGGTTCTTACCAGTATCACCTGAGCCTGAGCTGAGGAAGACATGGTGATGCCTGCCTCCATGCGCATAATTATGCTTCCCATTACCGGGTTCGCGTCATGTCAGCGGTCTTCCTCATCACTGCAGTCATCCGAGTCGCTGCTCGGAAACCAAGTCTTGCGCCTTTCGTCCGCCGACTACAGTGGGCACGGTTCCGGCCGCGCGCACAGCTACAGGCATATCCGCTGGCGTTGGAGTGGTGCCGATGACTGTGCGTGCTCGTGGCTGGTAGAGTCTACGGGTGTCAATGCTGCTGCTGCAACGGCAGGCTCAGACAAGATGGAGGTTGCTAAGCAGTCGCCGTCGACACCCCTACCTACCTTGGCTTGAGTGTCTCCTCCGTCATTGACTGCACTCCACTAACCCAATGGCAATGACCACACAAACGGTCATTTCCCGCACGCATAACAAGGTTCAGCGAGGGGTGGCTGGGCATGGGATGCACTTTGCAGGACAGTTCACGGTTGACTACACACACGGTTGACGACAATATCTCCGCCCAGTAATACCGGTACTTTCACGCTCCAGCTTCGTTGCATTATTATAATTATAATATTCTTGTGAAGCGACGTGGTTCCCGGGAAAGCAGCCGACAAACCTCCCACAAAACTAACTTTAAAAGGCCTACTTCCTAGTAAGTGCCTTCAGTCGCGATATGTCCAATGAGGTTCTCCTCAGTCACTGTAGACCTCAGTCACTGTAGATATTCGTTTGGCTGTAGGATCAATCATGCCGAAGTCCAAGAGTCAAGACCACGAAGACTGCAAAAGCCAAGATCAAGCAAGACAAGAGTGGAAAGACTTCTTTGTCAGTCGGCGGCGTCGTGCGACACAACGACATGACGACGTTACGTGACCATGGTGACACTGACACTAGTACATGCACTAGCACAGTCATGTAGTCTATGCCGGGCGCGCCGGACGGCGCGGGAAAGCTAAGCGGCGCGGCGGTGGCCCGGTACGGTGCACACTGCACAATCATGCACAAACAGTCATCATGGTCATGTCAGTAATATAAGTGAGTAATACTGTTGATCCAGCAGTGACGTCTACGCGTACACGATGCCCTGCTGCAGCAGCTAGTTCTGCAGCAACGCTGCAACGGCAACGAGCCAAGCTGCAAGAAAAGTGTACTGAAAACAGTTACTGCATGCGATCCTAGGCTAGATCCTCATCAAACATCAATATTTTTGCGAAGAAAGGAGAAGAGAGAGGGAGAAGACCGTGTCTTAGTGACAGTACAGCTTCCATTCACGATGTCGGCCATGGATAGACCTACCCATGCTTTGCCGGAAAACCATGCTCATGACCCTAGCTCGTACGTGCCCCCAAAGCAGGATCCGCAAGTTGTGAAGGTGCTGAATCTGCTTCGCCCTAAAGTCCCAGCTTTCGATAGGCGATTCCCGCAGGTCAACGCAACGCGGGCTTGCTGGGCCAACTACACCGACTTCCACAGGTGTACAAAAAAGCTGGGAGAGGGAGCAGATACGTGCAAGTGGTACGAAGAACAGTACAAGTTCATGTGCCCTACTGAGTGGGTAAGTTCAGAATCGACATTGCTGGCTAGTGTTCCGCAATGACACAGTGTAATAGTGGTACTAGTAGATCTACGCACTGCCTCGACCGGCCCTGTTCGTACAGTGGTATGCATATGCGCGATACACAGTAGTAATTGTATCATGTTGAAAGCTCTTTCATCATGATAATTGATAGGCCGCTCGCCACTAGCTCTGGGTCACCCCATAAATGTTCAATTCCCTCAAATAATCGTACTTCAGCACAAGTGGTACACGTTTCAATCCATGAAAAGAAAGTAAAATCGTTCCGAAAGGCGCTAGCCCATATGCCCCGAAAGCCTTGTTCAAATACAACTCTTCTTCCTTCAAAACTTCATCACTAACTGTAACTGTAACTGTAACTGTAGTTACTTTACAAGTTACAACAGTTACTACATGTAGGTGCGGCAATCTCTCATCTCTCTCCTAGCAATAGCGTTTGTGCTATTGCTAGTAGATACTGTGCTATTATAGTGGTAGCGACGCTGACAACATTATACAAGTGTATACAGTAGAACGCTGACAACATTATACAGTAGTGTATACAGTAGAACGCTGACAACAGTATACAGTAGTGTATACAGTAGTGTATAGTGGTAGAACGCTGATTATCCGGACGTACGTCTACTACATTGTATCCGGATGATCGATTATCCGGATCACCTGGTGGGCTGGACAAAAAATGCGCTGCTTTTTTTTAGGTGTTTGCTGATTTTCCCCACTCGGAGCACCATTCACGCGATGCACAACATGTATTACAAGGCTTGAAGCTTACAACTGCTATCAGAGCACAATGTCATTCTCTATCGAGACCTGCTTGTAACTTACTATGCAGCGCTTCACATCACGTGAGGCGCTTGCAAGGTTCAATGAATGACCAAGTAGTGCAAAGTGACCAGCAACAGAGTTGTGCCCAACGCACGGGTTTGCATGCATCTCTCTCGCTACCGTGTGCCATGCAGCCACTGCACTCATGTCTGTTACCGGGAGAGTATGGAACTGTGCTCTCCTTTCTATGGATCAGACGCGGGGCGCTGCGTTCATCACATCGTGCAGCTACGTGCGCACGGTTTTAGGTTGAAACCAACTTTCGTTCGGAACTGAAGGCCATGCACCCAGAATTTAGAGTTGGGGCCTGTGCTCGAACGAATCAAGCAAAACCGGGTGGGCAAGAGCTTGTGGATTTAAGCGCACGAATACAGGTGTTATGCAGGAAGGCTACACAGGTCTGTCTCACCGAGTTTGGGGGTGGGGCGGCCATGGAGGGGGGGGGGGGGGTGGCATGAAAAAATTGCAGCCAATTGCAAGCATTTCTGTGCATTTCGTGCCATTTCAGTGTAACTGCAATGAAAGACTTTTTGATTCTGCAACAAACCAAGAAGACACTACGACAAGGATTCTTCATTATTCGCCACGTTTGCGCTGAGCTGTGATCATCGCGCTTTGTTGCAGTGTGCTAAAAAATAAAACGGCCGCGAAAGCGGGGCGGCCTCTGCCGCCCCAGCTGTGACGGCCTTGCTACAGTGTGCCGTGCACTGACTCATGACCACAGTTGCATACTTTTTATGGTCTTTTGTTAGGCCGATCTGAAGAGGCATGCGGTCTGGAGATCATTACCAGGAAAAATCATGTCTGATGGTCGATGTCTTTGGTAGTTGTGCATAATGGAGGGGAAGGGAGTGTTATTGCGTACATATACAGTGACCTTATGTTATTGTGCGTTCGTGTGCGTGCTTACACCTTTGTGTGTACAGGTGGAGCGGTTCGATGAGCAGCGGGAAGAGGGGCGATTTCCACTGAAGATTTGACTGTGAAAACTGTGCAAGTGTGTCCTGTAGCAGCTGCATTATTGCTGTATTGAACCTTGTCCTGCTGTTTGCTCCGGCAGTTGCTGCTGTACTAGCATTATTCACTGTGTATGCTGCTGCACTGTCAGCTGTGCACTGCTGCTATGTGATAGTTTATAACACGACTGTTCATCACACAGTAGGCTTTTGATTTGCCGTTACATGCTAATATTATACCAATATCTAAACTAAAGCAAACCGATGCGGTGTCTGTTCTGATGTTAGCTTTGTGTGTTGTACGCTAGAATAATATTCTGAGAAGTATGCTGGTGATTTGTAGTACAGTAAAACTGCCCTGATCCGGGCAGGCTGGGGAACTCCCCTGATCCGGGCAGGCTGGGGAACTCCCCTGATCCGGGCAGGCTGGGGACCGTGCACAGCTCCCCTGATCCGGGCAGGCTGGGGACCGTGCACAGCCCGTAACTAAGGAATTGCACCAAACTCAGATTCAGAACATACATGTACATACTTACTGCCTGCAATTAAACAATTAACCAACAATGATGTGTTTGGGCCGTTTTTCGTTGAAAAGCCAGATTATGTGATGTAGATGGGTCAGAAAGAGGCCCACGCCCAGTAGACATATGTGCCCAGATTAGGGGAGTTTTACAGTGAAACCATCACGAAGAGCGCACAACTAAGAATGTGCTACTTGGCAGTCGGTCAGACTGCAGCAAAGCGTTGGTATGGCATCAGTCTTTTGTGGACACGTGGCTCACGAATACCATCGCACGTAGCGAAAGTCAAGTGTGCAAAAAGCTTGTACATCGCAGCTATGGTAGTCAAACCAGAACAACAGGGACCTTTCGCATCTGCTGCGAATCAAAAAATGCGAAACGAAAGTTTGATTCGGCTCGTCCTCGTTCGTTGAAAACAGATTCAGGTTTCGCAAGTCGTCATGCAAATGTTCATGGCAGCTACGAATACGACCGGTAGCTTGGCGTACGCGTGTTTACACACACGTGCATGGATGATGGAATCAAGGGAAAAATGTGTACCTGGCGGATTCGGAGCGCGCCACAAATGAAGAGGCTTCCATTCGTGAAAACGAGCTCTGTGCAGGGACTCTGACGAATCAGCATTCGTTTCGTATCCGTATGCGTGGTGCGAAAGGTCTAGTAGGGAAGGCCTCTTTTACGGGCAAAGCAAAGCACAATCATCACCATGTATCAGTACAGTGAGTAGTTAAACCCAACACGAATGAAAAATGTGAAAATATTAATGGAATAAAAACAATATTTGTAGAAAAATAAATAAATTAAAATTAAAATTCAATATCGAACACGAATAAAATAAAATAAAAATATGTAAAAAATGCGAAAGGTCCCTATTGGTGACAATGAGTCCACGAGTCCTGATCCCGATGTACGAACATAACAAGCGTGGAAAGGAGTACAACAAACAAATACATGTACTGTAACTCTGTGAACAAATCTATCTACAGTTGTGGCAAGTGAAATCCGACACTTGCCATAGGGGACAGCGCCTCAAATGGACATCAATGATGTAATGCACTGCACCTAATTGGTACTATAGAGCCGTATGCATCCCAAACAGGTCGAAAGGTCACAGCTTAGATACACACAGTTCACAAACATGGTACACATCAGGAGTATTGGTATCCAATTCCCATTCATATTTGCCAGCACCTTTTGAACCTTGACTGTGATGAGTACGAATTCTGTCATCAGACAGATAAAGTTGTATGCAGCACATGTACTGTACATATGCAGGGCTGCAGAGGCTGCAGGATGCACGGTGCAGTCCCTTATGCCAAGTGTCGGATTTCACTTGCCACAACTGTACATGCACCCAACATACATGATAGGGAACACAGACATGACAGTAACAGCTGTAACACAATCTTGCCACAGAAATGCACAGAATCTATCGCAAATACGGGGTGGGATATTCTATTTCAAAAGGTCAATGGATCCCACCGCCTTCAATGTGTTGCTCAAAAGTGTCGGTTCCTGCCGCCTTCAGTGTGTTGCTCAAACCCGACACCAGAAGAGCAGCAACAAACGGCCAGCACTTCCACCACCCCCACCAACAACAGCAAGACCATCACCACCACCCCCACAAATAACAGCAACCAACAACTACGGTGCAGAGAGGCGAGTAGACTGCATGTGCATGGAACGGTAGAACTATGCTTTCAGGAACACACATGGAAAAATATCTTGCCTGGCAAGAGGAAAATAGAAACACAAGTAGTATGGAAAGTAGCTCCAAGCCCAGGCCAGCTCAGCTGATTCCTGGCATATCTGTCACTGGAACTTGTCCATTTTACATGGACATATAGACAGACAGAGCGTGCAGTCTTGCTCTAAGTTGCAACGCAGCCAGCGTAGCGCGATATCAACATCAAAAGCACAGCAGCGGAACAACAACAACAACAACAACAACAACAGAAAGGTGAGACTAAAGGAGCCAATTTGCGTGATTCTGGATGAGCGAGTTTTTATGGCTGCACAATATTGTGTGCGTACTATGCAAGCTGTACAACGACACAACTGTTACAGATATAAGCAAAGCGCTGGTAAGCAGAGGGTCCAGCCATATTATGCGCGCCCATATAGCAGAATGTCAAGACAAGAGTAGGAAGAGATAGAGAAATTCACGTAGGCAGAACTAAGCAAGCTATTTACATAGCTTATCGTCCACCAGCGTACCATCCAGAAACCACGCGTTGCATTTGAAAGCCATTCTCTCAGCAGTAGCGTCGGCTAGTCTTCAAGCGATGCTCCCACGCATGCCCAAAACTGATTTGGGCAATAGCAGGCCCATTTAATGGGTCACCATCTTAAGATGCAAATGAAAATCCAGGGTGCGTCTGATATGCTCAATGTATTTAAAAAAAAGATGAATAAATTACAGTTCTCAATCCAGATCAGCGTCAATATTAGCTGTGGCCGGAGCTGGCTGACTCTGTTCTGCAGTAGCAGCTGCTTCTGGTGCAGGAGCAGTTTCTGCAGGCTTGGCATCCTTGGGTGGCTCTACCTTGGGCTTGGGTTTATTGACAACGGGATTGCATAGGTTCTCCAAAGCCTACGGAGAGAGAAGACAGGATATCAATCAGTGCATACAGGTGGAATGCTGATATGTATCAAATAGTGTAATACAAGTTGAACCCTGATAATTCCAATACGCCTTGATTCCAAGTTTTAAATGAGAACGTTTCCTGGCAGTAGTCAACGGACCATACATGACTCGAGAAATGCACTTTGTTGAGACTTGACGAGTAATCGACCCGAGTCAACCCTCTTCATGTGTAACACCCACCAAGTTTTCTACCGTACAGACTTTCAAGCCGAGTTGGACTTGACCCAGGCTGAAAATTCTCATGTAAACACAGCCTAAGGGTGCGTTCTTCTCTAGCTTCTAGGAGAAGAAGAAAAGAGAAGTCGAAGAAACTGTGATTACTCAAGAACGGGTCTCGAAGAATTCGGAGATATTTTGCACATGTCAAGCAAAATGAAGCGCCAAGGGGGCCGTGAACTTGAGTGATGAATGTAGTAATGCACGTGTGCGTATGCAAAAAGGGAAATGCGTACACTCATGATGAACACGTGGCTTTTAGTCGTAGTTCGCATGCGCTGATCCCAAACCACGGGAATCTCCAAGTTTCAACCACCTCTGAAGCTTGGAGAGCTTTGGAGAGCCTCCTAAAAGTCGGAGAGGATATAAGAACAGCTCTCGAACTTTTCGGAGAGTGTCCAACTTTTCCGAGAGGATTTAAGAACGCACCCTTAGGTTACTTCGAAAATCTCTCAACACACGAGGGAAAATTATGAGATACACAGATAACACAAAAGTGGCCTAAGACATGAAGCAAACCTACCGTTTTCTCTGTCAGGATGGCCGTCGAAAGGAAGGGCGGGTTGTCGAACTTGTTCAGCTTAGCAACCTCGGCCATACGCTCGTGCATCCACACCTGCTTGGCTTCCACATGACCAGCAACACTCTTGATGTCATCCGCACTAAGATGCTCATACTTCTCATCCTGTACACACACACACACACACACACACACACACACACACACACACACACACACACACACACACACACACACACAATCATATTACAGATGACCGCAGGAGCTCAGTTGAGATGCACAGCATTAAAGTGCGCGTGTTTTCTCTCTGTTTGCAAATGTTAGGACACATGATGACAACACGGTAAGATCACCATCAGAATAAACATCACGGCCTGTCAACTTCCTGTCAATCAGCAGCCTGGTGCAATGCATTGTCCACGCTGTGATACATGGTTAAAAAGTGACGGTGGGAGAGAGAGAGACACACACACACACAAACAGAGGATTGAGCTCATACAGACCTTGCCGCCGCAAAGAGAAAGGATCTTTCTATAGTGGACAATAGTCTTGCCAAGGGTATCAAATGCTGGCTGCCTCTCAGAGGACTCGCGGGCACGCATCTTGATTGGCTCTCCAGTTTTCTGAAGCACAAAACCAGAAGATGAATAAAGAATACAGTATATCCACACATACAGAACAAAACCTCCTAAGCCCATGGTGTTGTCGTCATGACAGCAGAGAGCATGTTCTTCCGACCTTGGAACGCATGACACTACTTCCTACCTACCAACCATCCCGATATGGCCGGGACCGCCCCGATATCCACGGTGGTAATAGGCACCCTAAAGTGCATTTGTTACATGCCACACGGCTACATTCGTATACACTTTCATACCTAAGTACAATGTATGTCATAGTCCAGATCTCAGGTTTGCAAAGGTTGGCAGGTGGTATGCTACTTAGGCTGGTTGAATATACTCAATAATAGTGAGCTACACGGAACTTGATCCCGTTACCGCGACGAGGTTTCCATACGTACTTTCGTACGTTTTACCGCGTGGCAGAAACTCACTAATAATACTGCCTCCGCGTCATTAAAATTGTCGCTTCCCAGAGTGATTCTTCGAATTTATTTTGTCCACTCGAAGGACGAAGAAATCAGCTAGAAATTGAGGCAGAGCATTGTCGACGGACCAAGCTTTAGTTTGTGGCCTCCCGCTTCACTTCACTTGCAGCTAAGGACTTAGGTTGACGTCTTCATCAGAGTTTGAGGCAGACCCTTCAGCACTCAACACGCTCAACAAGATGCGCATTCAAATTCAGGTCAAGAAAGTTCGTTTTCAAGTGATCCATGCCTCCAGGTGGCAGGCGATGAAGGCAAGCTAGCATTTTTCAAGTACACTGTAGCGACCTTCCAGCGGGATAGGGCAAGCAGTCCCGCACCTTCTTTCTTCGGAAAGCCCTGCGCTGATTTTGTTGGTGTTTTCAGACCTCTCACCTTCGCAGCAACATGCGCCACAAGTAGCGCATTTTAGGATTTTGAGAATACTTTGTTCTTGCCATCGTCAACTTCAGCATTTCGTATTCAGGAGAGATACCAGGATTCTTATACTCGAGCTTGCAGTCTTGATAAATGCCCAAGGAGCGATGTGGGACGGCACGAACTCGAGCAAAACGATATGCGCTCTGGGGCGGAATAGTGCGGAGCGCGATGAAATTGCTTGGTGCGGAAGAGACCTCCGACAAAGTCCGAGACCACCACGGCTTCAGTAACAAGTACACATTGCGCAGGAAGGGTCGCACCAATGCTCGAACACAGAAAACAGCGATTCCGACAGTCTGACTAAGACGAGCCAAGTCACAAACATTGCGATGTGCGAAACGACAATTTTAATGACGCGGAGGAAGTACATGTACCGGTGTATAGTAATAAAGCAGTGTACAGTTACCTGAAGCTCTCCCAACTTGTCAACGTAGATCTGGCGACTGACTTCCTCTCCCTCCTCATACAGCCAATCCTCACAGGCAGTTAGAGCAGCAGAGAACTTCTCACTGTCCTATAAAGTACAAAGATGCAACAAAAGGAAAAGTATATGGGCGTATTAAAGCAACATTAACAATATCTGCACGGCATTTACGATGAGCTGCGACTGCGACACAATTCACAATCTTTTGGATATCTATGACCTTTTGGGCATGAGTAACATACAATAATTATTATATGCAGTGCAGCGTAAAACTGTATTCACCTGTTTGCAATTTCGGACCATTTTCACACCATGGCTGCTTTCAAGGAGCAGTAGGGCTCTTGCCATCATGATTGAAGTCATTCTATCCCTTTGGTGGAGACTTTCTAGGAAGCCAAACACGTACTGTGGAGGTTACGATCAAGAGAGCTAACCATGTAAACGCTCCATTGGCACATGTACTAGTAGATGTACATGCCTAATACCCGCAGCATACACACTGCATATCGTCACAAAACGTACCGGTCCAGAAATGAAGTCTGAGAGGGTAGATGAGATCTTCTCCCGCATTTCATATACATACTCTTCTACAGCATTCTTGGCATCGGCACGTTCCTTCTCTAGCCGGTCCTGTGAAATCATTTCATTCTACAGACAAAGAAACAATGCAGCCAAATCGTTGAAAAAAGAAAGAAGAAGAAGAAGAAGAAAAAGAGCATACTGGGAGGAACAGTACAACTTAAAAAAAATAGTGAAGATCAATGTGAGACAAATACAGCAGTATTGCAACAAGGAACAAGTATCCACACATAGGGGGAGAGAGAGAGAGAGAGAGAGAGAGAGAGAGAGAGAGAGAGAGAGAGAGAGAGAGAGAGAGGGAGAGAGAGAGGGAGAGAGAGAGAGAAAGAGAGAGACCCTAATCAAACAGCAGAGGCAATGTGCAGTTTAATTGTTTTTGCAAGATTAGTAATTTTACAGGTTTCCGACAGTATATGCTCCGCAAACAAGAATGAGTGCACATACATAAGAAGCACGCACCCAATATCCATTGCACAAAACAACATGTTCACAGATGTGTGCTCAAGGGCCATAGCTTTGCCGGCTGTGCTCGGCTACATGAAATCTCTACTATTAAAGAGGGTACATTTTGGCAAATTGTCCCACTCTGTCCGCGATGGAGTGTTCACAGAAGAGCACCTGGCGTCCGACATCTCTACTAGATGGCTAGTGCCACGGGGTCTTTGCCTACAGTGCGTGTAGTGAATTCCTTATTCTACACTAGCTAGAAGCCAAAGATATCCAAATAAGAAATACATGCAACACGAAGGCTGCGTGATCCTGGCTCTGCCAGACGTACTATTGAACAAGCAGAGCATTTAGTCGGTGAACAATTTCCGACGAAAGGGATTTGTCTGGTTGAAAATGTCATTCTGAAAGTATAAAGCGGAACTGCTGAAAAGCTGGACAAGTTGGTGTTAGTCCAATTTAGTCCCGGAGCTCTTTGGGCGAAAAGAAGAAATTCATCAAACTCCCAGTGAATGTTTCTGCTTCCGTCGTACGCTTTCGGGGTTTTTTGGCACAGGCCGGGAATAGCATCATTGCTACTATTTGCTAGCCGTACGGGACCAGAGGACAGAGGAGGAAGCACCAACTTACCTCACGTTCAATGAGCCGTGTGAGTGCTTCGTGCGTGCTACCACCTTCCACGCGTGCATCAATAGGCAAGTCATGTGACTTGACCTTGACCTTCTTCTTGGGTGGCTCACTCTCGGACTGTCAGTGACACAGTAACACAGGAACAACAATGATGATTTAGTGACAGCTGCTTGCTGCTCCTCACCTTGCATTGTCAGGATTAGCATGTGCGACAAATGGAAGAATTTCTAGTGAACAAAGGAACACATCGTCAGTATACATGTACATCAGCTCCGTCAAATTCTCAAGGGACCAAGAACATTACGGGTGCAGCATGTCCACCGCCTTTAATAGTCCATCAAAATACGTATCAGGTGAGCTCACCTTTTTCGAACCATCATCACCATTTCCAGATGCATCCTGCACAGAACAGCGTAGAAAATACAAGGGCACATTTAGAAAAAATGGGTCTAACAGTAGACGTACTTGTTTGTTGCGTGTTCCTCCTCCTCCTCCTCCTCCCAAACACGCATGTGTACCTGAACAGGGCTCTATGAGTTGCGAACTTGGGATTAAAGTGGCTCGAGGCCAGTTCAATCTGAATGTCTAATTCCACTAGGGCTGGAAGAAATTCTACAGTGCTGTTCAATGAAAGAGTAGCTGATGTTGCCAAACTGCCGAAGAAGTGTGACAATTAGGTATTTACCTCAGCAGCAGCAGCAGGTGCACTTGCAGAATCCTGAATGCAATGGCACAACACAGGATGAATGAAAACAATCTTTACAACCAGTGATAAATAGCACTTCATTGAACGGAGAATGGAGCTTTCACGGCACAAGTATGCACATGAAGCCAAGAACTATTTACGGGTTTTCGGAAGAGAACAATCCAGGCTAGATTTAACACACGCACTGTTTTCTACATAGAGCGATTGCATCGTATGATGCTCTCCATGATCGCGGAATAAGAACAAAACGACCAACATAAACATTTTAGAACAAGGCTGGGCTGCAAACATTGCACTATTGTGAAAATCAAGGTACATGATGTATGAAGATTGAGGGCAAATCCTCGGCTTTCCATCGGTGTACTCTAATTTCAGAAATTTTCGGTGCTCAATATTTTCGGTATGAGGGCAAATGGCCAGGTTAGGTGAACAGAAAATTTAGGTACGGAGAAGCAGTTGCCTATTGGATTATGTGTGTTAGTGTTTGTTCGATGTATTGAAATTTTAGGTATGAAACAGATGCACAGAAAGAACCGAAAATAAAAGTACACCGACAATTTGTGAAATTACAGTAATCGTTTCATAGCAGCTGAAACGGTTGTTGAGATATTACACTCGAAAGTTTGGCGACAGGACTTTTCTCGTTCCGAGTACATTTTTGGGTAAGAAATGGGGAATTCCCCAAGTGCCAGTCATCAAACAAAATACAAGTACATGTATAGATGATTACTGTAAAGAACTTGCAAACTCAAAATATACTAACGGTTGCTTCGGTGGCTGGGGTCTCGTCGACATCCATAGGCTGATCTCCTTCAGGGGCGCCATTTTGAGTCTCTGAAGTAGCAGCTTCTCCCGAGGGCTCCCCTGCAGTAGAGTCCTCCGGCTCAGCAGCGGCGTCCTCAGCCGTGATCTTCTCCACAAGAACGGCGGACGTGACATTAAATATACCATGGATGTTTACGCGGACCTTAACTTTGACTTTGCTGGCTTCTCCCTCTGAAGTAGGGACAACCTTGGCGATGGTGTACCTACCTAAAACAGCAAGGAGAGAGATAGATTAAGGGGGTTAATGTATTCCTTACTTACGACTTGGTGTATATGCAACACACACACACACACGCGTGCACTCAAGTGCATAACTTCATATTGTAACATGTTCGTTTTTTAGTTCTATATGGACTCACCTATGTTAGGGTCAGTGTGTCCTCCATCAGCATACTGGGCATGGATGAAGAATGGCTCACGGCGGAAGAAAGAAAGCATTTTCGAGTAGGGGTAGGCTTGACGAGGAGGGAACACATCCATCTCTCTAAAAATTGATGAAGGCACAAACAGATGCACATGAATAGTATTATTCTCATGCATACCCTCTACAATATTTTTCTTCTTCTCTCCAACAAAACATTGGCAAGCAAACACATACACAAGATGGGGGGGGGGGGGGGGGGGGGGTGCTTACGCTTCCTCTTCCTCGCAAGATGGCTTCCATGTCAAGCGGATTGGGTAACTGACGACGTCCTCCACCTTGAACTCTCGCACCTTGAATGTTGGTGAGAGCATCGCACACTACACAGAGAAGGATAGATAAGATAGGTTTAAAACAGCACACGTCCGTGCATGTTTGCCAGAAAGCTTACATGTACAAACCAGTATAGAATGTGTAGTTATTCTAGTCAGAACTGCAACTGCTCGCATGCAACTTTTTTGAATTTTTCATTTAGCTCAACCCATACCCTAGTAGATAGGCTACATTTTCAGCCATTGCCCAACCACGGAATGTGCTCCCACAAACATGGCAATAATCCTTCCTCTGGAGACATCGTGCCTTTCTTATTCACAATCTAAGGAGTTCCCGTGCTCAAAAAAGTTGGCTCAGTGGAACAAAAACACTAAGACAACGAGTGGATATACTTGTTTGAAGTAACGTACACCACTACACAAATAAAAGTGGCACCGTTTGCGTCTCACTCAGAGTCACTATTGCTCGATTACCCACAGATCAAGTCAAATCGAGTGTGTTGTCAACTACATGCCAATAGATATGCTGCCAGAAGATGAGAAAAAACCCGACTTACCTGAAGGGCGCATCCACGGGCAACAGCCTCATCCTGGTTGAGTGTGGTGCTGAGCTCCAAGCCAAACACACGCTTGATGGCGTCACGAACAGCAGGCACGCGTGTAGAGCCACCAACAACTTCGACTGAGTACAAGTCCTTTGGGCTAAGGCCTAGAAATCAACAGGAGACCAAAGGGATGCATATTTAAAAAAAAGAAAAAAAAGAGAGACACAGTTTACCATGGGACTGGGTGGTGTGCTCATGCTAATAGTATATTAGTATCTCGTCTTGGAGCCACAGTTGTCATAAATATGTGATGCTTGTACTGTCATTGATTCGGTGCTGGTCAGGAGTAACTGAATCGGCTATGCAAACAAGCCGAGTGTCTGACGAGCGAGCTCTTGATCGCTCGGCCAGATAGTTACAACTCTAATTTCGTCCCTAGAGTGACCTCATACGCCCGCCACGCTGTGACTGTTCGTGCCAGAACTCGTCATTCAGTCCTAGGTGCTGTAAATCAACTCATTCTCGTGTCGCTTTAGCTTGATATGACTGCAAAAGTGATGTTTTCCTTTCCCAACATTTTTTTAATATAAAGGACAACTACAGGAAATATTCATTTCTTCAGTTGAGGGAAACAGGTGGCATTTTCAGGGAAATGAGCACAATTAATTGGTAGGCCAAATAGGCTGCAGGCATAAGTCAGCACTAGCGTTAAAGGGGAACTGTCACCAAAAAAATCTTTGTCTTATCTTGTAGTTCTTTGGCTCCTGATCACGATGGTGTTATCCGTTTTTCTCTGCGATGGCTGGAAGTGGGTGAAAACTTGAAAAGAAGGTGCCCAAAATTGTCCCGAAGTACCGAGTGACGTCACGGCGGACTTGACCTCCACGCGTACATTCGTCGTCAAAAACGAAGTCCAGCCCGTGTGCTGGTCGATCGAGCTAGCTGTTCCAATGTACGGTGCACGTGTGCCTTTTGAACTGTAACACAGATGGGTACGTCGTACCGAAGGAGAATGCCAAAGAGGCAGTGACCCACGTGCAGCTACACAGCCAAATCAAAATAAAAAGCAGCTGAGCTTTCACCTTTTTGACTTCTTCCGCGAGGATCTAAGTTTTATTTTGTGAGCACGGAAGTACGTCGTTATTTTGAACTTTTCGTGTGAGGAACAACACGATGATGAGTGCGTTTGCAGAAAACAGTACTCCTCCGGCCGGCGATAACACCACCAACCCGAGCCCCAAAGGAACGCAATGTAGGTACGTGAAGGCGATTCATCTGGCGATGTTGCTGAAGATGCAGATGACAAACTCCGACGTCTTTCATTTCAGAGCCGAGTGGGCAACACCGCCACCTTCGGCTTCGATACAACGACATCATTTTCAAGCACGAGGTATGTGTGTCACACTAACAGCAAACAAACATCCTTCCACTCCTTCGCAATCACAAATAAAACAAAGAGCTGGAGCTTCGTGGAGGAAGTACCAGTGCGACAAACTGCTGTCGACTTTTGTATATTTTGTCCCTTTTTGGCGTTCTCATTGTGTACAACGTACACATCGAGTGTCCGAGTTCAGAAGGCAAGCATGCACCGTACAGTTGGCTCGATCGACCAGCACACGGGCTGGACTTCGTTTTTGACGATGAATGTACGCGTGGAGGTCAAGTCCGGCGTGACGTCACTCGGTACTTCGGGACAATTTTGGGGACCTTATTTTCAAGTTTTCACCCACTTCCAGTCATTGCAGAGAAAAACGAATAACACCTTCAGGTTTTTACAGTGCCGTTTCCATGGTTGTAGCCAATGAGCGACGTTCCCGCGGTGGCCTTGATGAGCCGATAAAGGCCCGCACGCTGTCAGCCTAGCTCTAAAGTGCAGGGGTCTGCGTCAGTTTTCCGTTGCCATCTCAGTTCATCTCAGGACCTTGCCGTCCTTGGCTTTGGAGGAGAGTAGAGTAAGTACATGGTTGAAACCAGGTCTACAATCATGTAGATTGGGCATGCCTGTAGACATGACCTCATGCCCAGTTCTGTTCATTGATGTAATAAACATACAAGTACTATGATGTAAGGTAGCAAAGGTGGCTACATGTAGTAAGCAATCCAGTATTCTACAAGCTAATGGCGATGTTGACAACAGGTTTGTACGCGTGTCAGTAAAGGAGTGACAAAACTAAACAGCTACAACCTGAAAACAATTCAAAACATTCTTCTTCTTCAAGGCCAAGGGAAAAATGGCAAGAGTTCTTGCCACCACGTCCCCGACCTCCACCCCTAGGTGGAATCGCGCTTATATACAGTCTACGAGTACGAGCATCAAAGGACGACTTAACCTGAGGAGTAAATAATTGGAAAAAATGGCAAGGGATCCGTCCACCACGTCCCCGACCTCCACCCCTAGGTGGTGTCGCGCTTATATACAGTTCGCAAGTGAAACCTGACCATGAATGAAGGCCAAGGGCGCAGGCCAAGGCGCTACTAAGGCGCGTAGCGCCGAGGCCTGCGCCCGCGGCCGTACGCATGAGCTTTGGCAAGTCTGCAACTACTTCTTTTAAAAAGCGATAGATCCGGCCACCACGTCCCCGACCTCCACCCCTAGGTGGTATCGCGCTTATATACAGTTTCAAAGAATGCCAGTGAAAACATGACCATGACTCCGATGAGCGTACGGCCAGGCAGGCCCAAGGCCCGGGCGCTGGCCAAGGCGCGTAGCACAGTAGATCTACGCACGAAGCCTTCATGTACTGATGTAAGCGAAAATTGATAAGATCATCGCGTGTCAGCAAAGGAGTGATAGTGTAGCCACCACGTCCCCGACCAACCTACTTGTTCTTGAGCATTGAGCAAAGAAAAATGGCAACAGGTCTAGCCACCACGTCCCCAACCTCCACCCGGCTATGTGGTATCGCACCGTCTACGCGGCTCAAAGGATGTAAGTGGAAACCTGAAACACGATCATAGAGTTCTGGCAGGACTTTCCGCCTTCATCAAGGCCTCGTGTGCACGGCCGCGGGCGCAGGCCTCGGCGCTACGCGCCTTGGCCTGCGCCCTTGGCCGTATGCACTCGGCCTTGATTCAGCCATAAAGTCCTGCCAGAACTCTATGATTGTCTACATCGTGATCAGGAGCCAAAGAACTACAAGATAAGACAAAAAAAGAAATTTTTTGGTGACAGTCCCCCTTTAACTAAAAAAACCCAGTGAAACACACACTAACCAGAATCGGTGAGGACTTTCTTCATGGGAACCTCCAGGCGTGCAAGCAAGTCGGCACACAACTCTTCCATTTCAGAGCTGCACAGAGAGAAACAAGAGAAACTTCCTTTGCTCGTGAGACAGTCAACGGGCAACGTAGAACAAGATACAATACAGAGTATGCCATGCTGTGACCCAACGATTCCATGGGTAACCCCCACCCACCCAAGCACAACAGTGGGTATGTTTTTGTTTGTATTTGGGGGGTGGCGGCGTGGACGGGAGAAAAAACCAACACATGTAGTCTTGAAAAATGTATCGTCAGTTACAGATGACTGCTAAATAGCTAGACCAGGCGTGAAAAGCTTACCGCTTCATTTTGGCAGTGACATCCTTGTCATCCATAAAGCACTCGATGTTCATAGGGATGGGGGTGGTGTTTGCACTCATCAGCTTCTTGATCTTTTCACTCTCCTGGCTGAGACGAATTCGGGGTCGAGGCTTTGTCGACGCATCAACCTTGTACTTGTTCTAAAATGGTAAACAAATGAGATGCAAGCATGGGCTGAATAACCCTCAGGATGGGCAATGTCCGGAAATTTGGTGAATGAAGGATTGACAATTTTAGCAGGAAAGAAACCAAGTAGAATGAGTGTTGAGACCGAGTATATGTGTGAATGTGTGCGTTGGAATGTGCTAGCTCATAGAATATATGTGGGTATCTACAACAATACAATAAAAGAACACATGGTAGGACAGCACTCACCTTGAATTCCTCATTGAAGTGTTTCTGGATGCGCTCATCAAAATCACGGCCACCAAGCTTGGAGTCCCATGCAGTGGCCAAGACCTATAGCCACACAGGAGGAACGTAACAATCAAGCCAACTACCCTTCGGCCTACTTGCTACATGCCATGCACTTTTTTCTTCAATACTCGCAATAAATCATGCACTCTTGCTCACTCCTTGTTGAACAGCGGCTATTTCCTAGGACTGAACTAGTAATGCACGTCTGGGCATGGGTCGGGTTTCGTCTTATACTTTGTTGCACTGGAATACTCGATCGAGATGAAACAAGAAAGGTTTTGATTTGCGGTGAGCATGCCGCACAAGCAATTCCACCCTCAGAAGTTACAGATGTCCCTACATTGGACCTGCCAACATTGGCACACAAGCCTACTGTCTGTAGGAAGGAGTAGCAAAAAAAACTGGTCTGTAGCTACAAGGGAGTACTAAAACTCTGTAAAAAGTTTAGTTCTCCCTGGTAGATACCGTACTCGTACGTGAACAGTTCCATGTGCACCACTGCACTGGTGCACTGCAGCCTGTTTCATAAGTGTCGACTCCGCAAGTTCTACTTTTTCCCCATAAAGATGTGTAACGATACAGCGAAGACTTGAGAATTTGCGACAAAGGCTGATGTTTGTGGAGTTTGTCATGGCCGGGGGATTGCAAATGTCTGTGGGGGGCAGACTATGTAGAAACAACACTCTTCGTGTAGAACACTAGGTAGAAAATCATCACTCACCTTGAGTTTGCCTTTGATGAAGGAGGCAAGAGTGACCCTTAGAGCAGAATTGCCCATATCAACAAACACAACATTACGCGGCTTCTCCTCTGGTGCAGGAAGGTCCTGCTTGTAGATACCGTAAGCGAGTGCGGCTGAATAAGACAGCAACACACATCAACAAAAAAACGCGCGTAAGAAGCAAAAAAAGACAGGACACCAAAAACCAGCATCAAGGAAAATCGGAAGACTTCGGCACAAAGAAATAAATCTATAAAGTGTACTAGGTGCTTGGTATACATCAACATGAAGGGTGCACGGAGTCATAAGCGAATCAATGGCCAGTCAATTTAACTGCCCAAGGAATCACATTGACTTGTTTCTCCCTGGCCTCTATCACAGGAGCCAAGGACACACTCAAGATGTCAAGAAAACTAGATCATACTAGCAAGAAACGATCAGTAGATCACTCCACACACTTGCAATTCACACAACATACTGGCAGTAGTGTCATTCATAAGGCGCAGGCAGTTGAGACCAGCGGTAGCAGCTGCATCCAACAAAGCCCTCCGTTGGCGATCATCGAAAAAGCACGGTACCTGAGAAAATTGGCACAAACACAATACTCAGCGTATAAGAAATTAAGAATGATACCAAAACCAATTTGATGTGTATTTGATCATGCGGCAACTACAATCTTGTCATACAGAAATTTCCGGTAAGAAAAATGGTTCCCTAAAGTCATCCTATCTCGTGCAAATGCTGGTGTGATCACTGGCAGAACTTACTGAGATGACGCAATCGCTAACTTTCCCGCTGAGGTTCATCTCTCCGACTTTCTTCAGCTGAGTCAAAAGCATGGCAACAACTTGTTCTGGCTTGAAAACGCACGCTTCACCAAGATATTCCATCTACAGTGGCAAAACAAAGGACAACAGTACAAAAATTAGTAACTCTGGAACGGCTGCTCCAATCAACCCGGCACCTTCACCATTGTAATCAGTGCATCTTTCGCTACATGTAGAGGCCCATTGGCTAAAACCAAGGTCCAATGGATACAGCTAAGGAAAGCTCCGACTAAGTCTGAAAAGGCAAGGAAAAAAAAGTAGACTGCTTCGCCGTGCGGTGATTGGTCAAACCTAAATGACCATCGGGCACGCTTCGTACAGTTGCAGTGAGGCCTGCCTGTCAAAATCATACTAAAGGTAGCATTTCAAATGCATTTAGCAAAAGCCAATCTGTGCTTTCAAACGAGCTGATGGTTGAAAGTGGCTAAGAGCCCAAAAATAACAGTCGTCATGGAAACACAAGCGCTGTTTTCAGCTAAACACCTGAGTCCATAGTATGTCTACGGGCTAAGCACACCAGCTCAAGTACTCTGCTACACTGGTGAATCAGTGAGATCTGCACAGTAAAGAGAGGAGGTACTACCTCGCATAAGAGTGACCAACAAAAGGGAGCAAAACTTATACATACATGAATGCCAACATCGCCATCCTGAGTCTCTTCAGCGCTGAAATTGGAGAAGCGGAGTTCATGCGCAACAGCAGGATCGGAGAACTTCAGACCCAGCAAATTGCGGAAGTTTGTAGCGGTGTTCTTGAAGTTAGTGACAACCTGGGACAGAGAGCACAGACGAGTTCATGAGGTAACAACCAGCTGCAAATGGAATCCAAACTTGATCATATATCGGTCTTCAGAATGATGCTGAAAACGAGGGAGAATCACTGTTAATTAATGTAGGATGAGAGGATGTACGGAAATGGGTGCGATCAAGAGTCCATAAACAAGAGTGTGCAATGCCACATAGATGTCTGTCACGACTCGTTTTCAACATTACGTCATTTTGATGTAGCTGCGCGTGCAGGCCGCGACATTCGCTACATGAAAATGACGTAATGTTGAAAACGAGTCGTGACAAGACCCTATCGCGCGCTGCACACTCTTGTTTATGGACTCTTGGTGCGATGTTGCTCAAACTGACAATAGGGCATGAAAACACAAAGTGACATTGTACCAAATAATTATGATACCACCAGCTGCACAACGTAGATGCAATACTACATCGTAGAAATCAGAACAGTGATGCACAGCAGCAGAAAGAACAATCAGCAAAGGTGACACACACACAAAAAAACTCTGATCACCATAACTACGGGTTACCAGAGGATGCACCAAGTGTGCTTAGTGTGCTCAGTACCGCAGAGGCAGAAGTATTTGGGATGAATTTATGCAGCAGGTTGCGATGCGAAAACACTCTCCTGCGACTCAAAAAGCACCGCGACTCGCAGAAACTGCGATACAGGCTATCCATGTCTAGCTTGCGCGGTCAAGTACTGTTGTGGACATGGAAATCCGGTCGCACGTCTAGCGAACCCAGGGCGCTGGCCACGCAGTACACCCATGCATCTATGCGCCGCAGCCCGCTGGTCGCATCGAATCAACATGTGCGCTGCAAGCAGCGTTCTGTACGCGCCGAGGACGCCGGCCCCGGTCAATCGACTGGATTTCCATGTCCGCTACAGTAGCATGCCTGCAGTGCAGTGTACATTGTAGGTGGTACAGGTACTCTCAATCTGCGCGCACATCGATGCTGCAGTTGTGCATGTGTAGGGTGGAAGCAGGACATATGCGTACACAGACAGTGCTGTTGACAAGAGATGGTGAGCCCAGTACGTGGTGGTTGCGCTGTGCTGTAGCAGCTAAGCCTTTACCAGAAACAATCTTCTCGAATTTTGTGCTGATGATCAGGACCACGCGCGCCTTTCTGTTTAACACTGGGGTTTTTTCAGCTAAAGTTCATCGTTGAGTCTGTCTGATTCCGGTCCTTAAACGTGTACCTGAAAGAGTTCTTGCGAGTGGGTGTCTGACGTTGATGTGGAAAAAAATGGCTCCGCTGTGGGAAGGATGAAGATACAGCGGTGAAGTAACTGGACATTCTCCATTTGCCTTCAATAATTATTTTCAAAACAAAACTCCATCAAACCCACCCACCCCCAAACTAATCTTTTCGTTTTGAAAATACTATTGGTAACCTTGGACGGCCCCCTACACAATGTATAAAAACCAGCATTTGCCAAATGGAAGGAAGAATGAGGAACGAGCGGGAATGAGGTGCTTATACGCATGCAACTGCAGAATAGGCGAAACAGAAAATATCAAAACAGTCCAATGGCAAAAACTGCTACGCAGAAATGACAGTAAAATAATAATTCATCCCTTTTATTACACAGTGGCACAAGATTGGTTCATTGCAACTCTGAGTTCCATGCTTATTACAATGAAAATATCCGGCAACTGATGATTGCATTGTAATGAGCATGCAACTCAGAATTCCAAAAAACAAGCCTTGTGCCACTGTTGTACTGTGTATTACTACGATTTAAAACAGTTCTACTGAGAACGTAGTTTCTACAGGATATACATACCTGCTGCTTAGCGGCAGAGCCAATGAAGCGCTGCTTTGGGCCAAGTGATACAATAGACCTACACAAGAAAGGCAAGTTTCAACAGCAACAACCAAGTTATGACTGCTACATCAATCCTGAATTTAAATCCGACCTGCTCAACAGTGAGAAAAATCAAAATAGACGTGCAGTACTGGTAGTCGTACTCACGGAGTGCTTCTGTCGCTGTATTCATTCGCAACAGTTTCGATGCCACCTCCTCGAGCGACTGCGACAAAGCAGGACTGGTTTCCCAGGTCCAATCCAATAACCGACATTTTGGCTACCTCTTGAACAGACTTCTCCTTGATCGATGAAGAAAGAAAATCTTCCGAGAGGTAATTCAACTGGAACACTTATCCGCCCTACGATAAAATATCAACAGTGAGTACTTCACATGCTCAGATCTGCAGAATGCACCATGCAAAGAAAGAAATCGGGAATTTTCGCGAACAAATACAAGCTTTCGCGAATCTTTGACCTGAGCTGACTGCACACGCTGCCATTATGTGTTGCCAGGTCAACCAAAATAGAAAGCGCCTGCGCAGTGACGCTATGGATGGCGTGTACGCGTATACGGCGTAGATCTACGGGACTACGGCAGTGTACAGTGCTGGCAACTGAAATCCGACCCCCTTGGCGGGGCGCCGCGCCGCCAAGGGGGTCGGATTTCAGTTGCCAGCACTGTAGTACAGTAAAGTTAGTTTGTAGCAGTTTTATGCGGCAAATCATGGTTATGTCATAGTCTCACGAATTCACGCCATGCGGACTTTGTACGCGACTACACGTCATTGTAGCCACGTGATGTGAGTTTTCCGGCTGGCTCATGACATACATGCAGCATGCAGCAGGCTAGGCGGCCCAAGGGCGGCCCAGCCAGCAACTGGCAGCAAGGGCCAAAGTCCAGATTTGCACACTCTGTCAGTCTTGAGAGCTTATTTTTTACTCTTATCATGCTCATCATGTGTGAGAAAGGAGGCCAACTACTTTGAAGAGACTCAGAACTTACAGAAGGAGAATTTCGTTTGGACCACGCTCTGGTTGTCCTGTGCTCTGCCGCATTTTGGCTGGTAGAACGCTGAGTAATGCCCCAGCACCGCCGTCAAGATGATAGATAGTCTTTTTATGATTAACGAGACTGGGTGAGAAATACCTGTATCCTGTCGAATTGTACTTTGACTGCTTGAGATCCGATGTACACATGTCCCGTTGCTGTTTGGTGTAGGGATGTGTTTATGGAAAAACACTGGAAGAGTGTAGTCAGCCGAAATGTGTGCGACTACTTCTTTGAGGCCCAAAACAAGGTGAGTGTCGGAGACTTGCGTAGAAAGTCCTATGCATACTCGTAGTTGTGTTTGAAAATTGTGCAGAAGTTATGATACATGTAATGGATTCTCCGGAATTTCGTTCGTGGCAACTTCCTAGGTGCAATCATTAAGTTTGACATTGTAACTAGTACCTATTAGCTTGTGAACTACTAGTTTGTTTTGGTCTGATTCACATTTTTATTGGAAAATACCGCTGATAGGCAATTTCGAAAGCTAACAGGTTTTAAATAGGGGTGAAACGGTTCCATGTTTTTCATGTTCGGGTACCCGAATGCCAGCATTGTTTCCCACGGTTCGGGTATCGGTTCCATGCACTCTTTTCTCCAGACCGACAAAATGCATTCGCGACAATTTTTTTTAGAAAAAAACCATTTTTACGAGCAAGAATGAGACATCGGAGAGTCCAAGTGCGAAGAAGATAATGACCAGAAAACTCTTTGGAAGAGTGGGGATCGTTAGGTAAGACATTTAAAATCTTGAGTAGACGACGTGTACATGTATTTGTACAAGAACGAGATTTTTCGAGTCTCGGTTCGAAATTTGACGGAACGGGTACCCGATTCTTTTCAGCTGGCGGTTCCAAAACTGGTTCCTTACCCGAACCGTTTCACCCCTAGTTTTAAATAATTTTTAAAAATAGTTTGAAAATAATCCATGTACTTGAGTAATGGGACAGATACGCGTACAGCTGCAAGCAAGAGTCCACGACCCCTCCCCTGTTTGATATGCGCGGCGTACTGCCTTCATTGCACATTTAAAAGTGGCAATCAAGCTGACTGGATTTGATTTCTTTTTATTTATTCATTCAACATCTCCTGGATTTATCTTTGGGAACCAATGGCCACACCGGGTTTACATATTTCACAAGATGCCAAGAAATGACCAAATGCTAACAGTTAGTACACGTACGTATGCGCATGCAAACACACGCTTGCATTCTCGCACTCACCTTTGAGCTTTCCCATTGCCGTAGGCAATGATAGCGAAAGGACACACACCACACACACACACACACACACACACACACACACACACACACACACACACACACACACACAGGCCAACCATTATGTTAGAGGTCTCATGCATGTGTAATGTCAACTGTCGTGATTTGTGTGGCTGAAACGGGGAGGGGGGATACACTTGACCTCTCGCTCTGCAACTCAAGGCTATCTCGTTCCCGCCAAAATCCGAGCGTACTCTCACTTTCAGTATGCGTTGGATTTTGCGTGACTTTCTTGGCTTCTGCCTCCAATGTTGTTCATTCTCCAGACTGGGAGTTTTTGGGCTCAGTGTTCTCATTGTTCTTGATTCCATGAGCCCAGTATACTGTGAATGAACACACTTTTTAACCCTTTAGGGCCCACAATCTTTACTTATAAAGAAGAGGCACCTGTGACGTGTGTGTGTGTGTGTGTGTGTGTGTGTGTGTGTGTGTGTGTGTGTGTGTGTGTGTGTGTGTGTGTGTCACGCTCCTTATAAAGAAGAGGCACCTGTGACGTGTGTTTTTGTGTCACGCTGAAGCGCTGCGGAGCAGCGCTGCCCTGAGCACGCGAAGCGTGCGAACAGTGTAGCACAGTGTAGCTAGCGGCCGCAGAAGCACTGAGCACGCGAAGCGTGCGAATCGTGTAGCTAGCGGAAGCAGCCACAGAGGCACTGAGCACGCGAAGCGTTCGAATCGTGTAGCCACCACCACGTGCTGAGCACGCGAAGCGTGCGAACAGTGTAGGTGGTAGCGCTTATAGCAGACACGATCAGTACGAGTAGCAGTAGCAGCCACGCGCAGAAGCACTGAGCACGCGAAGCGTGCGAATCATGTAGCCACCTAGCCTAGGCCATAGGTAGCACTAGCAGCCGCACAAGCGCTGTGGACCACGTGAACCGTTCTCTGCAAATAGAAACATCTGCAACAAAAGGATACAAAAGATCTGCACTGACTGCACTCTGCATCTGATCTGCATTGAAGAGCGCATCGCACTTTTGTTCGTAAGTTTATGAATTTTTTGAGCCGCTTCATCCGGCACCAGGTGATGGACAACCCTGACCAGCCTCCCGAAGGCGTAACAGACGTCCCTCCTTCTCCTTCCAACCATGAAGAACCTCCCTCACCAGGACTTCAGCGGTCTGGCCACCACCACGTGCTGAGCACGTGTGCTGTTCATGTACTTGCTTCACCCGCATGCCACATTCGGCCAGGCAACGCTGGCCGGGGGTGCTGCTAGTTATTTCAAGAAATGCACTGCATACGCGAGCCCAGGTACTTATCTGGTCGTAACTTTGGTGTCCTTTGGCCGATTTTGGTGATCTTAGGCTTTCTGGAAAGCTCTTGGCCAGAGGAACACAGCGATAGCCAGCAATACATCACTCGATCCACAGAACCAGCGCCGCAGCACGATACGGCGCTCCAAAGCCAGCATTGCGAGCGCCCAACTCAAATTCTCTGCCATTTCAACAAATTGCATCGCAGATCGCTCCAAATTTGTTTACTGGAGAGCTGAGAAACATGCCTTTCCGATGACGTGAACTATCTGTAGCTGCGTGGGCCGCGAGTGAGGGGAAACCCCTAAAAACGAGTTCGAAATGCACGCGCTCAAGTTGACTCTGCTGAGCGAATTTAGTTCGAGTCTTGTATCTCCGCTCTCCGAACTCGGATCGCTTTCGGGTTTTTTCGAGCCGATAGCTGAGACAATTCTAATGTCGATAGCCCTTTCGATTGTCCGATTTGGTCAAGGGACAGCCGAGTTACGCCAGGTTGCGCTTTGAAAAGTATGCACTGTACACTGGTACGGATATATCCGTACTATGGGCCTCAAAGGGTTAATCAGGTTAACCTGCTGTGCCATGATTAGAAATTCAACCCTTTCCATGCTGGCCTGTTTTCCCCAATAAACTGGCACTCTAGCGCACGAATTCTCCTGGTGGAGTTTGGGGGCACTGCTCCGGACGATATTTATTCTCATTCTAGTTCACCAGGATTGAATTTAACCAAACGATTCATCCTGGGCTTGTTGGAAAGGTCAGGACCAAGCGAATCTATCCTGGAAGCTCTCAGCTCCATAAACCCACCAGGGCCACGTCCACAACCTCTCCAATCTGGCCCACCGTGCCTTGGAACGAAACAACAACTCTGCCACACCTTCTTTTTCAGCTCCTTGCTCAAATTCAACCAATTTTCACGATTCAAACTGCTCTGCAAAGCTGAGATCCATGCGCTTCATTTGATGTCCATAACGCATGCGCTGGTCGAAAGGGAAATCCCCTGGCATGCTCCAAAAACTGCGAAGTCACAAACCAAAAAAACACTATCGGTGTAGCTGTAGGCCGTGATTCCCGCGTTCATTTTGTCGCCGCGAAATCAATCTTCATCCTATTGCGATGAGCTTTGTATCTCTGGAAAGCTGAGTTCAAGACCTTTCCTACGGCGTGTCGTTTGTGGAGATTTGGATGCTCTTTCACAGAGTAATGAAATTTTGTACACTTATCTACTGTAAAAGCCATTATTCTAACGAGGCGCATATATAACGATTTCCCAAAATTGATTGGTTTCCGTGTACCAAAGGTAACGATTCTCACTCAGTCTCCATGCTCAATAGGACAGTATATGTATCGATTTCTGTATAACGATTTCTATTTTAACGACAGATTGCTCCTCACTAACTCGTTATATATATATGGCTTTTACAGTATTCACCGCGATACACGATGTAAACCGAAGCGTGTGTAAACAGTGCTAAACACGTCATCAGAGAATCGGGTAGGGTTTGATGCGCGTGTAAACACGTCATCAGAGAATCAGGTAGGGTTTGATGCGCGTGTAAACACGTCATCAGAGAATCAGGTAGGGTTTGATGCGCGTGTAAACACGTCATCAGAGAATCAGGTAGGGTTTGATGCGCGTGTAAACACGTCATCAGAGAATCAGGTAGGGTTTGATGCGCGTGTAAACACGTCATCAGAGAATCAGGTAGGGTTTGATGCGCGTGTAAACACGTCATCCGCGCGCAAAGGGCTAGAGAATACTAGAGGAACGAGGTTATTAGGTAGGAATGTGATAGCGTTACTATTATCAAGAGTACATAACCCGCAAGAGTGTACAACTGCCTGAACAACCTCTTGCCAGTGGTGCGACGGCAGAACGTCACCGGGCATAGTTCATCAGGTTGCGCTGACAAGTAGTGCAAAGTGACCACCAGAGACCTAGTATACCGGTGGTAGTGTGAACCCAAAGCCGGTTTGTGTGCAACCCTGTATCTATCAGTCACAGGGTGCAAATAATGTACACGGGTTTTTCATGTGATGTGAAGTTCAGCCGTCGCAGACCCCATGGCTGGAGTTGCACACTCTTCCGTGTTATGTACTCTTGCCATTATGCTATGGGGGCAGGTTTGCAACATTGTAGATCCATCCAGCTTGTGTTTCGTGTTGAATCTTCTTGCCCAATTTTGTTGCAGGCAGCTGCTCCGGAAGACGTGCCACCCGTCATCTCCACTCCACATTTCTACTTGATTAGTGTCTACAAGAACCGTGTTTTCTTTGTTGCGGCTATTAGTCAAGAAGGTAGGGCATTGGCTGACGTTACTGCTTTTGGACTAGCAGACGAATGGTTGTCGTGTCTTACGATGAAAACCAAATTTGTCTGTTGATCTTGCAAGACAATGTGCAGTAAATCTGCCGTTAGCTACCTCCGCTGTTCGTGACCATCTACTATCACCGATAATTATTATTGTTGTTTTCATGCACTTACAGTTTCACATACAATCTGATCTGTCCAGAGCGACGATCTGCTGTAAGCAACCAGCAACCCTGAATTGTACATAGACACTACCTGCCATCCTGGTGTGTTTAACCGCGACCTAGGTTCAGTGACGTGTGAAATAGCAATACTGTATAAATGCGTTATTTTCGGTGTAACTTTAATTTCGGTACTTTCGTTAGAGAACCTGGTACCTAAATTTTGATTACGCTAAATGGTACTTGAGTATGCAATGTATGTAAACGGAATACCAATCACCTAATTCTAAGTTACACTTGAAACCCACCAGGTTCCCGACACAGATATTTGTATGCACCTAGAATTACATATAGAGTAGCTTGCATGCAAGCGCTGGCAGCCTAACTTGCCTGGCTGAATTTTGTTTGAAAGTTTTGTACTAAATGTGCCGTAAGCATTCGCTCTTGCTGGTTGAACCAGAGAGCGGTCACTTGTGTCAAGTTCTGACACCTCTCTCTCTCTCTCTCTCTCTCTCTCTCTCTCTCTCTCTCTCTCTCTCTCTCTCTCTCTCTCTCTCTCTCTCTCTCTCTCTCTCTCTCTCTCTCTCTCTCTCTCTCTCTCTCTCTACCTACCTACCTACCTACCTATCTATCTATCTGGATATATCTGTGTGTTCTTTCTATCGTTCTCTCCCACTTCTTACCTTGCGGGTTGCATTTTGTTGTTGTTGTTCACAGTTCCTCCTTTGTTCGTCATTGAATTCCTTCACCGGATAATGGACACTTTCAAGGAGTACTTTGGTGGCTGCAACGAGTTGGAAATCAAGGACAACTTTGTGATTGTATATGAGGTAAAGAAAGCACACATTTCATTTGTGTAAGGATAGGTTGAGATGACGTTGTTTGTGCCTGGATGTTGCCATGATCCTTTTATCTTGTTCCCTCGCTTGATTTTGTTTTCTAAGGACCTTCGTGCTCCGAATTAGCTCACACAGTCTCGACTAGAGCTGTGTCGGACAGCCTTTTCTTCAGGTGTCAGGTCCGGGTAATTTTCTTCAGCTAACACAGGTTCCACCCTATCGGATAGCACTGCATGTGCTATGGAAACGCTATGCCCCCTTGTATCATTTATAGTGGAAACGAAGCGTGCCCTCTAGGCTCTTGGTGAGCTGGATTTCATTCTGTCCAGCAGCAGCTTTCCAACAAGCCCAAAATCGGTCAGATAAACCAAAAACTATGCAGGTGTGGAAGAAGTTATGTTTTTTTGGGGGAAAAAAAGCTAGGGCCATAGCGTGAAACAAGAGAGGTTGAAAGCTCAGAGCCCTCGCTCTGCTTTGTTTTTACCTAGGTCACCATGCGTTTTATTCGAACTACTAAGAAACGTCAATACAATTATCGGGTACATGTACCGTAAAGTACCGTTGATCCGCCCCCTATCTTATTTCCGCCCCCTGTAGAATTTTTGCCTGTGAAGCGACTTCAGTGTATGCATTGAAATACGGTGTTGAACGGGCGCATGCACTGCTGTACACAATACGTGCCAGGGCAGGATCAGGGATGAATTTATCCTGTATCGCATCGCAGTTTGCGATGCAAAATCGATCTACTGCTACTCAAAAGTCACCGTGACTCGCAGACAAAATGGGCTTTCAGGCATCACTCTCAAGAAGGACAATCTGGTAAACACCCAACCTTCAAAGAAAAAATGCTAATCAAAATCAAAGGCTGCTACACAATTGTGATTTTGTATAGCAGAAACTGCTATGCAAAAATATGACAGTAAATTCATCCCTGAGGATGAAAATGTGCACAGTCCAACATGCCAAGCCTGATCTTCTGCGTCGTTATACATCGTACTGCACTTGACCGACTTCATCTAAGTCCCGCCCCCTGCTGAAAAACCAGCTGGGAAGCGACACGGCATGGGGGGGGGGGGTGGTCAACGGTACTTTACTGTGCAACTGTACTTGCTTTTGTATTGCAAAGGCGTTTCTAGCAGTTCGAATAACATGCCTGATGACCTCGGTAAAAACAAAGCATAGCGAGGGCCCTGAGTTTTCAAGCTCTCTTGTTTAGGTTTGTGTCCTGGATGCTGCCTACAGAGGTGTGCTGTATCTTGCTGTATCTTGCTTATTGCTTTTTGCCTGGTAGCTGCTGGAGGAGATGCTTGATAATGGATTCCCATTGGCAACTGAGCTCAACGTTCTGAAGGAAATGATTCGTCCGCCAAGCATGCTCCGTTCTGCTGTGGACTCAGTGACAGGAGGTTCTCATGTGTCTTCAACCCTGCCCACTGGGCAGCTGAGTAATGTACCGTGGAGACGAGTGGGTGTCAAGTATGCGAACAATGAGGTAAGTTGCAAAGCCAGCAGCTGTCTTGTTTATATTACATGCGGATGCGTTCCTCCCTTGATCTTCCTTTGAAGTATGCTCAGTTTTGTTTACTTGATAAAGAAGAATAGATTCCACGAATAGAAGTAGATGGTAAATGGTCCTGTTTACTTGGTCATCATTAATTTTGTTCGTGCAGAGCTCCAATTACTGTATCGTAACGTTAGAAGTGTGGATTTCCAGTATCTTGAGTGAGCGCTGGGTGCTTTCTGTGGAACTCTTGACATGCCCGTCTGAACATCATAATTTCATCAGGAGCCGGCGCAAGAAACGGAGGCTACGGCTTGTCTCGTACTTCATCAATATCAACTCTATCAGCCAGTTATGATCCAAGCGCATGCGTGTGTGTGTGTGTGTGCGCGAGTGTGCGTGCTTGGTATGATTGTGGTGTAGAGAGTAAGTAGTAAAGGTTATTTTATTTTATTGAAGACGCAATGCACGCTGCGCTCTTCGGGCGGTGTTCTTTGAAACCATTAGCAATGACCGGTTTGCCAAGACATGCATATGTTATTTCCGTTGCTTGTTATTACTGTATAGGTGTACTTTGACTTAATCGAAGAGGTGCATTGCATTGTCGACAAGACAGGAACAACTATCTTCGCTGAAATTCAAGGATCGGTGAGGCTTTATTGGTGATCACTCTTCTATTCACTTAGACAGTATTTGAGAGCATTGGGCGCTTATGACTGGGTCCATAGCTCTCTGAGGCATCTCCAAATCAGGCATTTTGCTACGGTCTGTCTGTCTCTCTCGCTCTCTCTCTCTCTCTCTCTCTCTCTCTCTCTCTCTCTCTCTCTCTCTCTCTCTCTCTCTCTCTCTCTCCCTCCCTCCCTCTCTCTCTTTTATGAATGGAAGATACCAGTTAAGAAGGCCCTTCACACTTTGAATTACGTGGTTTGAAGCAGGCATTTAAAGACTTGGACACGACTGTATTTAGCTTTGCTGTCATGCTCTTCCCGTGTACAGGTTGAAGTCTGCTGCAAGCTGTCTGGTATGCCCGACTTGACCTTATCATTCGTCAATCCTAGGATCCTTGATGATGTTAGCTTCCACCCATGTGTACGATTCCGACGCTGGGAGGTATGTTGGTTCATGAACAGCGGTGTGACAGCGTGCATTATTGTCGCCACTTCCTGGAAGTACACCAACCACAGCCTTTCATATCCCCTCTCCCCAGAAAGTGTATGAACATAATATCATATTCTGATATACGCTTGACATGTGTAGCACACATGAGAGCGTCCATGCAACATTAATGAAATATACGAAAAGTGAAAACGTCTTCTTTTACATTTTCCTAGTACGATATCGGATAATGTATACTGTAAAACAACAAACTTTCGCGAGCGATTATCTTTCGCGACTTTCGCGAGCAGGGTCGAATCGCGAAATTTTGACACGCGAATATGAAATTTGTACTATTAGTATTACTTACTACGCGATGCGTCGATGTAAATGATCGATCGTTTTGCAGCAGATCTGTAGTACAGTACATGCGCATGCATCACTCACTGCACTGGCTGTAGTACATTCACAGCGCTGATCGATGCTTGCACGGCCGGCTATGTCCAACCAAAGCGCGCAGCTGTTGCAACGACGGGTTACGTACGAACACCAGTCTTGCAAGTAACAAACATTAGTTGTCGTTGGAGTACGGCGACTTTAACCAGAGGAGAATAAAACGATCGACTGGAGAATGTCTCAGTGTTGTGGAGAGTGTTGTTGAACTTCTTGGAGCGTTTGGCCAGCTTGCTGTTGCGTAGATTTCAGTGTTGTACTGCTCGAAGAAGTCTTCTGAATTTTATCGCGATGAGTATCGCAGTGGCTCAGTGGCCCTTGATTCCTTCTTTCATTCTTTGATTTCTTCTCTCATTCTTCATGCACTCTGCGCCCAGCACTCCGAGGCTTCGTAAAATAAAATTCTTTGATTTTCGGTGGAAGGTAAAATCGCTAAAATTAATCGCCGCTAACTGGTCCAGTTTGCCAAAACGCTAAATTTAGCCGCCGCGAAAGTTTGTCGTTTTACAGTATGCATTATAAGTATGGCTTTCCTGACTGTGCTTTTGCTCAGGCTGAACGTGTCTTATCGTTTGTCCCGCCGGATGGAAATTTCCGTTTGATGTCATACCATATCACAGCTCAGAAGTAAGTAGTACTGTTAGGGGTATTCTGTTGTCTAAGGGCAAGTGCAAATTTCTGTACAGCCAGTCATCTGGGCACTGGGTAAAATTATGATGTTGGTCCGAGGATGCTGGGATGCTCTGCTCATCGTGACCAGATTTGAAGCGTGTTTATGATTCTATCGGGGCATGGTGTGTTACAAGACTCTCAGACTAGTGGTGAACGAATGTCAAAACCTACTAGTCGAATATTCTTCAGCTTAACGAACGAATATTCTTTTGGTAACACAGATGACATCACATGCCCTCCTCTCAGTCATTTGATGGATATTGTCAATACTAATATTATATTATTAGGTATGACAAACGGCAGTGCCACGTAAATTATACTGCCACATAAGGCTACTTCGAAGTTCATAAATGTTATGTGCACCATTGGCAGTCCAGTAAGGACATACATGTGGATGCATGCAGTACAAAGTCACAGGCAGGCTGTACGCACTGCACTGTACCGTGTTCGGCGTGCATGTATGTACAGGCACTGCATTCGAAGTGACGTAACGAATACTCGAATGTGACTTAACGAATATTCGAATGTAACAAACCGAACGAATGTGACTTAACGAATATTCGTTGACTCAGACCAATGTGATTCGACTCAGTACCCCCCAAAGACTGCATGCTCTGCGGCTGAAGAAGTATTTGTTACGTGTTACGTTTTTCCCTTTTCATATCCTTCCAACTAGTGAATTTCCTTTTTGATACGTGTGTAAGTCAGTTTTGTGTGCCGCCAGCATGTCCTGGTAGCGGTACATGTATACTGTGCACATGTGAAATGAAACTTGATTGTGATGGTGGCGGCGGCGATCCTACAGATCAGGAAAGGACAGTCTGACTAACACATGCTAAACACGTTTTCTTTTCACGTTTGTTTTCGAATGTGTTAACGTGAACAGTATTGTTGCACTACCCATCTACGTCAAGCCATCCTTCTCATTTAAAGAGGTAAGACGTGTTTCTAATGAGCTTGATCACTGCCGATGTCGGCAGGCTTTGACGACATGTAATCTCTTCGTATCAAGCAGAGAATTGATATAGTGACGGGGTAGAGCCACATAAAATTAATTCGTTGTTTTCTGTCACTTCGATCGGCTGCAATAGGGTCAGTGGGTCAGGGATTTTCTTCTTTTCTTTCTGCGGCCAACCATTTGCAGGTATGCATTCCAAACTTCACACAATTTAGCTCTGTGGCCGTTTATCCGCGCTCGGTATACTCCGTAAAAAGCCAGTCTCAGTTATAAAGCCATGGTTTTGTAAATGACATACGTTCAAAATGTGGTTTTTTACTTTCTTCAATGAAGCGGTATGTATTATAAAAGTGTGTATACTAACAAAGCTTTCAGCTCGGCACAAACGGCAAAGAGCGGATTTAGATTGAAAATGCCCTGTGTACTTTGACGTTTAGGCTATGATGTAGCAAGTGGGTCATTTTGCATGAAAATAGCTAGGAAAACAGCGTTGTTTCGAATATACCGCCATGGATCTTAAGGTGCAGACACCAGACATACGGTGAACGTCTGGTGTCTAAGTAATTTCCTTGGATCGCGTTTAGTGGCGGATCAAATGTGACTTTTTTTATCTCTTCGTTATACATGTACATTCTCTTCCCATCTCCACACTCCCCCCAAAAGACTAGTGACTTTTTCGGTACCTTTTGATCTGTGAAGATTAATTTCTTCTCTGCCCATGCCCTGGCTAGTGCGCTGTTCTCTCAGTGCTTTCCACTTGGTTGTAAGTGATGTGTGTGTGTGCGTGTGTGTGTGTGCATGGTGCTGTAATCATGATCATGTTCTCACTATTCTGTTGTTTGTTGTGTGCTGATGGTGTTCAGGGACAGAGTGGACGAATTGAACTGACCGTCGGTCCCAAGCAAACAATGGGCCATGTGGTAAGGGTTGTCAACATTCACAACATAATTATTTTCTTTTCCCAAGTAAAGCTACTCTTGTTTCAGTGTCTGAACAGAACTGTTAAACTTCAGGCTCTCCACAAGCCACGTTTCCACAAGTATTTTCATTGCCTTCTCTTCAGGTGGATACAGGTAGAGAAAAAAACATCCAGTGCAATATCTAATTTGAAGTAATTTCCAATGTAAATGTGTTTATAGTCAGCAGTACGAGGTGTTTTCCTTGGATTTTTGATGGGAATTACTAGTAGTTCTGTTCCTCGGTGTGATTGTATTTTGGTCTCCTAGGAAACTGTTTCAGTGTGGCTTCTCATTACTTTATTGAATGCTCAAAAGAACACTGAATCTCCTAGTGAAATTGCTTTGCTGCTGATGATGATTGGACTATCTGTATGCATCGCTGCATGCATCGCTGCATGCTGTCCAATAGTACTTGCTACTCTAATCCTCGCTTGTTGTCCGCAGCATCATACCATGTCAATGGCATGTGTTCAGTGTATAGTGTGTGACGTTGAGAGTGGGGGGCTACATAATGTAGTAGTAGTAGTAGTAGTATTCTTTTATTTTCCATCGGAAGCCTCAACAGTGATGAACACAACTCTTAAGAGGGCCGATAACAGAGTAGAGGGGTGTGGGGTCAGAAAAAATAATAATAAGAGATATTTAAACTAAACTAAACTGATACTTGGAACAATAAAGCAGCAGTAAGCAGTAAACACAGGTATACAATACAAGCGATGCAGATCAATGAGGCCGTTTGCTGAAAAGAAGATCAAAATACTTCTGAAAAGACGCTGCCGCTGCGTCTTTAAGCATGGTCATAATGGGATAAGGCAAGAATTAAAGAGATGTTTTTAAAAACGAATTTAAACTAGGAACGCAGTAAACACAGTTATACAATACAGGCGGTGCAGATCAATGAGGGCGTTTGCTGAAAAGAAGATCAAAATACAGTCGTCCCTCTCTAATCCGGCACCTTTTGCTACGGCGTTTTCTGCTGGATTAACGAGGGTGCTGGATTAAGAAATCCTGCCCTCTGACACGGCCCTACCCAATTGCATGCATGTATCATATGTACGTCAAAACGCAGGGTTTTTCCGTGTCGACCCAAGTATTTGGTGCACGGCTTTATATTCTCAATTGTTCTCCGGGAATATACACAGTGATAAAGTAAAACAGAGAACATGTTCACATGTACAAGAGCACACACACGCACACACACACACACCTGAAAATTGGCAGGACACTACTCCTTGCTAAAATAAGAAAGTATGGTTGGTTGACTGCCGTTGTCTCCTGGACAACATTGACCAGACTGGCCTAGCCTGGCCTGGCAAGGAGTGCACCTGTACGGTACGCGATTTATGACTGCCGGATTATGAAATCAAACTACGTGCAGTTTGAGCGATTCGTTTCAAAAAGTCACTGCCGGAGGCGGAATTCAAGTGCCGGATTAAGATGTAGGAATTGAACGAAAAAAATCGGTTTCGTCAGAAAGTGCGCCGGTTGGCAAGGGTTCCGGATAAACAAGTGCCGGATTAGAGAGGGACGACTGTACTTCTGAAAAGACGCTGCGTCTTTTAGCATGGTCTGAAGGTGCTTAGCAAATGTAGTGCGGTGCTGGGTGCGCCACTCCACAGGCAAAGAATTAAAGAACAGTGCAGCACGATTTGAAAAGGAATTGACACCGTCAGTCGTCCGGAATTTAGATATTGCAATAGCAGCATTAAAAGAGCTTCTTGTTGTCCTAGGGCCGGTTGAAACTTGAGGGAAAAGGTCCGTCAGATTTGGGAGAGGGAAAACGACATGATTAACATGGATAAATTTAGCAATGCTACGAATAAGGTAATGTTCAAACGGATCAATCGACAATCTAGCTAACAGCGTCATGACGTCATCTTGTAGTTTCGAGTCACAAGCAGCGCGTACAGAACGACGATAAACGGACGAGAGTCGCTGTCGGTCCTTGGCGGATAGCTTCATTGCAAAGCAAGAGCAGCAGTATAATAAGTCAGGCAGGATAACAGAGAGGATAAACTGCCGTGTTGCCTTCAAACTTAGTTGGTGTGTGCAGTGTGTGAGAGAGCATGTTCCCCGGGCTTACCTAGGATACTTGATCTGCTGCAGCGTTAATGTTGCTATTCCTGTCTTGCTGCTGCTGTTGTCTAGGTGGAGGATGTTGTCGTTGAGGTGATAATGCCCAAAGCTGTACAAAGTCTGAGCATGCACTTGGCTGGTGCAGGCGGACCCCACACGTACGATCCAGTCAGCAAAGTTCTGCGGTGGGAAGTGGGCAAGATTCAGCTGCATCGCCCAGTGGCTACCTTATCCGGATCGGTATGTCTGTCGATATTACTAATGCTCTATCTATTTATCTATCTCAATTAATGCTGCTCTACTTCTGTTTACAGTTTTTACCTTTGGGACCCCATCGATGTATGTCTGAACTGGCTCCAGTAACATCGATGTAATTTCGCACTAGAGGGACCGTGCTTATTTTGTCCAAGTAGTTACCTTACATCTGGAATGAAACACAGTGCCATGACTACGTCGGTGTAGATGCACCAATCAATGACGTACATTTTTCTATGGCACTCAATCCTGTGTTTCCCCCGTGGTGCTTCGTCATACTCGCACATCTCCACTCATTCCAAAGTTCAGTGCAGCCAGTCAGAGTATGTGCTGTGGGTGATAGCATTGGTAGGGGTTTGGTGACCTTGGGCCTGGCTAACATCTCTCCTTTCTTCTCTCCACTCAGTCTCTTCTATGTGTCTCCTATCGTGTGTTTACCTGCATGTGTGTGTGTCTGTGTGCCTTTGTGCATGTGTATGTGTGCCTGCATATGTATGTTTGCACTGTACAGGCCACGATGCAGACAGGTTCCGCTGCGCCGGATAGCAACCCGACCACGACGGTTAGTGTTCTTCCTCTCTTTTTTTGTCAAGAGCTGACACCTCTTTTCCATCTCTTTTCCATGTGATTCACACACATTCAGAGGGGGGGGGGGGGGGGAGCTTTCTGCTTCAAGCAGCATTCAAAATTCCGCACTTGATAGGAGATTCTTCCTCGACATTTTGTGTCGTCAGTAGCAGAACCGACCACTTTGCAGAGTTTGTCAGGCAGAAGATGCGCTAGGTTTAGGTTGATTTCAGTCCGGTGTTGAGCATTCCAATAGGTCCGAGCTGCCTTACATCACGCTTGTACTATCCCCAATGTTCATGTTTGGTTTTCATTAAGAAAAAAAGCTCGCATCAGGAGCTGCATTTCAATCCTTGAGGGTGGTCCCGTCGTTCCTATGAATGCGGGATGGCCAGTTCGACTCACTTTTACCCGAATTGTAAACTTTACTTCAATTTTTTAAGTTCCTATCACACAACAACGTGACATCACCCGAGTGGAGTTTTTATTCATTTTCTGTGTTTGTGTGCACGGCTGATGACTGGTTTGGACATGTGATTGCTATGCTTTGCAGGTTCAGTTCAACTTACCCTCTGTTGCCGTGTCCGGGCTGAAGGTGAACCGCTTGGATCTCTATGGAGAGGTTGGTTCTACATGTACATGTTGCTAGGCTGTCCTATTTGGTATAGGATGTTGTCACTGTTTTCTTCAGACCTCCACTCAAAGCCCTCACCTCTGCTGCATTGCATACTGGACCACTAAGTGAATTAATAGATATAGACCGGCATATTTACTTTGTATGAGTGATCATACATGACATGCATTATGCTCACGCATGCCACACATCCAAGCAAACCAAACAAAGGGAACAAACAGACAATCTTCCCACAGAAGAGATATACACGTGCAATTACAGTACAGGTAGAAAGCAAACACGTACTTCCAAGTACAGTACTGGTTCAAAGAAATTCAATTACCGTATTTCCTCGAACAGGCGCCACGGCCTGTATTCAAAACTAACGAAACATGTGCGGCCCTGAAAACCCGGTGTGTCACACTATACGTGCTGTATGTTCATGCGCACTGTTGAATCTCGGTTGTCTCAGAGGCTAGTGCACCTTCGTTCTTGTAGTGTTGAACTGTAAAGAAGATAGTATAGTGAAGGACATTGAGACTTTACTAGTTGCAGATCCAGCAGCAGCAGTCCATCATGGTGATGGAGATGAGGTGAAGGGGGCTTCAAGAAGACTTAGACGGCGAGATTTTCTAGATTCAAAAAAGGGGAGTTTCTTGTTCTCTGCCGCTTGATTTCTCTTCCGGCGCTTTCAGCACTTGTTCCTTTCACAGCGTTAGCGTCCACGTTCTCCTAGACAAGTTCTCTGATCTGAGTTCTGGTTTTGTAGCATTTCCGCTCCTTTAATAGTACATGTATGCTTTACGTTTCATCCTTTAGTCTACCTTGTTCAGGCAATATTGTCTTTTTAGGGGTCGATAAAATAGCGCGTAGTGCTCTTCGTTATTTTGTGAGAGGCCGTCAGGACGTGCTTGATTTGTTCCCTTGTCAAGATCGCCTTTGTGTCCTTTGTCTGAAGCGAGAGCAGCATCAGCTGCATGTGAAGGAACTGGACGCTATCCCGTAGCTGTAAAACTGCGTGCAATTTGTGAACTGTTCTGCACTTGTGTACAATAAACCCCCGGTTCAAAGAAACTGGCGGCACTTATTCAAGGGCAGCTGTTAGTCATTGGGCGGCGGGTGTTCAAGGAAATGCAGTGTGTAAGAATTTTAATGAGATTAGTGGGTTGAGCAGGAAGGAAAAATTCAGCGCATCTAGTGCTCCTTGCTAGCAAAGCATCACCACCCACACCGTGCACCAACACACACACACACACACACACACACACACACACACACACACACACACACACACACACAGCATGTCCAAGCCACTGTCATTTCTTGCTGCCCAAGTACCGGTATGGATCACCTAAATGACCGAATCAAAACAAAATTGCCTGCATACATGTACAAGCACAGCCTTTGATATGTTTCCTGAATGGAACCTATCTCCTGTTGTAAGTGACTACAAGTAACCTTGGCAAACACATTTTTCTGTTCTCGGTTCTTGTGTATTCTTTTCCATATGTGTGCATTATCTCTGCTATTGGATTTCATCAACTGTGCATTCTATGCTGTTTGTGTACGTTGTTGGTATAGAAATACAAGCCGTTCAAGGGAGTCAAGTACATCACCCGTGCTGGCAAGTACCAGATACGGGCGTAGCCAATGCTAACCTGTTATTAATTCTGGCCCCTTGCTGTGTGCCACATATTGCCATACTGCTTCCGTGTTTGCCCATAATACGCATGACAACACTATCATTAATAAAAGTTGCTATCAAAGCTAAGAAGTCCCAAATATATTTTGCTCTTGGCTTGCATGAAACAAGATTTCGGAGAAAAGCTCCCATCACTCTGTGTGTTACACACTAGCATGAATTCAGCATAATTCTTTTATTCTTTTGTTGTATTTTGCATATTAGTACATTACTACTATTATTATTATATCACTATGATACCCTGCGCCTGTGGCAATGAGACTTTTGGTGAGAGTCTTTTATTTCGCAATGCGCATATTGTTTGTTTGTTTGTTTTTCCATTCACTGACCATGTACTGAACTATTGATGCAGCCCTGTGTGCATCGATCGCTAACAGTTACTTACCGCCACGTGTAGATACGTCTACTGTATCTCTCCCTTGTTTCTAACTTAGTGACTATGTAGGACACTCACTTTCTTACCGCATTGAACCATGATAGGCGCCCAGATCTTACCGAGCCATCTCTTGACGTTCTTAGGTAGTTGTAGGGTGCATAGTCCGCAAGCATGTGCATTATTGTGCAGCAGTGGCAGCAGCAGCTGTCATTGTACCTTCTCACAGCATTCTTATAACTGTTGTGTAAGCACATGCCATAAAACTATCTCATCCCTTTTTTCAATCCGGGCAGCATGTGTTTATGTGTGCCTGATCTGCAAGTCACACGCCTGCTGCAAGTTAGGCAATAGTAATAATAGTATTTCCCCACCGCTCAGGACAATGGACTGATTGCGCAACTACAATGCATTTGTCAATGAAATCCGACCGCATGGGCCAAGTATGCACTGGGCACTGTGCAGCCTTAGACCTGCGAATACTGGGCTGTGAAATAGTGCAAGGTGCAAACTTGGCTGGCAAATTTCATTCAGCAACACTTCATCCAGACTTCGTACAGACATGAATACGTCGTGCAGACTTCATACAGACATGAACACGTCGTGCAGACTTCATATTTATGGAGGAGGATTGGTAAACTCCAAGAATCCGTAGGCACAACCAGGGAGTCGTCAAATACTAGTAGTTAATGACTCCCTGGGCACAATATACCAAGCTCAAACATGATTCAACTGCAGTCATGTTGACGAGCCGTGATCAGGTGATACGACTTGTCTGATATGGTATACAGTATTCTTTATTTCACTTCATCAAACGAACAGGCAACTACGAGTCATGCCTTCTCACCAGCCATACAAGGGCTGTAAGACTCTCACAGAATGATACGAAAAGATACTGAGAGTAAGTAATGTTACAATTTCACAATTCAGCTATTGGCTGTTTGCACAAAATATCACTAATAGGTATAGAACATGCAGACAACTGAGTGGCCGCATAGCTCATCCTCGTGTACATGTGTCTGTACTGAGTGGCCGCATGGCTTGTCCATGTATCTGTCAGCAATTCACTGCATGGCATCTACATGCCAGCCGGACAAAGAAGACGTAAATGAGATAGGAGGTGTTAGGGTGGTGTGAGTTCGGCTGCGTGTTCTGCCTGAGAGTTGAGTTTGGATTTGAAAGTGACGATGGAATATGCTCGGCTGTCCATGGAAGCTGGCTCAAGAATGGGCATCCTTGCTACTCGCACCGGCATGTATATTCCAGTACCGGAACAGTCGCAGGCTGCACAAAAAAATACTACTACCCGTTTGAGTCACAAGTGGGAAAATGAATTGAAACCTGTGGAGTCACTGAGAACGAGAAACCAACTACCTGAAGTATATACACACACATCCATGCAAGTTTGTGCTGGAAGTGCATGGAAACAAGAGCTCACACGCGTGCGCACACACACGCACGCACGCACACATGCACACACACACACACACACACACACACACACACACACACACACACACACACACACGCGCGCATGTGTACTGGCCGTCCCTCTCTTGCACCACAAAACGGCAGAAGGCCAAACCTATCTGTAACCATCTAACTGCATGTCAAAACGTTCATGTGTTCAGCCAGAACTCAGCCTAGCTTGATACCTCCCTCACCAGCAATCAGAGACAGCTCAATTCAGGGAAATACCCTCAATCGCACGGGTGATCAGGGTTTCCTTGACTGAGTCGAACACAAAACGAATATTCTCTGTATCCGTTGCACAAGTGTAGTGCCAGTAGATGGTGCGCTCATCGTCACCTTCCGTTACAGCCAGGTACATGTCTCGGATGAACTCTTTTGCAGCTTCTTCATCAGTTTGATCATCATAGGGACCTTCATACTCTGGAAAGTAGTCCTGAAGATTAGATGCTTTCAACTTGTCCGCCAGTAAGTCCTTCTTGTTGAGAAAGAGGATGAACGACGCCTTTCTGAACCACTGTGCTGTGAGAATGCTCTCAAACAACGCTAGGCTCTCCTCCAAGCGATTCTGTTCGGCATCCTCTACCAGCACCTCATCGTATTCGCTCATGGCAGCGAGGAAGATCACACTGAGCACGTTCTCGAAGCAGTGAATCCATTTCCTTCGCTCCGAGCGCTGTCCCCCAACGTCGATTACGCGGAAGCGCACTCTCCTCTCCGTGAAGTCGAAAGGATATTCGTTGAGTCCGGTAGTAGGTATACGAACTCTCAGCACGTCCTGTTCCGTTGGGACAAACATGGGATCAGCAATTCTTCGCAGCGAGCTGTAGTAGAAATCGGTAGAAGTGCTAAGCTGATACTCTCTTCGTCTGCTGTAGCACGCCTGCACTCCTTTATCTGCCCACAGTTGCTCCAACATATCAGCATACTCGGGTAGGAATTCCGTCACTAAGTCCGGTGTGATTGCCGCAATGGCCATCGCATGCGGCTTGTTATCCGTATCAGACAATTCAATGCCAAGCTTGTCCATGGCTTCCAACATAGCCTGCATTGACATGAAGATGTTCTGGTAGATATATTGGCGGAAATCAGACCGGTCTTTCTTCGAATAGCCCTGGCCATGGATGATTCTCATCTGCTTCACGAATGTACTCTTTCCAGACTCTCCGGCACCTAAGAGCAGCAGCTTGATCTCGCGATGTAGCGCAGTCTTGGTGCGCTTCAACTGCCTGTCGATCTCTTTGTTGATGCGTTGTGCCTCCCGGTTCTCCTCGGATAAGCAGCAGGACATGGCTGCTGCTGCTCGTCCCTGTCCGGACGAACCAACTTTTTTTGGTAGACGTGAACGCTCCGTTGAACGCCTCGGTGGCTAGCAGGTCTCTTGCCTTGTACTTGCTGTACTTACTGTATTCGCTGCACTTGCTATACTTGCTGTACGTGTTCGTAGCGGCAGGTAGGCTTGGCCGGAAACTAACCTACGGACTAGGGTAATGAAGATGACTTTCTACGCACAGGAAGTGATGGACCTAGTACCTGCAACTAGTAGATCTACCTGCTGGGTGTACCGGCTATTCCCACTGTTGTATCACTATCACAGTATCAGGCACATCCAGAGGACGGCTTGCATTAGTGAATACTGGTGGTAAAAGTGATAGCAGTAGCAGCAGTCCGCCACGAATTGGCTAAGCCAAAGGCATCATTGTGCTGGAGATCACTGCAACAAAATGGCGTTGAGAACTTTACGAAGATCACACGTTACCACTTACTGCTAGCTAGTAGGGGAAAAGCTGCGGTACTGGTTGGTGAGGCAGCTCCTCACTCTGTGCTTCTGGCTCTGCCTTCAGCTGTTCCCCTGGGCCGCTGGCGCACTACAAATTCCTTGCTCAGGCCAGTTTGTATGTAAGGATCACTAAGGATGCACTTACTTCCTGGATGTCCATATTATCTGCAGTGTGTGCGTATGTGTCCGTGAGCCACTCAATCAGTACCATATGTTCCACATGAATGCTCTAGGACGCGGCGAAAGTTGGTGGAGGAATATTTGTCCGGGCCAGAATCAGTACGCATGTACAACAACGAAGAATACATCAGCACCTTTCTCAATAACCATTAATTTTGGATGAAGAGAGATAGCTAGAGGTCATGTTCCACTACAATATCGGTACTTTCTCGCCAGTTTTCTCACCAGACATAAGAATGTAGAAGCCAGGCGTTCTCCCCACCACACAGCTGCCTGCATGCCTGAGTCTTCTTAGCGCCTGGCGACTCTATCTGCCCAGGGTCTTCTTTTACACTGTACTCTGTAGACTGTAGGATCTACTACTACTAGTACCACCAGTATCCTGTGTAAGGCCACTAAAGTAAGGGTGAATCTTCTGGTGTCTCTGCTGCATGCAGTTCTTATCCCTGCGCTACAGTTCAAGTGCTGGAAAGAGTGCTCCTCTTTGCTCTGTAGATATCTAATCATCTATACGGCATTCTACACTAGCCGGTCACTCATGATGCAAGTGCACTGCTTCACAATGCCAATGGCTTTGAAATGACCTTCCGGAAGAGCTTCAGCGACCACGTGCTGCTTGGCGATATAAGTGGAGTTGTCCCCTCTCCGATCCGACACAAAACTTTCGCTTCCGGTGAGCATGATCGTCGGTATGCAGGAAAGCAAGCTCATGGCGAGAGGAGCAAGTAACGTTATTGGTTATTCGGTGCCAGATTTTCACTCCAAGACGCTTATCGAGTGCATTTATTTGCTGCTACTTGCTGCATGCAGGTCCCAGGCCAGGGCCAGAGCAGTGGGATATCATAATCACTGAGTACGAGTACTGTAGCTGTAGACTCCCCCGGTAGGGTGTAGTACTGTATCCATGTACAAATGAAATTTCATTTTCACACCAAAAATCTTTTTCCCGCTTGCAATAACGACCTCTGTGCAGTTTTGGCAGTGTTCGATTTGTCGAAACCTGACATAGAGTCATCGGATTGGTCGGATTTGTGCAAGTTCGATTTGTCGCCATCCAGATCAGGATTCGACGGAATCGACGGATTCGAGCACCTGATATCACTCAGCTCCGACCTCGGTTTGCTCGGATGTTCTTTTTCGCTATCGATCTCTTCCTTGTTTTTGGACAAGATCTGTAGGAGCGTGTTCGTGAAGTGAAGATTGCAGAATGTTGTAATGTAACTATGTTGTTGTGGTGTTGTATGAACTTGTATCTCTCCACATTTTTAAAAAGTCGTTGAGCGATTGTGGCTGTCAAGAACCATGACAATATTCTCCGGTGCACCGTTGTAGTTGCCTCCATCATCTAAGGGACCATCGCAAAAGTTCGCAGAAGCCCCTGAAACGAAGAGCATACGTTTGGGGGGGAGGGAGTCGTGTCGAAAATCGCAAACCGGGCTTCAATTCAAAAAAGTATTGACGACATGTAGGAGCTGATATAGATTAGCATGCCATCACAGCCGGCGTAGATCGCTTGTCAGGACGCGTAGTCATGCGCGTGTCGCGTAGCTGGCTGCCTGGCTGTACACTGTGTGTAGTCTAGTACCAAGAGTCCATAAAACGCGTGGTTTATGGACTCTTGCTAGTACTACAGTACTAGCACTAGTAGTATAGTAGCAGGGGTTCATAGGCCGATGATATGATAGGGTTTATGAACCCCTGCTGTGTAGTATATTATTATTATAATAATTATTATGTGTGCAGCATCCAAGTGAAATAATGAAGCCCATATTGTGAATGTCGTTTCGTTTGAGGGGGGAGGGAGGGGGGTCAGGCCCGAAACTCACGGTCTTCGTTTCGGGGGCTTCTGCGAACTTTTGCGATGGTCCCTAAGGCAAGGAATTATCGCCAACTTTGTTTGGGGAGTTCTAACGTTAGGAGCAGCCAAGCGCCTTCTTCTACCGCCGACCTCGCAATATCTATGATCGTATTGTTGTCCCCTGGCCTGGGCCTTGCGGCGCGGGCAGGCGAATACAGACAGTCGATGACCGGAAGTGACAGCGTTCCGAATGGTCATCGCCTAGTATGGGTCACCAACAGCGACCCGGCCATACCCCCTACGCCTACGGCCCTAGCCTAGGCTAGCGCGCGGTATTCACAACTCCACGTGCGGCCGGCCCTGACTCGCTCTGCTGCCTGGTTTGGTGCTCACGAGGTGTTTGTCGTGCTGGAAACGGAGCGTCACTTGAGTCTGTAACAAGTGTAAGTACAGTAAATAGTTGGTATCCCTGGTGATGTTTTGGCTCGGAGAGCTAGAGCCCCACGACTCGGCACGAACGTATCTACTATTATGATGTACACGTGTTACTAATAATTACTTGCAAGCAGGGAAACTGGGAAAGGTCCGACATGCACAGGCGTTAGTTTTGCTGGCTTGCCGAGCGGACGGTCCGCTTCTCGTTTGCTCCAGACGGCACCGGCAGTCGTGAGTCAGTCAAGTATCATCCTGTCAGCAGGAAGCGCAAGCTCCACAGAGTAGTGGGAGATGGAGAAGCCACCTTCTTCTACAATAACTGCTGAGCTGCAACACCGCCGTCTCAGTTCGTTTGCACGAAACGAGTTACGTAACGTTACTCCGTCGTTAGATCTACATTCAATGATTGTATGTTCGCGGGAGGTTGATGATGGCATGCTGCCACCAGTATGCCATGCAGGCTATGATGCAGCATCCCGAAGCGGATCCGGACTCCCCCGTGACTCACGGCTCCTGAAGCGCGGGCACCAGACGTCGACACCCGGAATCCGTGGGTGATAGCGTTCAAGCACCAGTAACCCATGCACAAGCTCAAGCTGCACTGCACTGCACTGCACTGCATGCAGGTGATTGCCAGATTGGCGTGTTGAGATATGATTGTACTAATACTAATAGTGATACTGGTTGGTGTGCCACCGTGACATCAACTGAGAACCTATGCTCATAATAACACATTGTGAACAAGCAACACACACGTTCCAGGACCTCACTGGAGGAATCCACCGTGACCACCAAGAAGGAAGTTCTGAGCTTCCCTGCACTAGTCTCCAATGAGGAATGCAAGCATTGCTGTGAACGAGTCGCTCCGTAACACCCTCAAAGAACACAGCAAGCAATCCTTCAAAGGTCACACCAGACAAATCAGACCCCATCCCATGATATCAATGCTCGATGGAGTAAATGGTAAGTAGAGAGAGAGAGAGAGAGGGGGGGGGTGAAAAAAACTTCCTCAAGTGCATATTTGACGCCCTGGAAGTGGTACATATCAGGGCTAGGTAGCCATAAAGTAAGTATTATCAGGGGCGTCTGAAGGTAATTAGTGTGGTACGGTGTCAGCCATCTGAGGTGCAGTTTACTTGTTGGGAGGGGTGGCTCCGCTGAAAATATTCGAAATTTAGAGTCCAAATCAGTGCTTTTGATTGATTCACGGGGTACCCGGGGCAAAAAGTGGTACGGTCAATACCGTAGTGATCATAGCGTGTCCGACGCCCCTGATTATACGACTCTCTGGTACGAGGGCTGCTGGACATACTCGTGTATAAGTGCAAGTACAGTGATGTAATGGGAACTGGTGCGGGGCACCAGGCTACCAGTTTGCACTGTGGGTCGGATTTCCCCTAGCACAACACTAGTTGATTACCCGAAACGTCTGAGCCGAAGGGGACAAAAAAGATTTTTTTAAATCCACAGCACAATAGCACCTGTGTAGCTGTATGCAGGATGCGTGATAGTACTTTGAAGTACTCTTAGGTTGTCATCCAAATTTGTACTTGTGGGTGACGTTGAGGTGCTGAATCTTTCTCACTGAGCATCACCTTGAACTTACATCTCATAGTCGCCGTGTTGTTGCTTTGGCACCTGTAGTCCTGTAGTCCTGGTGTAGCATTGAGGTTTGAGTGCAATACTTCACCATTGTGTGCTTCTATTTCTAGTGTGTGGGCGCGAGCGCACGTGTGTTTGTATGTATGTTTGTGTGTGTGTGTGTGTGTGTGTTTGTGTGTGTGTGTGTGTGTGTGTGTGTGTGTGTGTGTGTGTTTGAATGGGTGTGTGTGTGGGTGTGACCCATCACTGTCTGCGTCCATGGTGTGTAGGTGTGCTAAAGTGTCGCGGCCCTCGGGCACCTGGCTGTAGCTGCATGTACTTCGAAGTAGCATGCAGCATGCAGCATGCAGGTTGCTTTGGTGCAACGTTTCACCAGTGTGCTCTCAGTGCGTGACTTGTCACCACCTGCTCTCTATAAATCTTGCATGCTGGCGTTTTCTTATTCTTTTGTCGGTTTCCTTCTGAAGAAGAGGGACTTTAGTGGAGAGGTTGTTCGATATTTGCTGGCTCTGGAGTGACTTCAGCTGCCTGTTGTTTGTCAGTGGTCCCCTATCTGTGTTCCGGTGATGAGGATGCAGCACTATGGTGTACGGATACTCTTTCTTCCCCTAATCATGCTGTCAATGGAACGTAGCATTGTTACCACTGCTGCAGTGTTGCCGCACCACAATACGTTACCGATGTGTTGAGGATGTGTGTGTGTGTGTGTGTGTGTGTGTGTGTGTGTGTGTGTGTGTGTGTGTGTGTGTGTGTGTGTGTGTGTGTGTGTGTGTGTGTGTGTGTGTGTGTGTGTGTGTGTGTGTGTGTGTGTGTGTGTGTGAAAACAAGCGACTCCATCCCCCGCACAGCGCTCTGGAGTGTGCTGGATAGGCTGGGTGTTCCGCCGGTTATGTTTGGACTCATCAAGTCCCTTCATGAGGGTATGATTGCGAAGGTGCGAGTCAACGGTAAGCTTTCCGACAACATCTCTGTGACTAATGGGCTGCGTCAAGGATGTACCCTAGCACCCACCCTCTTCAACCTGTATTTCAGTGTGGTGGTTGCGGACTGGCGCGCACGTTGTCCAGACGCTGGAGTTGACCTGCTGTTCAGAAACGGTCGCAAGCTGGTTGGGGACCGCACGGCGAAGTCCCGGTTATCCGCGACGAGGGTAACTGAGTCCCAGTTCGCCGATGATGCAGCGTTGTATGCAGCCACCAGAGAGAGATTTGAGTGCATGACGTCCGAGTTCATCTTGTGTGCACAACGATGGGGACTGACCGTCAGCATCAGGAAGACGAAGGGCATGGGCATGGCGGTGGGTCAACCAACATCGGTTGATCCCGTTCAGCTCGGTGGTGATAGCAGGATTGACATGGTGGACGGGTTCCGGTACCTTGGCAGCGTGCTCTCTGCTGACGGAACGGTGGATGCGGACCTTGCTGCTCGTTTGGCGCAGGCGTCCCGGCTGTTCGGCGTGCTCAGGTCTCCGATATTTCAGTGCGTACATCTCTCGGTCCACACCAAGCGGCTGGTGTATCGTGCTATTGTCCTTCCTGCTCTTCTCTACGGTGCGGAGACATGGCCCATCAAAGCGGGTCATATTCGCCGCCTCAACACCTTTCACCATCAGTGTATTCGCACAATTCTCGGTATCTCTCGTCGTGAGCAATGGGAGGAGAGATTGTCGTCAGCATCGCTGAGTGAGCTGGCAGGGGTGGACGTCGACATGGCCGATGTGATCAGGAAGCACTGCTTGCAGTGGCTTGGTCATGTTGCACGGATGAAGGAGACCCGGCTGCCCAAGCAGATGCTGTTCGGCGAACTGCCCTGCAAACGCCCGCAACATGGTCTCAAGAAGCGCTGGCGGGATGTTGTGTCCTCGGACTTTGCTGTCATCGGTTTGCCTGAAGCGGACTGGTATGACACAGCGCAGGAGAGATCCACCTGGTTTCAGTGTTGTCGACAGACATCCCGTGCCCCTACTACCGCTGTGACAGAGTGTTCTGTCGTCCTGGTGACCTCAAGCGGCATGCGCCATACTGCAGATTTCGAGTTTAGAGCCTCAGCGTGAGGAAGCCAGCGCTATCATTGCTACGGCAATGGGCGTTCAAGGTTCAATGTGTGTGTGTGTGTGTGTGTGTGTGTGTGTGTGTCGCAGAGAGCTTTCCTTGCGTTTTAGTCCCTGTGCTGACATTGTTGTGGCTGCTAGTGTGATCGTGTGCTTGTGTGTGAGAGCGTGCGCACACGCGTGCATGTGTGTGTGTGTGTGTGTGTGTGTGTGTGTGTGTGTGTGTGTGTGTGTGTGTGTGTGTGTGTGTGTGTGTGTGTGTGTGTGCGGTGCACTCCAAACTCTGGCCCCCTCCGGGGGTGACATTGCCCAATGGGCAGTCATGCTATAGTAGTAGTAGTAGTAGTGTGTGTGTGTGTGTGTGTGTGTGCGCGCGCGCGCAAGTGCATTTCTGTCTGTATGTGCATTTCAGTGTGCTTCTGCCTGCCACAGTGCCAGGTGACACCATGGTAGGTGACATATCATATCATCCATCATAGCTGTCTCTCACACACAAGCACACGATCACACTAGCAGCCACAACAATGTCAGCACAGGGACTAAACGCCAAAGGTAGGAACACAAATCGCAACCATTGGACACCACTGAACATGCAGATAACATGACTGCACTCAGCACTCAGCACTTTAGCTTCCTGCTCAGTGCTCACAAGATCCAGACAGGAATAATAGGGACTTCAAGGAAAGCTCTCTGCGACACACGCATAAAAGAGGTTCAGTGACTGTGACTTGTGAACAACGTGCAGTTTGATTACCATGGCGACACGATGGCAACTCAGAAACAGCAACAACTGTACGGTACTAGATCGTACTTCCTTGTTTTGTTATGCTGTATCTATGTTTCAGACGGTGGCGGTGCGATTTCGGAGCTGCTCACAAAGCAAACAGCCTGTACTGGTGTAAACGAATCCAATCTACTAGATAGACTCGTGTGGAGAACCAAGGAATAATATAGCGTAAAACGTAGCTCTTTGGTCCTCTTTTTCTTCTTATACATCTACTAGATCTTCAAGGTACTCTAACCCATATCTCCACATTGACTCGTCCCGTATTAAACAAACGAGTCACTGAACCTCTCTAGTCTCAACATATCAAGAGTATAATCTTGCACATAATGGCGTATCTACTACCTTTCTTCTCTCCTTTTTTGCCGCTTTGCAACAGATCAAAGTGGCGAGGGGAGCTAGTCATTGCTCTCTCTCTCTCTCTCTTTCTCTCTCTCTCTCTCCCCCCCCCCCCCCCCCCCTCGATGCTGACTTCTGGATCCAGCATAACATCACACAGACCCAGGGTATGTTGTCACTGTGCAGGTAATAATACTAGGACTATGCTTGAAAGTGCTAAAATTATCACTGCCAGCCCATGAAAACGTCGTCTTTTGTAGTGTTGGTCATGGAGCCCTAAGTGTGTAGATCTATGTGTAGGGCTCCCTGGGTCTGGATCTTGTTACTTGTATGCGGGATCCGTACACGTTTACATAAATATAAAGTCATTGGTTGGTTTTCCTTCACACTACTCAGTAGGGTGACACATCCGTCAGTACTAGTACTAGTACTAGTAGACGGGCCCTCCCAGTTGGGGACCCATTCCTTGCATGCGATGACACGAAGGGCCCACCCACCACATCCTATGGGTAGCATCAAGAGTACATGAAAACCTCTTGAGGTTATGGACTCTTGGTAGCATGGATTCGTTCTTTGTCGTTTTTTTCAATACGTCTGACGTCCATCACTTTCAAGCCCTAAACAGTGATTACACGGGTAATACTGACATGTGCAAGACCAGTTCATACATGTATTGTTGGCGAACTTGATAGCAGGTGGGTGTGCAGCATGTTTGGCATGCAACACGCCTTGAAGGGCTGTTTTAGCTGCAGTTAGACAAGTTTCAGGAGAGAGATGAGGTGGGTTGGCTCGGGCTTTGCAGCGCTATAGCTGCAGCAGGAGTATAAAAGAAAAGGAGAAATCGAAGCGGGGTACACGGCCACACTATGTTGCGTTAGTTTCAACTGTGATAAATCGTCACCTGCGTGGATCATTTTTCTTTCTTTTCAGAATTATTTTAAGTTTTTTAACACACAACAAAGGACGGCCCAGCCTGACAAAGACAAATGTCACACATCTACGTGTAAACAGATACACAGATGGCACAAACATTTAACAAAATCTATACTTAAATCTAATTCGTAGGCAGCGGCAGCAACACATGAGCAAGGACTATCTATGAATGCGTCACCATATCCACAGCAGGTTTGGGGGAGACAAATGGATGCATGGTAGGAAGTACACAGCAGGATAATCAGCAAAAAGCAGCCAGCACTGCAGCAGTCAAGCAAGAAGGACAATACTCCTAGCATAGAAACGAAAAGAAAAAACAGCTCTGACAACAACACTCCACTAGTGTGTGCTTGGGTGCGTGCACCCACACATACACACGCACACACAATCATACAAACACATAAACATACATGCGCGTGCACGGTCCTACACTTCCTTAGCCAAAACATAGCTAGACATTCTCGCTCGAATATATTGCAAAGCTAAGGATATGGCCACACATTGGCAACACACTTCCTGGAGATGAAAACAGCACTCCGAAATCTTCGGCAAGACTGAGCAGCTACGACTTCAAACTAAAGAGCACAATTGAAACAAAGTGCCACTTGGAGGAACTAGACAAGACGCTTCTTTTTCGCTGGAGGTGCGTCAGCATCACCTGAAAAGCGGCGACTGTGGCGGCCACCCCCAACATCATCATCCGACTGCAGAGACAACAATGACGACGACAGCAACCAAGTGCAAACAGGCAACACATGCAATACGTGTGTTATATGCTGCGAAAGAAAAAAAAACCCGGAAGCGCATAGGCTGAACAATAAATGTACACTGGTTGCACCCTTTTAAACCCTTACCCCACTGACACACACACACACAATTTGATGTCCGGCACGAAATCAGTTATTTTGACCCAACACTTTGGTCTTCTTCATTCAAAATAGACAATGCTGGGTCTTCTCGCCCGAAAACACCACATCTTCCCCAAACATTTCTTTTCATATTGCCCTTTCGCCAATTTGGATCGAAAACACTCCTGTGTAATTAAAAAAAGAAAAAAAGAGAGTCTAACCTACTGTAAATATACAAAATTTCGGCACTTCAAGATTTTTGACATTTCGGCGGCGATTTATTTTCGGCGTGGGGTAGAGGGCATGGTATAGTGCTAGAGCGACAGTGCAGATGCTGTGAAAAATTTCATCGGCGTTTTAATTTAGGCGTTTTGGGTCGGTGCCGAATATAGCCGAAATTAAATAGCTGCCGAAAATTTGTATATTTACAGTACTCGACTTGCCAGCACTGCCCAAGCACTGCCCTTGTACTCTATTTTCGATTGCAAAAAGTTCTAAAAACGGCTAACACAAGAATTTTACAAAGTCGCGACAGCTTGGACAAGCCACACTTTTTCCATCACTCCAAACGATCAAATTCGGTTGTCTGTGTGTCCAAAGGTTCACTAAAGTAACAATGACATGCAACATTATATACACACACACACACACACACACCTTTGACCTTTGACGCCCATCGCCGGAGGCGATGATAGCAATGCTACGGCAGAAGCCATAGCAACTTGTGCCGGGATTGCACCATTCAACAGCTTGCAAGGCTGAAGAATTGACCGTCACTATTCAGCCTGGTCTACACCATACAGCTATTTGAAGTGGTTTTTCTGGCCAGTGAATCCCTATTTTTGGTCTTTTCATTTTCATTTTTTTTTCTTTTTTCCCGCACACACATCACACCACATACTCCGGCATGCACTGGCTGTTGGTAACCACCCAGGAGAATGAAAGTAAAAGTCAGGAAGAGTCTGAGAAAGAGAAGAAAGACGTGTGTGACCATAATCGTCGGGAATCGAACCCGCAACCTATCGATTGGAAATCGCTGCACATACCACTGCACCATATGGGACACACACACACACACACACACACACACACACACACACACACACACACACACACACACACACACACACACACACACACACACACACACAAGTAACTTACACCAATATCGGTAGCTGGTGCATGGAGTCCAGTGCGTCGGGCTGCAAGCAACACGTCAAACCAAAACTACAGTTCGTTTCATTCTGTGGATAGATTTTCCCGTTAGCGGTCTATTGTTATTCAAATGCTTAGTAACCTTTTTTGGTCCCTGACGTCGCTACACGCTAACCAAGCCTGCTGGGTGTATGTGTCTTTCTTCCAGTCAGCCAGCCAGTCAGTCTCCCAGCCAGCCAGTCTCTGTCTGTCTGTCTGTCTGTCTGTCTGTCTGTCTCCCTGCTGTTGGAGAAGATGCAGTACACATACACGTATCAGTACTTTGCTCCCCTACAAAACAGAATGCATGTAACGCAGCAAGCTACTTACTGTCTCGAAGGACGCGCGGACCCTTCGATTCAGGAGGACCTTCCATCATTAGCTGTGTTGAAAGGAATGCCTTTAGAGCAGCACACATCACAAAACAGGCGACGCACACCCATCACATCAATAGGAGAAGTATTAGTCATAAAGCACTACTGTCAAACGAGAGACTTTCAGGGCGTAATATATCAGGATTTCCAAACTAAATACAGAATAGTTGAGTAGAGAGACACTATCGTCGGTATGTAATAATCTGATAAGCGTGTGGTAGTGAATTCAAATACAGAAAATCACAAGACTATTAAACGGTAAAATACTTTACAAAATAGTTTTGAGGTGGACAACCAACGTCTTACACATACAAGTACATGCCGACAAGGTTAGGACACGCACTTGGATAAGACGACCAGAATTACGAGTGCCAAATGCCCAAACCCGGTCAGAACAAACCTATTGGCCGAATGAGCTAAACAGCTGTCACCCTGCCATGCACATTCATACTTTCTGACATGTACATTCACACCTTCTGACATCTACATTCATACTTTCTGACGTGCACATTCATACTTTCCGACATGGACATCGCATCCTGTAAAGCCTATTTCCTTCGGAACTAAGGCGGTCAGGCTTGACTATCACCTCACATCACTCTATTCTCCAAGTGTGGGGTGTGTAGCTTTCTCAGGCTGCCAATCTTCCCGTTGCGCCATTCGCTACGACACGCACATGGCTTTTCTTCATTGCTCATACAGCAAAGCCCTGCTACAGCGCATCTCATCGGGAATGGGAAGAGTACTAAATACTCGGGGTTCTTTGCAAGCATGGCTGGTCTAACAAGCCTCAAACCCAGCTTATCTATGCATCATGTCAAACAGCTCAACTTCATATGTTTTCAGTAGATTTACAGGAGCATGCATCATTGCACATGCCTCCACTCCACTTTCCCATCACCAACGTAGCCAGGATAATTCCGTTAACAGAGTGAATCACCTGACAAGCATCAGGCGTGGCCTAACACTGGCCATGCATACTAACTACAACTTGTAGACCTTACAGCCCTAGCAAGCTAGAAAACCTACCTGGAAGATGTTCAAAAAGTCAGAACGCATCTCCCGAGCCATCTGAAACCTACGACAAAAAAGGGTTGAAAGCAAGAATAGATTAGCAGGACATATTGATATTAGCAAACAGTATAATTATTATACTCTCTTGAATTCGGGGGGGGGGGGGGCAGAGGAGAGAAGTCAACGACTAGCTAAAGACAAAAGCGACCAGCTGTCTCCCAAGGCTACGCATTTTTCGTGTTCTTTGGATCATAACTTCAGTTCTACTGGCTCAATCTTCACAATCTTGGGCTTCCTGGAAAGGTCTTTATGAGAGGAAAAGAGTGAGAACAACCACAGCAGTCAGGACACTGTATCTCTAGCGCTAGAGGGCAGCAATGGTATGAACAATGCTCCAAATGGGTCCAATTGCGTCCTGCTCCAGCCATTTTATTTCCCTCGGGGCACTGTTCCTGCACACTGTGTCACATCGCTAGCACAGAGATGTGCAACATCTACAGGTCAGGCAAGTTGGAGATGCTTCAAATAAGTAAGTAACGCGTCAACATCAGAGGACAATGGCAGCCTATGAAGATAATTCCGTTTCCAGAATCTTGGATCTGGTTTTCAACGTACTGTTTTGCCACTGCCAAGGAAAGACTGCTTACAACAAGCTCTGGAAAGATACGTGCACATTTCGGTGGCGTGCAGGAACTACTAAACGCCGCACTTGCGTGAAACGATTGAACTAGAACAGAGCGTGCTACGTGATGAGGAGATAAGAAAGGTTGCACTGCCTAAATAAAGCTGGGAGTTGATAATCAAAATCTAACCGCATGCAATCTGGAAAACGGGATACGTGGCCGATGTTTACCCACGCATTCTTCACTACTCCGGTTCTAAACAAGGAACTACTGCAGGAAGAGTACAGTCAGACCTCGCTTATCCGGTCCTCTTTTATCCGGATCCCTCGCCATCCAGAAGAAAATGGCTGGTTACAGATGTACAGCACACGTGATGCATCCAACAAAACCGGTGTTCGATTATCTGGTTCCCTCGCGTATCTGGATACTGTTGTGTAAAACGGATGTGTGGGATGTGTGGGGTGTGTGGGATGTGTGGGATGTGTGGGGTGTGTGGGATGTGTGGGATGTGTGGGATATGTGGGGTGTGTGGGATGTGTGGGATGTGTGGAATGTGTGGGATGTGTGGGGTGTGTGGGATGTGTGGGATGTGTGGTATGTGTGGTATGTGTGGGATGTGTGGGATGTGTGGGGTGTGTGGGATGTGTGGGATTAAGCGAGGTCTGACTGTACTAGAAGATCAGCAGCAAACACAAACGACAGGCTGAACTTACACGTCATGATCTTGCCGGTTATACACGAGCGCATTCTGGAACATAAGTAGCATGTCACGCTGAAAGTCAGCTGTCGTTCGAATAGTCTAAATAACAACACCACCAGAAAAGAGCACCGTAACATACCATGCAATAGGGTTGGTGCATGCTGGTTTTCTAAGCGGAAACAAGAAACTGACACAGTAATATTGAAAGAAACCATAGCATAACGTGTTGGAGGTAAGCTGGTTTTGAGCTGTTTCCCGGATGCAGCACGTTGCACTCCACACTGACCAAGGGCAAAACATGTATTTTCAAACCTACTCTACACTCAGCAATATCTACCGGTAAGTATCTCAATGGAATATTGTATGCTGGTGATATGCGCTCGTGATGTGTACTGGTGGTGGCAGTGGCGATGTGGTACAAGTGCTGGTGGTGGTTGTGGCGACCATTCGTCTTGCCCATCGTACTACCATCATGCACGTGTTGGTTGGTTTTTCTTTGTGTTCATCGCATCTTGGATAGTTTCAAATGTCGCTGAGTGGTTGGGTTAGTGAGTATGGTACTGCTGTAGTGTGCAAGGAACATGTATGGCAGAATAAATCATCAAGAATGAGAATCATCCCTTGAGTGACGATGACGACAGCCACCGATGATAGTCACAAGAAAACGTTCTGGCTAACTACTACAGGTATTAGACTTCACTGGAATGTGTTTGACAGCACAGCTCATCTTATTGATAGCTATGATTAATTGAGTATCTCCACCCCCACTTATTAGAATCATGTTTCCTATCAGGAGACAGGTGGCGAGCAGAACAAGACTTACATGATTCTCTATATTCTTCTTGACTGTTTGCAAGTCCATAGGCCTAAGCAACAAATAACCATACGCACAGGCACACACACCAACACCAACACCAACAAGAATGAGCATGCATACATAATCATCCAAAAAAAGCCAAGCCCAAGCACACACATGCACATGCACGCACACACTCTCACACAAAAAAATCATCAAAGGCGATGATTGCATGACCTACAACTCCTGGTCGGTCACATGATCAGGCACGTGAATGAGCGGTTTCTCAACACGGGTTGTCAACTTTTCACACCCATGTGCCTGGGTTCTTCCAAAATCATGGTGATCACAGTGAATCCCAGTGATATTTCAGTGAAATGATCTTGTTCTGAGTGTATCATGCTGAACGGGTAAGAAAACAAGGAAATGTAAGTATCAGGCATCGATTTTTACCCAAAATATCAGATTTTGCCGGCAATTTCCGCCTTTTCAATTCTTCGATATTTTGCCGGAAGAATCGCTGGCAGGATCTGTCTGGGTCTACCACACACACACACAGACTAAAATAAAGCGCTGTGGAACCTGGCTAGCGCCGGAAGCTACTAACGTAACGTCTTTTGCATAGTTTACGGGAATAAAGCGCCGTGGACCTTGGCTACGCCAGACACCACTGCGTCCTTTGCATACTAGTAGTTTAGGGAATAAAATACAGACGAGGAGCATCACAACACACCTGTGAACAACGCCGGCATAGCCTGGTGCCTCGTTTTCCGTCACAGAGTGGAGAAACAGATTGGCAAATCTTTAGAAAATGAAGACAAAAACGAGCATCAGAACCATCATAACCATCAGACAAAGCAACAACTACAGCTGTATACACACCCTCAAAAGCACAGTACATGAGCACATATGCATGTCCCAAAATTCATCAAATTCATTGGTTTGAGGGAAAGATGCAACCGGGAAAAGTCTGAAGAAAAAACTGACTGGCCACCACCATGACTGGAAACAGAGACCCTCGCTTATGGCCAGCCATGCTCTACCACTAAGCTATGGTGTACATGTAGAAGTCATCCAAGCAGCGACCGGCCAACATTTTCTTCAGACTTCGAAAACCCATCCCAAGAAGAAACAAAATGTATCTATAAAATGAACACAAGGCATACCCTGAACAAGGCATACCCGATAGCAAATTTATGGAAACAAAATATTGAGCAGCGTTCTGCCGAAGCAGATCAAGGATAAACCAGTGTGGTAAAAAACAGTGAATTGCAGTCCAGTGCGGGTAGTGGGTGTGTGCATGCTCACCTGTGCGAAGCAGCTTCCTTCCAGACCAACATGATAGACTTGCGCCAAGCACGTCGTGCTGATTCACTGTCGCCGCTGACCACAACGTGCACACACAGCCACAGGTACTGGCAGTGAGCAAGATACACATGTGTGTGTGTGTGTGTGTGTGTGTGTGTGTGTGTGTGTGTGTGTGTGTGTGTGTGTGTGTGCATGTGTGTGTGTGTGTGTGTGTGTGTGTGTGTGTGTGTGTGTGTGTGTGTGTGTGTGTGTGTGTGTGTGTGTGTGCATGTCTAGTGATGCTCCTCCTGTTGCCGAGGTCCCGGTACGTACAGCCTGCAAGCGTACTTTCAAGTCTACTGCTGGCCTCAAGTGCCATCGCTGTGGACCTCGCCCGAAGCTCCCTACAGTGACTGATCGCCAGCACTTTGAACATCATTCCCGAGTCTGTAATCAACGCCAGTTTCGGAGGCGACAGGACCTGGAGCACCATTTGAAGCACTACCTGCCTCTCCCCTAACCTCTTTGACAGTACTTCTTTTCAGGGAGCGGCGTGACCATTTCTGGCAGCTGTCAATAGTAGTACAGTCAACCTACCCTTATAACGATAACCTCTATAACGATATTACCCTTATAACGATATTTTTCTGCCAAACCAAATCACTCCATTGACTTGTGTATACAATGCATTACCTCTATAACAATATTGCTATAACGATATTACCCCTATAACGATATAAAATGGGCTGACCCATTGGCATTTTCCATTTTATAACAATATCTAGCAGGGAATATGTAGAGCCCACCATCCAGGTAGGGCAAGCTTCACTTGATAAGTCGCTGGGACAGGACAACATGCAATGGGGCACCAGTGGGCACCTTGCTGTGCACATAATGTGCATGTACGCCAGTTTTTTATGCTATGAAGAGTGTAAAAATGAACAAAATCCATGCATTATGACGTATGTGTATGAAATGAACCAGTTACCCCTATAACAATATTACCCTTATAACAATATTTCTTGGTGTGACGCAAATATCGTTATAAGGGTAGGTCGACTGTAGTAGTAATAGTAGCAAGAGTAGATAAACAAGAGTGTGCAACTCCAGCTATGGGGTCTGCGACGGCAGAACTTCACATCACGTGATGAACCCGTGCACTCTAGTGCATGATAGATACTGGGTTGTACGCAGCCCAGCTTTGGGTACAACTCTCTTGTGGTCACTTTGCACTGTTTGCCAGCATAACCTTTTGAACCATGTCACGTGATGTGAAGTTCTGCCGTCGCAGCACAGCATAGAGGTTGTGCAGGCAGTTGCACACTCTTGGGTTATGTACTCTTGATAGTAGTAGTAGTAGTGTGGTGTGGTGTGGTGTGTGTGTGTGTACCCCCCCCCCCCCCCTCCCTTGAAACTCCTCGAAACTCCACAACCTCATCCGATGGGAGAGGTGGATTAGTTCCGAAGAGTTTGGAATAGCTACGTCGAGATGGTCAATTGGATCGCGGACGTCATTATCGCCATGACAATTCCACTGAAAAACTCTAAAATGATAGAAACAGTTCTATTGGGACACTTCAACTACAGTTGAACATCGATTATCCGCACATCGACTATCCGACCATTCGATTATCCGTAACAGTTTTTTTGGGCGCACTGCCGTAGAGTACGCACTGTGCATGTAGTGAGCCATTCGAAAAATACGAAAATTTTGAAAAGTAAAAAGGTCGTGCGTCTAGTAATAACCACTGAAAGTGTGTGAGTGACAGTTTTTTCTTATCCGGAACATTTGCCTTATCTGAACACCGCCTGACAGTGGTCTGCCCAGAGGTGGTCGGACAATCGATGTTCAACTGTTGTCTCCTTTAAAATTTGTTCGAACACTTGATGAAGACAATTCGAACGTGCCCTTAGTGAGAAAGGTAAGTACACACCATGGTCACTTTGTACACAGCCACAGGAAATTAATGATGTAGATAAAGAATTATTTCGACACGCACTGGTCATGCATGGGAGTTGCACACTCTGCAGACCTGCACTCTGTCTCTAGGTCATACTCGCGCATGGGACGCAAACCAAAATTCTATGCTTGAGATGGCCTTGCCACCGATATGTCACATCACTAGTATTCACTTCATCTTGGTATAGGCCAGGTATCTTGGTATAGGCCAGGACTGAGCCAGATGAACTGGTACATCTTACAGTGAACACTAAATGCCAGAATGGCACACAACGTCTGGTTACAGTATAGTAGCTGTGTGCTCACCCATGACCAGTTGATGGAGTAGCAGGAGCACTGCTGTTTACCGACAGTATGAAGTCGTCTTCACTAGCTGCAGGACAGCACACACACAACGCCAGCAACGCCGCAAGAGAGGAGAGACCGCAGCATGAGCTCACTTGCTAAATGCAAAAACATAACAGTCACAGTCCTCCCCCAAACTCAAGCGAGATACAAATAATACAATACAGCAACCACTGACTAGAAGAACAAATGCAGTACACACCAAGCACATGACTTTAAAACAGTCAAACACTCACACATAGTGTCTTTGCTGCAAGAGTGACTTCAGATTCAACACATTTCTCGCGACGAACAAGTACAACTAAAGATGAACAGCCAAGACAGCGAGGACTAGATATATGGTATGAGGTGCTGTGATAAGGTGATGAAGTGATAAGGATGTGACAAATGTGTCAGGTAGGAGTTGGATGTCTGTAGAGAGTAGTAGCGCTAGGGAGAGAGAGGCGTGTCTGTATGTGTGAACATGTTAGCGCAGCACAGAATGGTGTGGAATTGGAGCCATACATGTGAAGCCAAAAGGTGAAGACGAATATTTGCTAAGTACGGTACAGCCAGCTAGCACACACACGCATACACCAAACGATATTGTGCCATTATGTGCAAGTGCAACATTGCAATCTATCACAACACGCACACACGCACACACACACACACACTTGTACTTGTTGCTCACTGCCAAAACTGGTCACGTGGGTCTCCCCGGGAGAGGGGAGAGAGACTCAAAAGGAATCTTGGAAAGATGACTCAACTGGCTATTGAACCGCCCAACGGCCGACACCCCCTGAAATCCCCACACCACACCACACGCCCATGCGTTCCAACCCGAATCCACACAAACCTCACTTTTATTTAAAGTGGACAGCCCTACGAAAAAACCTTACCAGCCACGGACTCCACATCGTCTTGCTGGGACATTGCAGGTTCTTCTTCCTCATCCTAAACAGGACAACAAAATGCCATACTAGTTCTATGTATGCCCGACAACACTCTGACTAACACATGCTACCAAGGAGGTTTTCTGCAGGGAACTCATACCGAACATCAAGTTCAAAGTTCAAAGTTAACGCAATACCACTCCGCTCTCTTTGATGTGGGGATGTTATTCCTCATTTCTCATACACCTAACCTGGCCAACACCGCTTCTGTATAGAAGTACTACGCTGGTCAAATTGGATACTTCGGGTCGCAACGGGTTAAACGAGCAATGAAACTCTGAACAGCCAACTTCGTGGTGTAGTCTTTCAGAAAGTATAAATCCAGTGTTACGATTTCTCTTGCACGCCACTTACTGAAGAGTGTCGTGATTCACGAAGGCTGTGACTGCGGCTGCGCACTGTCGCCGTACGAGCTGCAAGAACAACAACCAACACAGAGTGGTATGACAACAGGCACACACACACAGGCACACACACACACAGGCACACACACAGACACACACGCACAGGCACAGGCACACACACACGCACAGGCATACACACAGACACACAGACACACACAGGCACAAACACACACACACAGGCACACACACACACACAGGCACACACATGCACACACACAGGCACACACATGCACACACACACACACACAGGCACAAGGGCACAAGGGCACAAGGGCACACACACACACACACACACACACACACACACACACACACACACACACACACACACACACACACACACACACATATACACACACAGGCACACACACAGGCACACACACACAGGCACACATACACAGGCACACATACACAGGCACACACACACACACACACACACACACACACACACACACACACACACACACACACACACACACACACACACACACACACACACACACACACACACACACACACACACACACACACACACACACACACACACACACCGTACACCATAGATTGCTGATCACCCAAGGTTAGGCATAGCAATGAAAGTCACCGATCACTGGTACAGTATTTGGGCGGTGACAAGAGAAATCGACACAACTCATGATACAGGATAGGCCATCTTGCTTGCAGATACCAGGATGTACATGTAGCAAATAAGCAAGACTGTATACACTGGTGAATCCTGACCATGCTAGCTCAACTGTAGGTTAGACTAAACATTTGTTCTATCCTAGTCTGCTGCTGCATGCATGCTTGGCAGAGCACAACTGTGAACGATCTGTATTCTAGTCTGCTGCATACATGCATGCATGCTGTGAATGGTCTTACTGGAACGTCGACCCCGTCGGCGAGTGCCGGCCTCATCGCGTGATCCTGCTGCCGCTGCTGGCTCCGGGCTGCTGACTGATGACATCATACTCGCTACCTCCTCTCGGTCTTTGGCCACCTTCACAACTGGCAGAGGACTTGCAGCTGAAGCAGCTGCAGCAGAAGTTACATCGCCAATAGAACTAGCAGTAGAAGTAGTAGCAGTGGTGATCATGCCCGGGTCCACCGCAGCTCCGGCAGCAGAGACATCAGCAGAGTCGACCACAGCGACAGGTGTTGCGCTAGGTGATAGAGCAGGACTGGCTTCTTCAAGTGAGGTTGAGTCAGGGTCCACAGGCAGCGATTCATCCAACTTGGATGCAGGAGCCTCCCCAGACTCCTGTGATTCACGAATAGGAGAAAGAGCAGGAGATACGGATACTTTGGGTGACATCACTTGCACAGGTGTGGCTGCTTGCAATGTTGCATCTTGAGCAGCTTGTTCTGCATTCTCTGCCTGTGTGCCCGTGTCGACTGAGGGAGGTTGTTGCTCTACAGGTGCTTGCTCATCAGGCAGCCCTGCCGATCCAGATGAAGACTCCGACTCCAGCGGTAATCTGGCAGGCAAACCCGGTGATACCACATCAGCAATTATTGCCGCTGGTGCTGGGGCTGGTGCCGGGGCTGGTGCCGGTGCTTGTGCCATTTCTTCTGCTTCTTCTTCTTCCTGTTGTTGTTGTTGTTGTTGTTGTTGTTCTTCTTCTTCTGGTGCTGGTGTTGCTGCTAGCCCTGTTGCTAGTGGGGTATGTTGTACATCAGCAACTGGCAATTTCACACTCTGTACAACAAAGCAGAACAATTGCACAACACCACCACCGCGTCAAAGACTAATCACTACACATCATGCATGGCACACACAGTTCACATTCGTCTACTGCATTCGATTTCCCTCGATCACAAACGGCATCTAATGTCCACGCTTTCTACTTGAGCAAGGACTTTGAGGCTCGTACCAAAATGGACAGCACTGGGAAGTACTGCGTAGAAATCACATGGTAGTGTTATTAGAGTGAAACTTAGCCGAGCAGTGGCAACGAAAACCGAGTTGCTGATCAAATGAAATGTGCTCTCAAAGACCTCTCCTATCTTGCTTTCACTTGAAAACACTTGAAACCATGACAGGTGCAATGCAGTCCACAGTCAAACTGTGTCCGTTCGTCAATTGCAGCGTCAAAAGAGTCTTCCTCCAGGACAATGGAAATCATCAAACTTCAAAAGAAGGAGCTTGGAATAACCTTTGATTTCCCACATCGCGGTTGCTAGCTACACTAACAGATCAAAAAGCGACATTGGGACAAGAAAAGGCAGTGGCTGGTAGCATTAAGCAGGTAGTCGCTAGTGACAGGGTATTTTGAATGGGAGAGCATCCATGCCTGGCGAAGTGGTGGGTAGTGGCAGATTGGTCACTAGCCTTGCTCCTACAGGTTTCACTGTATATGCCCACATACAAAGCGGCACACACCAAAAACAGAAAATCTAGAAGCCTTTCCAAGTGCTCACCTTCGATTCTTCAGGGTCCTTGGACTCCTTGTGGTCAGCAACTACAAGCTCAATCTCTGTAACAGAGTGTGCAGCACCCATGGCAAAAAGTATATCAAGAACAATGAGTTGAACTCACTGTAAACCAGATCATATACAGTCAGCGAGGGCGAAAAGAAGGCACAAAACTGACAAGGAGTACTGACTCTACTGCGACAATCAACGGCCTGACACCTAACTCTAACACTTCTACGAGGCGCAAACCAACAACCTTCCCACTTGGAAGGCTCAGGTTACAAGAGCAATGAGGTTTGACAAGATACCAACACTCTTCTGGTAGCATCCAGCATGTGCGCGTCACGTTTTCCACTGACACACCAATTGTCTACATGTACATGCCACCCCCCCCCCCCCCCCCAATAAGAATAGAATCCATCTGCCTGGTCACCTTAAATTTTATGACAAAAAGGACAATCTTCATAGAAGTAAGCTGTACATGTATATACTCGGTAGTACTTTGTATTCTACTGGTTCCTGCTAGTGACGGCAACCGCTGATACAAGTCATAAGAAAATGTTCTGATTAAACCTAGAAACTTTGCTGCAATGTGCGCGCGCGCGCGCGCGCGTGTGTGTGTGTGTGTGTGTGTGTGCAAGAATGGCAAAACTCATAATTATTACTTCTAGTCTCGATTAATTGGTTGGGCTTCATTCCCACGATATACGACTTGACAGGGTTCGGCGAATTCTGCTCCTCAAGACGTATTACAGAACTCGTGGCTTTGGTTCGACAGACAGCTTGTGATGTCTTGCATTGCAAATGTTTCTAAATAGCAGACATCCTCGGTGTGTGCATGCACAAAAGCTGAGCCAGCACAGCTGCTACTTACTGGAATTGTGTGCAGGTGGTGGTGGGGACAGATGTGGCGATGTCGGCAACCGCGCACCCACAACAGGTGTCGTCATGCTTTCCGCTGGCACTGGAGCGGATGAAGCGCTTGCTGGAATAACTGCTGCTGCTGTCACTGTTGTTGCTGGTCCTGTGGCTACCGCTATTGATGATGCCTGTACGGCCACTGCTGGTGGCGTAAACACAACTGGTGGTGTAGCTCCCGGGGCTGGCAGTGGAGGAGTGTTTACTGGCGTGGCTGAAGGTGTAACTGCTGCTAGCTTGGCTGGAGCAGCAGGGGGTGCTGTTGAAAGTGCAGCTGCTGGCTGCTTAGCTGGAGCAACAAGAGGTGCTGTTGCAACTGAAGCTGGCATTGGCAGTGTTGAGGGAACATCTGCAATGACTGGTGGCTGCGGGAGGGCAGGCTTTGTTGCTGTTACTACTGTTGGCGCTGTGACATCAGGCTTGCCTGATACTGGACAGGCATCTGATACTCGGACAGGTTTTGGCACATCAGTAGACATAGACACACTACCAGCAACAAGAGCAAGAGCAAGAGCACCACCAGCAGTTGTAGTAGAAGCACCAGCAGCAGCAGCAGTAGTAGTAGCACCTCCACCAGCAGCAGCAGCAGCAGCAGCAGCAGTAGTAGTAGAAGAAGCACCACCAGCAGCAGTAGTAGTAGCACCTCCACCAGCAGCAGCAGCAGCAGCAGCAGCAGCAGTAGCAGCAGCAGTAGTAGTAGAAGAAGCACCACCAGCAGCAGTAGTAGTAGCACCTCCACCAGCAGCAGCAGCAGTAGCAGCAGTAGTAGTAGAAGAAGCACCACCAGCAGCAGTAGCAGCAGCAGCAGCAGCAGTAGAAGTTGGAATAGTATTAGTAACTGCACCGACCAGTGCCCGTCCCTGTGAAGGTGGTCTCACTGCTGTAGTAGCTACAGACACTGGAGCCACAGTCTCTGATGCATCTGGATTAGAAACTGCATCAGCCACAGATGCCTTTTGATTAGAAGCCGCTCCAGCCATTGATGTCTTTTGATCAGAAGCTGTTCCAGCCACTGATGCCTTTTGATTAGAAGCCGCTCCAGCCACTGGCACCTCTGGGTTAGAAGCTGCTCCAGCCATTGATGCCTCTGCATTAGAAGCTGCTCCAGCCATTGATGCCTCTGCATTAGAAGCTGCTCCAGCCATTGATGCCTCTGCACTAGAAGCTGCTCCAGCATGTGCTGCAGGTTTGGCAGTAGTTTGGTCTTCAGGGCTACTGACCACCGCCGGTTTTGCGAGAGCTTCCACAGATGCTGGTTGCACTGGAACTGTTTGGAGACGAGGTGATTTGGGAACAGATGCTACTGATGGAGCTGCTTTAGGTGTGCCCATAAGGGCACCGTCTTTCAACTTGTGGGGAACGGGGGCAATTTGCGTCGTTGCCCGAGCACTCGTAGCTGCTGCAGCAGTTGCTTGAAGCTTCACCGGAATCGATGTTGCGGGAGGGTTGAAGGCTTGGGCAAGCGAACGTGCGGCCGATACTGAACTTAGCGGTTTGGCCGCTGATGCTTTGGGTGATTGCAACTGTCCAGCACTTGGCAGACTCCTGCTTGGAAGCTCAGGGGACCTACTTGGAGTGCCAGTACCAGCAGTAACAACAACGGGTGATGTTTTTCCTGTCAGTAGACTAGGAGAGCGAGGTACAGTTGACACCGGTGATTTGGCAAAGGAGGATCTAACAGCGGCAGCGCAAGCAGGAGACGTTACAATCGAAACAGGAGACCGAGCTGTAATAGGCGAGCTAACGGCAACAACAGTTGGACTATTTGACGGCTTGCGTGCCATTATTGTTGCAGCAGTAGTGGCAACCGGCAGGGCTGAAGGCCGCGGGCTACTTGGACTAGGGAATTTGGGAGCAGTAGCAGCAACCATGGTGGTTGTACTAGTTTTGATGGCAGTAGGTTTATGTTGTTGCTGCTGCTGCTGTTGCTGCTGCTGCTGCAGAGATAGCGGATGGGACATTGCATTCGAACTAGTGAACTGTACTGGCGGTTTCTGGGATGGCGCTTCTGCGCAGGGTTGACGGTTTGGTGAAAGTGTAGACAAGTCCATTGGCTCTGGCCTTGGTGATGCAGCTTTGCTCGCTGGCGAGGACACAGCAGGATGGGATAAGAGATTGGGAGGCTCACTAAGCATCATCTTTGCATAAGTATGACCGCCGGTGACAAGGCATACACTCTCACCACGCTCGCGCGCCTGTGCAACAGTGATGTGCATGAGTTCATAGGGATCCTCCAGAGACGCAAGACTAACATTAACCGGTGTACCACCCGTGCTAGTTCCCTCTGCTGCCGCCGCAGCTGGTAACTGGCCACTTGCAAGCAGTGTAGAAGTGACCAGGGGCACTAATTGTGGAACGCGCGAAGCCGCACCACGCACCGGGCTGACGGCCCGGCTCCACTCGCCGGCATAGTACTCAGCACCAACGGGCGAGGAACGAGCTGAACGTCCTGGCTCTGGCGTGGCCGGGTGGCTGCCTGTCTCCGCAGCACCGTCACGCAGTGCCACAAACTGCAGATCCTTGCGCCTTGAGCCAGCTGGCAGGACGGATGGAGAAGATACAACACGAACAGATGCTGCTGCCGCTGCCCGTGTCATACCATGTGGTGGAGTGAAGGGTACGTCACCAGTGGCGGGTGTGCCGGCAGGTGAGGCAACAGGGCTTCCGACAACAGAGCCACGTGCCTGCGCAGAGAAACAACAACAACAGCACAACATAACAAGGAATCAATAGAACATTGCACGCAGACAGATACCGACACGGAAGGACGGACAAACACACAAGCACACACGCACCCACCCACCCACACACCATTGGACGCCTATCGCCGGAGGCGATGATAGCGATGCTACAGCAGGAGCCATAGCAACTTGTGCTGGGATTGCACCATTCAACAGCTTGCAAGGCTGAAGAATTGGCCGCCACTATTCAGCCTGGTCTACACCACACAGCTATGAAGTGACTTTTTCTGGCCAGTGAATCCCTACTTTTTGGTCCTTTTTTATTTATTTATTTTTTCCCGCACACACATCACACCACATACTCCGGCATGCACTGGCTGTTGGTAACCACCCAGGAGAATGAAAGAAAAGCCAGGAAGAGGCTGAGAAAGAGAAGAAAGACGTGCGTGACCATAATCGTCGGGAATCGAACCCGCAACCTATCGATTGGAAATCGCTGCACATACCACTGCACCATATGGGACACCCACACACACATACACATAGACACACACGCCATTTGACCATTTGACGACCATCGCCGGAGGCGCTGATAGCGATGCTACAGCAGAGAGAAGAAAGACATGTGTGACCACATCTTTCTTCTCTTTCTCAGACACACACACACACACACACACACACACACACACACACACACAGTGTCTGCTCTAGGATTGTAGGACAGCCGGGTACACGTGTACCTGGCGCAACCATTTCAACCGGGTCGGAGCCGGGTACACATGTACCTGGCGCTGTCTCACCAGCCGAGTCACATGCTTTAACTGGTTGGTTGGTTTATTTTAATTCGGACAATAAACGGAAACTATGCCCAATGATATAAAGGCGAATGGATAAGCCGCATTTAGAAAAGAGAGGACAGGAATTAGAAAATTACGAAAGAAGAAGAAGTATCTGATACATACACACCATGCCAGTCCTTTCAAAGTTCGAAAGTGTAAAGTACCGACCGGGTCACAGGTGACCCGGTACTATATTTTCAACCGGGTCCAAGCGCCGCCCAACCGGGTGGATTTCCCGGCTCACCCGGCGCTGGAGCAGACACTGACACACACCGTGCATTTACATATCCATCTCCCTTATACAAACACAGCACTGTAACATGTGGCGTGATGTCGTTGCATTCACTGGCATGAATAGCGAATAGACACGTGAGCATGACTTAACCCAGTGTTTCGTCCAAGGGCAACATCAACTGCACAACAAATTCTCTTCAATGACTTGAAAGGCACTGGCTTTGCACTATAGTAATGATGGTGCATGACAAGGAGACAATGGCCTGGACTCTAATACTTACAGACCCGCTACCATCAATCAGCATAGGTTCGTCAACGTCGGTCCCCCTCCGCGACACCATACG